AACGAAATATATCAATTATTTTGTTTATTTTATTATCAGTAATGAAGTAAAAAAGTAATTTTCCCCATCACTGAGAAATGAAAGTAGCTGTAACGGCTGTTGTTAAGGGTTCACAGATCACATTAACAACTCAATTGATATAACCAAAATTTCTTTTGCCTATCAAATATTTTAGATGAAAAGAACAGTTGCAGAAATTTTAATGTTTAGAGTAAATTTCAAACTGATAAAAGATTAACTGATTCATAGTTGATAGTAAAATGCGATAGCTTTCTTTGTTTGATAAATATATGAATTAAGATTGGAATAAATATCACAGAGTGTCAGCAGTAAGATTGAATTCTTTTGGACTCTTTTCTTTAGTCTAAATGAATCAACAATAATATTAAGATAAAAAAAAGTATTCTTCCACCATTCCTCTTTATTTCCTTAGATGAATATGATTGGAATAATTTAATGAAGCTTAAATCTGATAGTTAGAATAAATGATTTCAGTCATTGTTTATAAATTTTCTCCCTCGTCAAATTTTAATCTATCATTTTCTGAAATCAAAAATTGATTCATTCATATTTTTAAAATCTTTTTTATAACTTAATTATTTAATTATCAAATTATTTAATTTATTTAATTATTTAATTATCAAATATGCGATATAAATCTTGACAAAAGGATGATTAAAATTTAAATTAGAATGAAAAGGCTATTGGCATCATAGAGCTGAAGAATTCTTTGTTTGAAAAATAGAGAGTAATGCCGATACATTTCATTCATGACATTACCGCACTAAGCAAAACACAATTTTGCAAATATCAAATCCAACATTTGATCGATATTGTGACACACTCCACGCAGTAATACAATAAATTTTACAGCATGAAAATTAGATCTTTTATTTCAAGAAATTTCTATAAATTAATAGGAAATTATCAGAGACATACCAAAAAGTCATTCAAGTTCCACAGAGTGTCAGCAGTTAAGGTTTAATTCTTTTGGACTCTTTTCTTCATTATATGGCTATTCCAAAATTGCTATGCTGAACAGATAAGTAATACTTCGTATCTTTCATACTTAACAGTTAGCATAAATCCATGCTATCATAAAAGTATTTTAATATTTTAGAGATAATCTTGTGTTTCGTCGATGTATTCGATCAGATGCTGCGAAAGTAGATGAAATAGGAAATCAAATTGAAATATATCGTGCACTTCTGAAGCATTTCTTCAGTTAAGCATCAAAATTTTTTTGGCGAATAAATGGGAGGGAAAAGGTGGAAAGAAGAAGTACCATAATGCGTCATCCTAAAATTGCTCTAACAGACCTGATTGGAGAAATTTCAAAAAAAGAAACGAATAATTATATTAATAATAATAATGCGTTCAGGATAGCACTATACGGGTTTTTTCTATAAGAACGAATGATAACGATACAAATACAAACTTCCCATAATATTTTCCACTCAATTTTCATTTATATGTCGATTATAATTCCAATTAAAAATATCATGCAAGTTGAAAAAGTAGTAAGTTTAGCTTACTCTTTCATTATTTAAAGGGATATGAATTGTGAAACAATGAATTTGCTTTAAGTTTGTTTGCTATTTTTATCATTGTTACTCTTTTTTAATTCTTATCAGTTCAATTATAAAGATAAACTTAACTCATTTTTCTTTTGAGAAGAGTATACGACGAAGATGAATGTCTCATTTTTCTACGATATATATCTCATCTTTTTCCACACAAAATAAATTTTGGAATAAATTTCGACAAAAATTTTCTCCCAAATGAATCAATTATTCCAGAAAGTAACAAATAGAATGCAAAACTGCGCAGTGTAATTTTATGCAAAATTTTTTTCAAATAAAAATAACAGAAAATGAGAAGAGAGAGAGAGAGAGAGAGAGAGAGAGAGAGAGAGAGGAAATGAAATGCGGAAGAGAGTTTTTACCGAATATGATGAAGCCTATAGGAACAATTGGACATGTCGACACATGCATATATACATGTTCATAAATAATTTTTAAAAGGGGGGTGCATTTGAAAAAATGGCACTTTCGACTTCAATTCTTGCATTAGCAAATAAATATGCGTATACCTTTTTTTTTCAAATGTATTTACAGTGATAGAATGACATGACTTAATGAATGAGTTCGTTTTTTCTCTTGGAATTAAATCTTTTACTGAAATGAAAATAAAATGAATGAAAAGCTGCAATGAGTAGCAGCAGTATATCAACAGAATACTTTTTAGAATTTCATTCATTAATTTTACTTCAAAAATTACACAAAATTAATTAGGGTGAATAATCTGAATGAATAATATTGAAGGAAATGATGAAAATATCACCTGTTTCGAAAGTTTTGAAAATATGACAAATATGACATATGACAATGCTTGAAGATTTTGATAAAAACACGTTTTGTAAATGTTACCGTATTGCGCAGTTGTGGAGCTGGAGATTATTTTCAGTCCAACCTATGTAAAATTGCTCTTTTTCGCTATTCATTTTCCATTTTGACCGCAAACTTTTCAATATATTCATCCAATTATTTATTCGATGTTTCTATGATCGATCAAATTTGAAGTTTGTTCATTAAATTTTAAATAGAATATTAAATATGAGAAGTTCAAAAAGCTTAATACGATGAAGTATGATTATGAGATTCATCATAACAACGTATTTTTTTCTTGTTATATCATCTACTCGATTGATTACGATGATTTTAATTTACGCTAAGAAATCAAAGTTTATCATGTTGAAGAGAATATAAATAAATTTAAATACATAATGTGTTGCTATTTTACAGAGTGTTTTAAAGCAACATAAAAGATTTCAAACTAACAAAAGAACTTTAAATTAATTCACGAGGGAAGAAAATGAAATGTATTAGCGCATGAAATAAATTTCGTATTTCAAAAGAAATGAATGAATTGAAAAAGTTGCAGAAATGCAAAAATAAATTATCGATAGGTTGATGAAGAGATAGTCAACAAATGTTTTAATGAAAGAAATAAAGGCTTCTTCAATACAAGCATATTATGATGTTAATGAGAAAAAAATTCAATCATTATAAAATTTATTGTAAACTATTACTTTTTCTTTACTTTTTCTTCATATATTTCATTTCTCACAAAATTTAAACTGAAATGATTGTTAAACTGATTGGTACTAATTAGATTTTCAATTTCAAAATAAATTAGAAATGAAAACTCATTCTTCTGGTAAAATGCATTTACATCGTGTAATGATAATGGTACTACAAATATTTTTAGCCCTTTGAAAAAAAATCCTAAATGGTACCACAAATATATAAGGTCTATTATAAATAACAAAATAAAAAACATAGACAACCTTCTAATAAAGATGCAATCTTAATTAATTGTATGCCTAGAATGCATGCCTTATATTCATAATTTATAGAATAGCATAAATTTAGGATATTATCGTAGAAAGCTGGTAATAATAAAGTAATCTCTGTAGACTCTCGTTGAAAGCATTAAGTGCAGCATTTGCAATCCATCCAACAATTCTGCGCCCATTTTCATCACACCAATGAACACAGAGACATACATATTACTTCATTAACTACAACAATGATTCAAAAAGAATATAAATTAATCGAGTGCTCAAAAAAAATATTAAATTAATATAAAAAAATTAAAAGACGGTAAAGATGCATTCATTCCAACAAAAGGAAGACAGGTATCCCGAAAACTGGCCGTAGTCGATTGCAGAAATTACTAAAAGCCAGTCCTACCTGTGCGCTCATACCATCGCCAATATTACAATAATTCATTTGCCTATTTCATTATATCTGTCAAACATCAAATTTTAAATCGATTGCTGAAAAAAAATTGAAAAAGGTGCAATATCTATAGATAAGTTAGAGGAAATGGAATCTGTTGATGAGATTAAAGATATTACCTTGCACTTAAATAGATTAGCTCAAACTGTTTAAGATTTAAGCAAATCGAATTGGCTGGTAGCAACTTTTGACAGATGACTCGTGCAAATTTCAAATACCTCTCACTCTATCTCGTCTGATAAGTTGAATAGAAAACCGATCATTCTTTAAACGAAACTTAACTTCAATTTAGCAAAAATTCACCTCCTAATCGTGCAGTGGAAGCAATTGATTTCGTAGATAGAATAATATAGTAATTGCACTACTCTTATCCGAAATTACGGAAATATTTCAAGAGAATGATAAAAACGATAGTATGTATTCAAATTCGTGCAGTGTTTTCAGCCTGTATGTATGTACCCAAACTTCATTAAAAAGTGCATTTTCATTCCTCTTCCTCTGTGCTTTAAATATTTTAAGCTAACTGACGTTCCCCTAAATATGCTTTCACTTTGTTCGACATGTGGAATCGAAGATAATGGACTAATTAAACGGAAGAAAGCCTACAACAAATTGACCTCCTATGCATTCAATATCCGGTTTATATTCTTTTGCACTAATTTTATCAATAAAAAATGAGCTAACGTTGAACTGTATTTCTTTTTAGTTACAGCGACTTATACTTTCAGTCATTGCATCCTTACCTGTTTCGAATTATTTTAATCATTTTCAAAATCTCTCCAATAAACAATGTCTTATCAATCTTATCATCCCATCATTAATTATACATGTCAATATACGCAATTTTTCAAATTCCACTGATAAACAAACTATTTAAAAGTTTTTGATAAATTCCTGCTACTCTCTTTCTTCAACATTATGATTTTTTTTTTGCATTTAATCTCTATCGTCTAACTACTTTTTATTCTCTCTCGTCAAAACATACTTCTGCAAATTGTGATCTCTGAATTGTTGCTATATAATGCCTCGGTTGATTGGATAATTGGAAGTTCCATTTTAGGTTTGGGCGCAAATTTAAGCTATGATTTAACGGATTTAGTTTCTATCTCGTCGCTTTCTTTTGCATTTTTGGATCATTAATCCGTAAATTGAAAAAAGATTGAAAGTAAAAGTTGAGGATTCAAATTTTTTCAGACAATGCTTCCTACAACGATGGATGATTTGAAGGATGAAAGGAGCAAGGATAATGGTAAAGCATCGCATTCAGCAATGAATTTGTTATGGCGATTGTCTGTACACATAGGTATCTCCCGCTATATGCTTGCCACATTCAAGATAATCATCATAATTGGCGCTTCCGTCATAGCGGTACATTATCTTTTTATTCTAAGAAATTCATTCGTAAAGGCCAGTCAGGAATAATCATTTCTAATATTTGTGTATAGAATTTTGCAGATTTTTCAAAGTAGTAAATGATAAGCTTCCTTACTATTCCGCTTATGATTAGTTCAACATTTCCTCCTCGAAGAGAGATAACGCAGTCAGCTGTCCGAACAGAAATTCAGTTCTCTGTACTTCTGTTTGATTCTTTAATGATATTATGATCCAACAAAATTTTACATTCGCTAAATGTCCGATTCAAATTGCGTTTATTTGCACCGTGTGCATGTTTATTGCTATTAACAAAAAATTTGCGAACTATTGTGAATTTGCATAGCGATTGCATAGCGATCAGTACTAGTCCAGTTATTTTAGTATTAACTAGGAGGTAAACCATGAGATTGAATTTCTATTGTTTTAAGCTTCTGTATTATTTGTCGTTTGATTGGACAGTATTTGTGGAAGATCAAAGTTATGGAATTGCTGCCATTCAAGGTCAGCAAGTCCGTTATCAGATTGAATCACGGCCTTGTTCCGATGTAAAAAAGGATTGTTATATCGTATATGATGCAGTTGATATGTTTACGTAAGCTTCTTTATTTTCGTGTTTTTGTAAGTCAATCAGCAAATAGCTTAGAGATTCGATAACGATAATCTGACTGCCTCCATAATAGGACTTCCATAATTCCTTTGATTTTTTTATAAAAAGCCTACAGAAATGCGTGAAAGTGGAGTGAAAATCATTTACTATTCAGCTTTTTGCTAAAAGACTTTGGGAAATTCAAGCGAATTTTCTTCAGTATGAGGAAAAGCTCGATCTAAATTAAGGGTTTCGAAGAATGATAATGGAATCGTATATATTTGAACTGTGTGCTTAGTACCAATTGGCTTAAGCTAATTCTAGCTAGTGGATGAGCTAATTAAGCTAATGGATGAGTTTTTTAGGGGTGATGTTAATCGGTTTTTGATAATACGACATGTTCCAAAGAAACACGGAACTGTTGTTCGCCTCATCCCACCTACAGGTTCGGTTTGAAGTTTCTTTGATGACTTAAGATTGTTATTAGATATTGATCTTCTATATGATAGATTCCAATTGCTAATTTATAGCACATAAAAATTATGATATTCAATCGGTTTCTTAAAATTTGTATCTGTAGAGACTACATTAATACAAATTGAAGATTGGTAGAATATTTTCATCCATATTCATTCATGTTTTTAAATTTATTGCTTCTTACTGAACTAGTCTCTTTGTCCTAATTGTTGCAGAAAGTATTCAGGTCTCAAGTCTAAAGAATCGGATTCACGTTTCTGGAAAGTGAATCATACGCATATCAATAGGCAGTATGTAGCAGTTATGCTAACTGTACCATTTGGCGTTGCTGCGTTGGCACTTTCTAATTATGTCAACTTGGCAGCAAATGTTTTGATAGTTGGTCTTGGTGGTGGCAGCATGAATATGTTTTTGACAAATCATTTTCCGAAGGTCGCTTTTTCGGACATTTTATAGATGCTTATCAGACACCCCTGAAGGTGATTAGTTTATGGACCTATTGTAACTTCTTAACAATTATTTATTGAACACTAGTTCCTGCAAAAAGCATAATCAGCAGGTTAAAATATCGAAGCTTAGCTATGAAACAAAATATTTAAGATTTACTGAATCTTCTTAACAGTTAAAAAAAACTTATGTGAGATGAAAAAGTGAAAATCACGCAAAATCAATATGAAACTCTTTTCTCTCTTTTCGTTGTAATTTTGATTTGTTTCTTTGAAATCCGGTTCAAACAATGGATACTGCAAGTTTGGGAGGCCGTTATTTGGTACGAAAAATAGCAAGGAAAAATTATTAGTTTTTGAAGAACTTAGAATCCTGTTCCGTTGTAGATGACAATAACAGTTGTCGAACTGGACGAAGTCATTATTGATCTAGCATGGCGGTGGTTCGGACTGGAAAAGAGGCATGAAAAAATCCAGATTGTCGTGATGGATGGTGTGAAATTTGTTGAAAAAGCAGCAGTCAAGAGTAATACTTGCTTCATAAAATTCTTTGAACCTGAACGTAGGACTGTATCAATATTGAATTCATTTAAGTAGTTTGAGTATTTATAACTTAATGCAAGATGTTCTCTTAAATAGTTTACATATTAGCATAACATTCCTGAACTTATGTCACTTTCTATCATTGATTTTAGAAGTCCTTTTTGATGTTGTGTTCATTGATGTATGCGATGAGATTGGCGATATAACTTGTCCTGCCGAGCCGTTCATTCGTTCAAACTTTATAGAAAATTTGAAGAAAATTCTGAAGCCGACAGGTATTTCATTTTATTTGTATGTCTGGTTGGATTGATACAGTAATTACATTTCAAAGACTTCTATGAAGTTATGTATAGCTGAACAAAAGAACTGCTTTTGCAAAATTTATCATCTTCCTCATGCTAATAATTTCAGGAATTGTGGTATTGAATGTTTTGCCACACGAAGACGTTTTGGATCAAGTTGATGAGGTTTTATCTTCCAAATATCAAACTATTGCTAATATAATATTAGTGACAATGGGTAAAATGGAATTCGTATGACAATTTTTGATTGGTTCCTTTCATCAAGGAAAAAATCTATTAACCGGACTTAACAACATATTTGAAATACCTATATCATAAATAATTTACATACAATCTAGGTTTCTTGGTCTGGACAACTCCTTACTTAATCTAAAAGTGTATGCAGTCTGATGAGTTTTAATTTAATTGATTTCAACTGTTGCAGTTTATTTTGAAATATTCCATAGCAGGGAATTCAGAGTTCTTGAATCAATGAGTTTGAAGGATATGTTTTGACACCTGTTCAAGTTCCGTGTTACAGGTAGTGCGTGCATACCAGAAGCAGTTTCCAACATGTGCTGTTGCTCCACTGCTTCGTGAAATGAATACAATACTTGCATGTCAAGTTGTACAGCAAGTTGATTATCACACCAGTCAGCGCTTGATGTCTGAACGATTTCAAGAGGCTTGGAATCATTTCGGTTTTATCCAGCAGTTTGGTGTCATGAAACTGTCTTTCACAAATGATAAAATCAAAGCGGAAAATTCTTCTTGACGCCATTTGAATTTTGAAGTTTCAATTAAAAACATTTCGTCATAATAATTATTTGCAACGTTTCTCACATTTTCAATAGCTTTAAATCACTTTATTATTATAAAGAAAGACTATGTTTCATTTCGCCAAAAATGGCTGCAGTGTGCAGAGAATTATTCGAATGGAACAAAATTATAGCATTTCGGGTTAGTTGCGTCTGGATTAAAATATGAAAAGCTACTAGTGTGAATTGCTATGATTATTTAGATTGTAACAATTTGTTTTGAAGTTAATAGAGTCCACCGAAAATCGGCTCTTTTTTCATGTTTTGAACTTCTTGTTATTTCTTTACGGGTGTAAATTGTTTTCTGTTTCTGCTTTTTTTGTTTTTTACTTTTTATTTATGATGTTTAATTGCGTTTCTGAATTTGCTTATAAAATTTATAAATATTGACTGGTAACATTTTAAAAACTATTTGACTTTTGATTGGTGGTTGAATCCGGAGCGGAGCGAATTTAGGTATAGTTTTAATTCTTAATAAACATTTATTTGTAAATTAGTAGTAGAAAAAGATTATCTTTTCTCAAAAATGTAGTGGTATCACAAATTGACAAGTAGTGAGCGAATGGTGTTAACTGCTGTTCAGGTTTTGTACTCCGTGTTCATAACAGATAAGTGTCTGGGCAGCCAATCCATATAAGCTCATCAATTTCTTTTCATTGTAAACTTATCTTTATTGATTTATTGATATGACTTTAGAAACTTTTTTGTTTTATAATTTAATTTGTAAAATCCTAAATTTTACACGATTACATTTGTCACTTAAGTTTGGTGACGTAATCGACTATGTATCCAGTCAATAAAATATAAGTGATCCATGGATTTCCTGGTATTCTATAATTTTTATAACATCATATTGAATTTTTTGTCACTTTTTTATAAAAAGGGTATATGTCTATTATATTTGTCGCAAAAAGTGTCGAATTGTACTATGCCTTTATTTCTTTTATTAATATGTGCAATAAAAATTACTTTTTTGAGTACTAGATTACCAATTCAGCACTAAGTCTTGTTAATTTGATTTTCGTGAAAATGCATCTAATCTGCTTTATTTGGGGTTTTAGCATACTTATGCATAAAAAGGCTAAATGCTTGACAGCTGTAAAAGTTAGCAGTTGAATTCTTATTCGAAATCAGTGGAAAAGAAATAGAAAAAAACTTTTCATATGATTTATAGAGGAAGTTATTATTATTGGGAAATCAGTGTTGTGATGGAATTTTTACAGCTTTTAAGCGTTCATCGAAAATTTTTAAAATATTCAAGGAAAGAACAGCTGTCCATTTGCTTCAAATGAAAACAGAGCAATCAAAAAAAGTCCATAATTTTCCGGCATGTTCGGAAGGGGAATTAGCTATTTCTGAGTTATTATTGAAGTGGCAATTTTTACACGCAAAATTTTATTATTTGCAATTCTCTCTCTCTCTCTCTCTTTCTCTTTCTCTCTTATGAAAGGAACTTTGGTTGGAATCTTTTTATGGGTCAATTAGTAAAAATTGTTATCGTGTTTTTTAGATTTTCTGCTGGTTCATTCGTGGAGGAAGAAAATTTAAATGATTGCCGAACAGATAACAAAGTAACTGTTCCTTATACCACTTTTTTTATTCTCCAAAATATTTATCACTCAAATCAACTAATATTTTTCAGCATTCCTTGTATTAAACAGTAACGAAGATGGATCATGAATTTCTTATTATAAATAAACATAAATTATTTCAAGTATTTTTTGTTCTGTTCTCACAAATATCTGATCTGATATACACCTGAATATATGTTAAATCACGTAAGTGGAATGGTTTTCAGATAATCCGGATCCGTTCCAATAATTTTGGTCACATAAAATGCATGCATTGTGTATACGATGTATAAAAGTTCGTCGCTATCAATATCCTAAAAAAGAAATAAACTTAAATTATATATTTCGTGCTATTTCAGGATAACATTCCGTGCTATTTCGCTATCATATTACATTGTTTTATATATTCTCTAATGTTTTCTTCATATGATTGAAAATAAATGAAAGATAATCCTCGATTAAATTTCATCTTTTATTTGTAATTTTTCAAAAATTTTATCATTGTGATATCATAAATGTAACAATTATACTTATGTTATGTAAATATCAGATATATCAAACTCTCATTATCACTTATATCAAATGGCCATTAACAATCATATATATATCCTTGTATCATTTGAGACGTAGTATTACTACTAAAATTCCATATATTTCTTACCTTAATTTCTAAATTATTATTCGATGAACTTCGTGCATCTCGAAAAATAAGTCGTAATCGTATTTTTCCATCATCAGATGATGATTCCAAATCACAAAAACGATACTGCCACGAGTAACTCTATAAATTTGCATAAAGTATAATATAAGTTATTGAGGAAAAAAAAGCTTGTGTGCACGATTTATTAAAGACTTAATATTGTTATCTTCTAAGAATGATAACATACTTTTGTAGGAATATCATATAAGCTTATGCCTTGCTTGATATCAATCACCAAACCACTGGGACGTCCTTGATAACTGCATGCAAATGTACGTGTCTAAGAATATGATAATATTCATTGAAAAAATTAATTTCAAACAAAATTAATATATACACTAAAAAAGAAATTATAGAAATTAAATTTGAACAAAGAATGATAAAAAATAAAACATAAATTAGGAAGATAATAATAATATATTTTTAAGAAATAAGTTAATGAATACAAGTAAACAAATTATGGTGATATGGTATGGTATAAATTGGAATAAATTCAGAAAAATAGAGCACCTGAAAACTGTCAACAGTACTGCGTAAACAACGATGATAAGCTACATCGAACTGATTAAATTGATGATGATTCTCAACTGACATGTAATGTTTTAAGCCATTAATCGATGTTTCAATCCAAAAGCAATATTCTCGTTTATCTAATGCTGGTTTTTCGCGATCCATTACTTTAAATGCTGTATCGTAAATTTTGTATAACGATACGCATTTATTCAAATCATCCGAATTCAGCTATAAATCAATTAATTTTAATAATTTAATATATTTAATGAGAAATTATTTTAACGAAGTAACATTTCATAAAATGATCGAAGATTTAAATTTAAAAGTAATTAGAAAAAATTTTTTTGAATTTTAGCATACCGGTGGAGATTCGAAAATACAAAGTTCGCCACCTTTCAGGATGATAAATCGAGGTTCCCAACGTTGACGTGGATCCTTGAAATGCTCTTCCGGTAATCGTTCGCTTACCCAACCAATATATGTAATCTGAAAATTGTCCATCTTCAATTTTTCATTTAAAATTTAATTGATATAAATTTATCCAGAAAGAAAAAAAATTTACAAAATAAATTTTTACATTTTGATTACTTTAGTTTTCAACAATTTGATAGCACTAATAATTTTGAATAGCATTTGCAACAAAGTTACTTATTACGGTATTATTCAACTTTATTGCTTTTATCACGCATAAAACTGATCACTTATTTTGTTGTTTGATATGTTACTTTTTTTTAATGCCTACCTGTTCACTTTTATGCAAATATTTATTTGATAATTTAATAGATTTATAATTAAGTGATGTGATACGAGTCTGAATATGTTTAATCCATTGTTCCATAGTATTTTTATCTTCGCAATGTATAATACCTGTCGATGAGCCATCCACCGCACGAACTTCGAACGCATTATTTCTAAAAGTTTTAAATATTTTCATGAAATTATGCAAATTATTAAATATAATAAATTGTTTTTCGAAAGTAGAGAAAATGACAATACGGAATTAGAATTATTGCACTAATTAGTATTTATTTTATATTATACAAATAATTCGTGAAATTAAAAGGTTTAATTTGATATTGATAAGGAAAGTATATCTATTCGGAAGGTTATCATTATTGTCTATTACAGAAGAAAACAAAAAATTCTTTATTATCATAATGAAGGATTTCATTTTCTAACTTCAAATTCTAAACAAGTGCATCATAATATCTGATAACCTTAAATTGACTCAAATTGGTAAGGAAGAAATCGAGCAGTATTTATGATTTATAGCAATGGAGTTGATAAGAATAACTATAAAATTGATAAGGTAAGATTAAATCTGATTTTTGTATCTTAATTGATACAACATAAATTATATTTCAGTGCTAACCTTAATTTATCAGTTCCCCATAAATAACGAGTAATAAATGCCATCGGTAATGGGATTTTTGCCATTGTTTTCCACTCATCTGATGCACTATCAGCTATACATCGACTGATGGTACTTCCTGTACTAGCTATATCACCTGGATGAACCAATGCTTGCACTTTTAATGAGCTCTGAATTTAATTTTTTTCAATAATCGATTCTTATTTTGAAAATTTATTTTAATCTATGACAAAATAAGTATAATATTAAAGTGAAAATTATCCAATTCTTTTTCTCCTTTTGTAATTTTACTAATAATATCTGATTAAAATAGTTAGCTAAATTATTGAACCTTCCAAGTGTTTGGTTCATAGAGACGGTCAAGTGCGCTTGCGGTATGAGATCTAAGCGAATCTGCTGGACTAAAAAATTTCATTTCATTATATGAAATTTCATAAATATATCAAACAACTTTGTTGGAACCAAATACACTAAAATATAATTGAAATATCGAAAGTAATTTTAGCACTAATATATCAGTTTCTTGTTTAATTACAAAAAAATGTTGCAAAATCTGTCATCTTTCTACAAGACTGCCAATAACTTCGAATTTTTCATTATTGAATTTCTAAAAAAGGAAAAAATGATGATATTCTTAAGAATCTTACTTTTTATAAAATATATTAAACTTCCATTATCTTACAACAATTCTATGGATATGACTTTTTTTAAGGCAGCCATAATATATTTTGAAATTTTAATTGATCGAATTTAATAAGTATTCAATAAAACAACAAACTTTTTAAAAGTAAAATCTAACTTTAAATAAGGAGCAATTTGTATATAATGTCTAACACTAAGTGTTACTTCATCGTCAATATCCTTCAAAATTTCAACAATTTCGTCATGAGTTTTACCATCTGTTGATTGTCCATTTATTTCAGCAATCACATCACCAACATATAATTGACCACATTCTTCCGCTGCAATGATAAAATATTATCAATGATTGTTCGCAATGATAAAGCATTTTCATTCATCACAATGATGGAGCGTTTGTTTAGGAAGTAATTATTTTCCATAGTTAAATTCATTGATTAATTATTCGCCATGTCAAAGGTTGCAAAATAATAATGAAAGAATTTCTGCGGTACAAAATCAACTCTAAATTTATTTTAAATATCAAATATTTAAATTGCTTAAGAATGAACTGTAATTAACAATAAAAATGATTACTTTATTGTACATACCGGGGGTATTTTGAAAAATCTTTGAAATAACAACTGGTACTTGTTGATTACCATCGTTACCACCCTAAAAAATAATTTTATTTTAGATAGGAAATTAAAAAGTTTGCCCATTTCTATTTTATCTAACTTACTTTGATTGATAATCCCAAACCACCGTTACTTTTCTTGCGTAATTTAACATATCGTATAGTATTATCCATTTCCATCATCGAATCTTTCATCTCATCCAAAAGACCGCTTTTAGCAGTTACTTGAATGATAAGAACTTCTGAAATTCAAAACCTGTAGAAGATCTACTTTTCTTTCATCTTAAAAAAAATATTACAACTTACTTTAATTTAATCAAATTGAGGAATTTAAAGATTTAAAAAAAATTTCACAAGCTGTCTCAAGTTTAGCTTATTATAAAATATTATTGCAATGTGATCAAACATTAATTACTCAAAACTTTTTCATTACAAAATTTCTCGATTTTTTCTTAACAATTTTATTATAATCATTACTAACCTTTTGTGAGTTCCAATCGTACTGGTCTTCCCCGACCTTTACCATCACTGAGTAATACCATTCCATGATGAACCTACGAAACTATTTCTTTTAGGATATTCAAATTTAATTTTCAATTTTCTTTTACAATTTGTTACACAACAGAACTTACAACGTCGAAATTTTTCCCACGATTCTTCATTGCTACTCTTATTTCTATCAATCGGATATAATTTTCTTTTAAAAAATTGAGAGCACAAAAATCTGAAATTAATGAGTTAAGTAATTTTGGCAGAAAAAATTATCTATGCTAGCGTAACATGATGAAATATCTGGATAAAAGCTAAAAAATCGTAATTTAAGAATTCCTAATTAATCAATTAAAGAACTGTAAGCAATCGTAAGTTGGCAAGTTTCATCAAAATCTCCAACTTTAGGATAAATTAAATATAAAATTAAATTTCTAATTGTCTATAATATAATTAATATTAATCGTAATTATAATATTACAATGACTTATTCGTTATTACACAAATTATTTTTCAAATAATAACTTTTTTGCTATCATTCGAAAACGAAGAAAAATACGATAAGATTCGATTAATTGCACTTTTTAAAACAATATAAAGAAGCGATTTTTACACTTAAAAAATTTTAAAGCATTTATTATAAAGAATAGAGAATGGATATGTTATATAAATAATTATTCAAAATGCAACTTATCGATGCTTGCAAAATGATCAGTGCTAAGTTTATAAAAGTTTAAAGAGAAATGATGGAGAAGGCAGAAATACACGTGCGTGTAGAGAGTAGTACACACAGCTGTTCAAGCAATTCTTCAATAATAACATTTCTATTAGCTATCATACTTTCAAACTTTATCAGAATAATTAGCACATTCCTCTTTAATTTTTCTCATTTCACTGATTGCATTATTACACATTTTCGCTAATTACTGTTTATTTGCATCAATGTGATATTACAATATGAAATGATCGACGGATAATTTGTATGCAAAAGATGTATGAAAAATCTCTCTTAAAATCTCTCTCTCTTAAATCCTTTTTTTATTATTTTCATTTCAATCCAATGTGAAGTGAAAACTATACATCATTCAGATTGTTTTTTTGTATATGTTTTTCTTCTTTAGTTAAATTTCATTTTGCTGCAGCAGGCGATTCTTTTGCAGCCGCAGCTGCTCCTCCTTTCGCATCCGCAACTGGTTGTTTTGTATCCGCAGCTAAAGCTGGAGTAGGTGCATTTGCTGCTGGTGTTGCAGCCGCTTGTGTAGCACCACCGGCAGGTGCGCTAGCGGGAGGTGCGTTACCAGTTTGCACTATATTACCACCAGTAGGTGTAGCTGCAGTTCCATCATTTTTGAGGAAGTAAACCATAATACGGCGTACACCTTCAAACTTCGATTCCGGTGTCCAAACTTGTCGAGCAGTCTTTTCCTTCTGAAAGTAAAACATTGCGCCAACACTCAAAATATATCTAAAATAGCACTTCAATATTACTCCAAAATTAACGTATTCACATTTAATATCTTTACATATCACATTTCGCTTGTGTATCCAAATTAAAAATAGCATTATATACAAGTTGAATGAAACGTATAATTCAACGTGAGTACACGTACATAATATCTATGAGAGAGAGAGAAATTATGAAAATCAGAAATTATGAAAAAACGCCTCGCCTTCAAATGAGAGGTCAACTATTAACAAACTAAGGTGTCATTATTTTGCAAATATCCGTCATTATAACTATTGCATTTTAAAATAAAATTTCTTTTTCTGCTACTTTTTTTTAATATCAGTAAAGTTAATAATAGTTTAGTGATTATCAGGTTTGTTACAAAACAATTAGCTCCATAATACAAACAGCTTATCACGATTAACTGTCTGCTCTTTGATCCCATTTGTCACATATCATTCGTTTGTAAATATTTTCTAATTATTATTGCAATAATTTTCTGATATTAATATTTGCAAAATGATGACACCATACTGCTATTATTGATATTGACAGTATTGACACCACAAATCCTAGCGATTGTTTTCTTAAACATTGAAGAATGATTGTCAATTAAAAATTTTGTCGACTATAACACTTTAATAGGTAGCACTAATTAAATGGCAAGCATTTGAATTCATAAGACAGCTAAGAGTTTGAGGGAAGATAAAACTGATATAAATTGAAAAGTGAAATGGATCGTTGGATGGTTGTAAATGTAAACAATATTGCAATGACTAACTGATAATGATTGCCTTGCTAATTGCAAATGATAAGCTGAAGGCGTATTAGGCATTAAAAAATATAATTTCATTTTAAACATCAATGATAAAATGTACATTTAACTTACTACAATCGATCTTACAAGTTAATACTAATAATCGATCAGTCATTACCTTTATCTTTATTATTTCAATTTTTCTTTTTTTATACTTTCCGTATTCCATCGTTATTAATTATTTGAAATTTAAAATCAAAGCATTTTATATAAATAATAAATAAATAAATATTGATTATATCAGCATCCTATTAAATAATAGATTTTAGTAAAAGAAAATTTTGAGAAATTCAAGAAAGAAAAAATATTGCTCTTCAGATTCTTAATAGATTCTTCAGATTCCTCAATAGCATTTTCTTACTATGATTGATCAGAGTTTCAAATAACTGACGAACCTCATCGCTTTTCATATGATAAAATGCAAAATAATGTCTTCCGCTCTCAGGTACGGTTTTACTTGAAAATATAATTTTAATTGAAGTCGAAGTTTCGGCATTGCAAAATCCAAGCGCTGGACGTACCCGAAATATATCATTCGATGTGCATTTCACCTACGACATTCAGAGATTTATTAAGTTTCTTTTATTAGCAATATACAACGAATAAATTGCATTAAGAAATTTTCAATCGTTATGATATCTCTAAAATTTCATAATCTCAGATATCGATAATTGAATATATCTTTGCTGATAAAAAATAATTGAAAAACTGATTCATTCATCATTTGAAATTTAGTTATGATAGATTAAGGTTTGGTAATAAATAAATGCTGAAAGAGAAAACTTTAAATGCTTATTCATCTTCTGTTTGATTTGATTGTTTTGCATATCATGAAATCAAGTGATATCATTCATTTTACACTCAATTTCTCGAAGTTTAATTTAATAATTTTAATTTGGAACATTGCCCAGAAAAAAGGGAACCTTAAATGTTTGTCTATCCTTTGTGGGATTTGTCAATTTAACTTCAATCTGGCACGGTTCTTCCGTTAATTTGTCACTTTTAAATTCCAGTCTTGTGTCTGGCTCAATTTTTAATTGAAAGGCTGGCTCATTTGGTTTATTGGGTGGTATCGGTACTGCTATGAGAGCAACCGGTGGTTTTGCTTCACCTTGTGGTACTCCCGCAGGTTGAACCGCAGCCGCTGGAGTTGCATTTCCCGCAGATTGAACCGCAGCAGCTGGAGTCGGAGATGAAGGTGAAGATGGTGTAGCGGCAGCCATTATTATTATAAAATATATTTTTTGAAATCTGCAAAATTTTAACTTTTAAGAAAATACTTTTGAGCAAATCGGAATGGAACTTATGGATTTTTAAACAGCTTTAAGAGATAATTTCATGAAAAATATAAAGCTTCTCAAAAATTCTCACACGTTTTAATTTAATTTTAAAATGGTTTTAATTTTGGGCTATCATTGGAAGTTCAGGTCAGAATGTCGAGATAACGTGACCGAAGTGACATAAAAGCAAACTTGTTCTGGGTAATCCTAACTGATTAAGCAAGCAACCGCTCGAAGAATTGAAAATTGTGCAATATATTGATATTACACCGATTCTTCATTTTTAAAGATTAATTTGAAACATGGGCAAAAAATTTTGAATTTCTTCTTTTCAATTTATTTTAATTATAGTTTCAGCAATTCAGTTATGCAGTTGGTTCTTCTGAATTATTTTTAATCTTAACTTGAAGCATCGAAATGATTGTTTGACTAACTATGAATTCATTCCTGATAGCGATGAGAATATCCAGATATAATTCAGGAAATGTAAAAGTTTAATTTGTAAAAGAGTTAAACCTTGAAGGTACCAGACAAACGAAAGCTGTTACGATTAAAATTAAGGAACAGAATTTGAGAATAGAATAAATTTTATAAAATTATAGCAAGAATTTTGCTAATTAATCTTATCCAAAGTTTCGAAATAAGCATCAATAAATTTAAGAAATCAATAAAAAGAAAATATAGCAATTTTATTGGATTGAATTAATTATAAAAATTTGAATTAATTTTTCAATTAAATTTCTCTCCAACTTATTGCAAATGTTTTATTGTTTTCACTGCCAAATTATTTAATTAATGTCTAATTTTTTATCAATTTAAAAAGGAAAACATTCGATGTTGTGTTGAGGAAAAATTCAATAATTTCAATTTATTCATTTATAAAAACAAAAGGATATCGTTGCTTACCTTGCACACCTGTAAATGAAATTCATTAAGAGAAGAACAAATATTTTGAAAACTTAAAAACTCTGAAATAAATATAAGAAATGATTTTTGACGAATTACCTAAGAAGCCAATCTTTGTTTAGGAAAGAAATGTATTTTAAACGAATATTTATAATTGCATAAAAATTGTTGAATTTGTTGAAGCAAAAATAATTTGTAATATATTCAAATAATTATACAAATTAATAAAAAAATAGATTTTTTCTTCTTATTATAACGAAGCATAAATAGCAATACAATATTTTATAGTATAAACGCTGTCATTAATTTAGATTACAACGATAACTTTAGCATTTGGAATTTTTTCAAATTTATTTTCAATAAATGTTTATTTGTTTGTGATAGATATCATTGATAAAATGATAATAATGAATTTAGTAATATTTATTTTGTTAAAAAAATATATTACTTAAAAAATATTTTAATTAGATTTTAGAAAAATTTTCAATCAGTTAGTATTGATTGAAATTTTCTTTCCAAAAATAAATAGTTGTAATAAAATCACTTCGAAATAGCTGTTAAAATTACTAAATAGCTGCTAAAATTACTTTTGTTTGTATAACTGATAAAATGTTAGTAATCGTGTCAATCGGTGGAGAAATTCTGATTTTTTTCAAACCAATAATTTTGTTAAAGCGTTCATCACAACATTCTACAACATAATGAGATGTCGTAGTCATGGTGACAAGTTTCCATAGTTGCCAGATAAGAAGAATGGCAACTATCGCTCCTTTAAAAATCAAAATTCTTGTTCTTGGACCACTTAAAGTAAGATTATATTGCTTCCAATCAAATTTAAATTATCAACCTTTCGATTAATTAATTAATTAATTTGTAAGAGCTTACGTTATAAAAATTAATGTTCAAAAATTTTGTTGAGAAAGCTTTTTGATACTTTCAGTTGTTTGAAAAAATGATAGATCTTATTGCTATATCCATCAGACTTTGGTGAAGAAAACGATATAAATATTTTGATCTTTTTTGAAATCAAATAATTTGGTAAAAGAAAATTTTAATTACATCAAAATTTAGAGCGGTAAGACAACAATATCAAATTATTTGGCGGATTCAAGCGATATAAGCCTTAATACATATCGGCCAACTCGTGGTAAGATTTTTTATATCCATTTTTATTTGATATTATTATAACGAATGGATGATATGATGGTTTTTCATTGATAACATTATTATTTGAAATTAAATAGAATTTACTTCCGAAATTTTTACCCATTTTAAGTGATTATTAAGGATGAAATTTAAGGAATAAACTTCTTAAATGTATTATTTGCTTTTGACAGTTACAGGTAGCATTGATTTTTGCCATCGTAAGATGATCTGTTATTCAACAATTTTTTTTCGCATTAATGAAATTAAAATAATATTAAGGTGTGCGAATTGTTGAATTCGAGAGTAATGACCTAGAACTTGATGGGGAACGAGTGGAAGCAGAGATTGAACTTTGGGATTGTAGTGGTGATAAACAATATGAGAGATGTTGGCCTGTAATCCGACATAATACTAATGGCGTTATATTGGTATGTAGGCCTGATCAAGATAATGGATCGGCACTTTTACCGTGGTATCAAATTGCTATATCTTAATTTTTTTAGTTATGAAAAAAGCAAAAATGATTATTTCATTTAGATATGAACTCTTAAGATCGGAAAATTTGCAACTAATTGATCATTTTCATATGACTCATTAACTGTAAGTTTTCGGGAGAGTGAAATAACGGATTATTCATCCATCTTTCTCGGAACTGATATATCTTAAATACTTTGTTTATTTTAAGCAGAATGAGTCACTAGTTAAATAGTAATAGCAATATATTTAGTTCCGGATATTTTTTCTAAAGACATGAAGCATATTCTTATCAGGAATGCGAGATCGGCTAATCCTTTTGTTAGTATCAAAAACAATGAACTTATATCTTTAGTAGAATAAATGATTTTTGGAAAATTCTAAAAGTGCTACATAATTCCGAAATATCTGAGACAATAAAATGAATCAATTTGTTATAAATCAGTAAGATCAAATTATCACATTTGTTTAATATTACTTATACTAAGGTACGAAGAATTTGTACAACGTAGAAACATTGACCCATCACTCGTTCTTATCCTATTGAATACAACCAATGAGTCGTCCGACTATCCAGTGACCAATGATATCACCGATTTTTCTCTCTCACCTCAGATGAGCAATCTTCGAATTGTGCCAGTGAATATCCATTATGATGATGATAATCTTCGATTAGAATTCAATGGTTTTCTGTGTCGGGTTATTTCAAATGTAAAAATTCAAAAAACTGAATAAATTAATGATACCAAACTGGCTGTCATTTAATTTACAAAGTCACAATTAATTGATGATAATGCTAGGACGAACTGTCAGTAATATAGCAAAGTGTTTTACGATGATCGGACAACACCTATTAAACTCCACTAATACTATAATATTTTAAAATATATTAATATATTGTTGATCCAGTTCATTCAATGTGAATACATGGAGAAATGTAATTGGAATTAATGGTGTGAAAGCTTTTGATTTGTTACTAAAATTCGATATCAAATTACACTAATAAATCAGTAGTCGATGACTGTTCACTTAATTCGCCAAAAACTTTTACACGGATAGATATACCAATTGAGAAAGAGAAAATGAAGAAAAGAACCCATAAAAATTTATTATTATCACTTAACATATATACTCATTTGCAATTTATTATTATTGTCATTATTATCATTACTGTTACTTTTATTATTATTATTTTATATTATTAGCATTATTTATATTATTATTAATATTATTATTGTACCACAATTGGAATAAAAACAATCGAATAATCAGAAAGTTAAGCAACAAGAAGAGCTCTTTGATAATGTACCAATAAGTTCGATTGTTGATTTGTTTACATTTTCACCATTTTGCATTTTGATAAGTTTTCTGCAAACAAGAATTTGCCAACTTCATAAGTCCATATGGATATTTTCTATGGCAAGAGCGATTAATTATCAATTAAAACTGATACATTACAATAGACTAACCGTGTAATTTCCTGAAATGTCTCTTTCACATTTTGACCACTTTTAGCACTTGTTTCTATAAATCCAATATTGTAAGCCTAAAAAGATTGCAATCACTTTAAAGATTCATATGCAAAAAAGCATTGATTTGTTTGATTAATTGGATTTCTCTTCATTTTGTTATAACCGGAAAGATTTAAAATATGAAACGAACTTCGGCAAGTTGTCTTCCTTCTTCATATTCCACTTTCCGACTACTTTGTAAATCCATTTTATTGCCAACAAGTGTTATCAGCACTGTTTCCTTAGCATTTTCTTTAATTCGTGTAAGCCAATCCTAAAAATTAAATTAATTTCTTCCACCTTACTAGCTCTATGAATTCGAAAATTTAATCAAATTATACCTTAAATTATAATTTATGTCAATCCTAAAAATTCCTTCATTAAATCAACATAAATTATTCTACTCTAATGGCACTTATACGCAAACATTTATAAGACTTACTCGAATATCAATAAAACTTTGTCGATTTGTTAAATCATAAACAAGAAGAAGAGCATCAGCATCACGATAATATGTTGTTGTTATTGCGCGAAATCTTTCTTGACCAGCTGTATCCCAAATCTAATCAATCAATTTGAATTTTTGTTAGTATTAAAAATAGAAGAGAATATCGATTTTGTTATTCCTTTTTTTATTTAAATTACTTTTAATATTTTTGCAAAAAATTTTCACAAAAAAGTTTTACTTAAAAAATGAAAAAATGACCAGTAAAAACTTCTTTTCTTATAAAATTTCAACAATTAATATTTACTTTTAAAGAATCAAAAAAAAGGAATGGATGAAAATGGAAAAATTATGAAATAATTCTTACTTGCAACTTAACTTTAGCATTGTCTATTTCAACCAATTTATTCTGAAAAAAAGACATAAATATAATTTAAACAATTTGTAATTAAAAAAATTAATTATTAAAAAGGTCGATCATTTACTAATTGAACATTTTAGTTGTTGTAATTTTAAATTTTAATTTAATAAGAAATAAAAATAGTATGTAATGAATAAAAACAATAAAAGTTATTTTTCACTCGATAATCAATTCCAACAGTGGCAATAAAATTATTATTTAGAAAGGCGCCATCTTTAAATCGAATCAACAAACAAGTTTTACCACAGCAACTATCACCAATTAGCATCACCTGAAAAAGAAAATAATGAATAATTGGAAATGAATTGTAAGGAAAGACTTTCAAAAGAAAATTGATTAATTGTACCGATATTTAATTGATTAGAATTACGTGTTCGTAGTATGCTCTGTGTCACGTACGTAAATGATCCCTCCCTAATGTTGATCACATAAGCGGAATAAACCGTAAATTCTTCTATTCCCTCTTAATGTTTGCATAGTTTCAAGAAATAACAAACGAACGGTAAATGAGTAATCGATTTCAGTAAGAATCGAAAATGTTTCATTTTTCTTCACCATCATATCATTTTTTTTTAAATCGTAATTACATCTGAAATTATCATTTTCCATGATATCATCATTATATAATTTTGGTTAGAGAATTATTTTGTAGTGGCTGGCATTTATTGTTTTCCAATAGCAAACTGTAATCGAATATTATTAAATACTGAAAAGCCAAAAAAATAAATTTGTAGAGATATGAATCGAAAATATCCTTTCGCTTTCATTTTTTAATCTTTTAAAATAAATAAAATATTTCGAGTTATTTCATAAATACAGAATTTAAATGAATTTTGATAAAATATGCTAATTATTAATAATAGCATTTCATATCTTTACTTTTATATTACTTCAAACGGGTTTGTGACAGCCGATATCACTTACTAGTCATTTATTTCACTGATATGAAATGGATCGAAGTTCATATTAAAATGATGAAAATATATAAAAATTTCCGACTATTTTCTGTCAGAAATACCGGAAAGCAATAACGGAAATAACGAAAATAAAATAAAATCTCCATTTATCATTGTTTATATTTTGTCAGTAATTAATTAATTTTGTGCTGCAATTTTTTGAAAAGTAAGAAATTTCTTCTTTAATTATTCAAAATAGGTTGTTCTTAAACTTTTCTAGTATTTTCATTTATTTTTACCATGATCAATTTACTATCTAAGTTGCAATTGCAAATATTCTCTTATGCCACATAATAATTAGACCACCTGCTTGGTTATTAATTAAAATATTAGGTAAAATACGGGAAAGTAATTTTACTATCATTACATGATAATGATCATATGGAGCTGATAAGGTGATAGCAAAAAAATATGAACATAGAAAAGCGTTCATAATTTTCACTATATTTCATATATTTAAAAAAGCTAAATACGTTTCTAACTCTTAACATTACAAAATTAAAATAATAATAGAGTTTCTTTAACTATCATTGTTGTATTGATTGATCTGACTAATATTAAATTAGACTTTTTGAAAATAGAAAGAAAGGATATCTGTCAATAATTAAATAAGCAATGATATAAGCTTTGTAGTTAGCCGTACTTTCAAGAAAGTACATTTTATTCAGTGCAAAAGCAATTAAAATATTTCTTCTCTTTGGCATATTCGAAATGCTTGCTTTCCCATTTACACAAACCGGATCTAATTTCCGATTTTTTTTTATCCGAATTAAAATGAAGGAATAATTTCGCAGAAGATTGGCCAATTTATATTCTCCCTTGTGTTTTTCAAAAATTAATTTATATTGGTTAAATAGAAGTAATTAATTAATTTTACTTTTCCTTACTTTTCTTTATGTTTTATTAATTCTTGTCAAAAACAATCCCATAGGATATGTATGCTACGGTATGTTGTAACAATGAATAAGCAATTTGTTCTTTTGTGGAAAAAGATTTTATCAATGAAAATGTTCATCGAAATTATCAGCAACTCAAATGAAATAACATTAATGATTGTAAATTTATTCAAAGCAATGTAAAATGACAATTTTATGATAAAATAAATTTTGAAGAAAAAATATCGATGAAGGAAGCATTGAATAAAGGCATTAGAATTGTTAAGTATGAAGAAGATTTTAAAAAAGTTGACAGAATGTCGTCATAAATTCTATATTTCTTTAAAGTGAACAATTTGAATGGAAATTTAGGATTGTGAATATTTACTAAATTTTCTTCTAAAATCAGTAGTTGAAGAAATTTTGGTTATTAAGTGTAGCAAGTGAAAAGTTGAACTATGGATATAGGCTTATTAGAGTTATGGGTGCAGGTATAATATAGTAATGGATATAGGCTTATTAGAGTTTTCCACAAAATGCTCTCTATTAAATTAGTAAATAATTTTGATAGGACCATGAAATATAATCGCCCCACTGTGGAATACATTGTAACAGCAACTAACTGTCTTAGTTTCAAATTATATCAACCTGATATAAGTGCAGAAGTTACTTAGCAACAGTAGCAGTCACACAATATGTAAATGATTACTAGTGCATTTTTTCATCACAAAACAATTTGACTAATTTTGAATATAAAAAAGATAAACAAAAATCGATTGCGCAGAATGTTTAATATTACCACTTCATATACTACAATATATTACGGTCGAAAAATTAATCATTTTAATTTCATTTAAAAGCTAATTTTAATCTTTCACAAAAATTAAAATTCCCTTTGATCTCACCTCAATTGCTTTCAATTACTTTATTCAATAAGAAAAGATATTTAATTACGAAACATTGAAAAGTTTGTAGTAATTTAAAAGAAGAAAGAAATGAAATAATTTCATTAAAGAAAAAATATTCCAACGAAATGTAAAATATTTCACAATTAGGGCATTGAAATGAATTGCTCATTGAATGATAACAAAAGATAATTGGTATTAGGAAATTACTTACCAATTACTTCTTACCATTGAAAATTATCGATCAGTGAGAATATTTTCAACTTTCAAGATTGTTTGAAATGAAAATTGAATGAATCAAAGGAAGAAAGAATTTCAAAAAAAATTTTAAATTATTCTTTTAAAAAAAATAATTCAATTTTCTGATTATATGTATTTCATATTTTCTTTTCTATATCGGTTGAAACGATAAGTTACTGCAAATATGTCGCAAACAGGAATGGACATATTTTGCATTTGAGATCTTTCATTTATACTAAAAAAAAAAGATTTTTAACTAATTAAAATTTAAATATCAAATAAATGAATATTCTAATTATTAACATATTGAACTTGTCATATCTGTTACGATATGAAGTATAAATTAGAAATGATAAACTCGTTAATTTTGAAAATCTTTCACTGAATAAATATCTCATATAATTCTGAAAACTCAGTTGGATTTAAGTATTAATCAGATATTACTAATATTTATGGGAAAGATTATTATGGATAACAAAAATAACAATTGGAATATTTTAATGATTTTCAATTATTTGTATAAACTTGGTGATACTATAATTGCTGAATATCTTGGAAATTGATTTGATATATGCAAATAGCGTAAAGTTTAGACATTACAAAAAAACATACAAAGAATTTTGACAAAACTTTCCAGCACTAATGAGTTTTAAATATAATTTTTATGCATAATTATACTTAGTTATTTGTCGTAAATATTACTTGCTACTATCATAATTGCCTCATTCTTAATACTACTCCTATAGCTGTCATCATATTAACAATTCGATTTTATCTCTCATCAAATTTAATGAGCAGAATGAAATCAATTAAAGATATCATTAATCAAAAAGAATTAGTCGGATACATCATTGGTGTAGATGTCTATCTTTCCGAAAGTTTGTCTTATAACAAAATCACATTTTAGAATAACTCATATTCGTGAAAACTATTGATGAGACGCAATTTTTCATTTGCAAAAATATCCATCCTTAAAAATAGATTATAAATTATTTTATAACATTTTTGATTTTATCATTTTCGTAAGTACAAGAAGTTTTTATGGAATAAATTTAAATGTAACTTTAAAATATTTCAAAACTTATTTAAAATGAAGAGAGATAGAGAAAAAAAGAAAATTTTAGCAAAAATAAATAATTTTTTAAACATTTAATTTTAGGAATATTTGCGAATTCAAAAAAAAGAAAGAAAGAAAAAAAAGTTTAATATAATTTAAAAATATTTACTTTAAAATATTTGCTATAAATATCAAACGTATTATTGCATTGTTTACAAAACGTTAAAATAATAAAAGGAAGTTCGATTCCCTAAAACGATTATTTATTTTAGTTAGAAAGAAAATGTCTGTCAAATAAAACTGAAATAATCTAAACTAAAAATTTTCTATTTCATAAATACTTCAAAAATGATAAAAAAATTTTTAGGATCTCATGAGAACCAAAATTTTTGATGAAAGATAATAATGGGTTGAGAAGAGAGTTGTTGAAGAATAACAAATGCGAGCTAATTTGAAGAAAATTCTATTCAAAAAATTTACACGAGGGAGAAACAAGCTGATTGCATCTATCGAAATGGCTATATAAAAAATAGAAAGTAAAAGTTAATTTTATCAAAAGATATAAAAGTCTTTAGAAGAATAATGCCAATTTTCAACTTTAGCCTATTTTTGTTTTCCCGATCATTTCTATGTTATTATAAAATTTAAATTTAAATCTTGATTTCAATTAAATTTTCTCTTTTTGATAATTTTGTCGAATAGAAAAAATTTCGAAATGATTATTACAATCTTTCAATCCGTTCAATCCTTATTGTTTTAATTGTTACTAATTATTTTTTAGTTGATAAAAATTTATCACTATCACTATAAAACATAAGTTTTGTTTTTAATATATGTTTTAGATTTTAATATTAGGAATGTTGTTATTAAAATTGCGCATTTAACTTTTGATATTCAATAATATAAACAATAATAAGAGTGCCAGCTAGCGAATAATTTAATTTGAAGCAGTCGAAATTTAATTATATCAAAGAAAAAAGAGTAATTTTTCTTTGTCGACAATTTGAATTATAGCCATGTGACATTAATTGTTTTATAATTTTGAAATTTGATTTCTAAAAAAATTTCATATTTTAATTTAGAATGATAACGATGATTTTAGATTTGATAAAAGCGCTTAGAAATGAATTCCAGCTAAGTGAGAAGTAAAAGAACAATTTGAAACAAAGAATTACTTTAATATAATTGTTGGAAATTAAATTCATTTAAAATGAATGTTATTTACTTCTCATCTAATATTGCTCACAATAATATTATGAATTTCGTATAAATATTTAAATTGAATAGGATGAAAAACTAACCAAACAATTTTCGAATTAATTGTACAATTTGAAAAATTTTATTCAATAGCTAATTAATTCATTTGGTATAACGAAATGAAAATGAAATGGGATCACAACATAACCAACCAACCAACCAACCAAGCAATTAATTAATCAACTAATCAACCAAAAATAAAAACATTTCATCTTCACAAAAGCATATCGAATTTGCCACTCCTCTTTTTTGCTTCTAGTTGTAAAATGTAATCTTCATTTAAATCGAATTAATCAGGAATGAAATGAAATTAATCAGGAAAAGTCTGCTGCATTGAAATGATTATGTAAACAAAAGCTTTCAGTTTTCTTTTTATAAAAAGTTTTGAAAGTGAAAAAATCGATAAAAGAAATAATTGTTGAATTTTTTAAAAATATCTCTTGATAACTTGAAATTCATTCAAATATATAAAATGGAAGAATCCTTCGATAGGTACCATTATGAATCATTCTGCTTAAAACACTCTGACAGCATTGTTTGATCACTTTTTCATTTTGGATTTTGGTTTGAAAAATAACGCTGAGCATTATTGCTCCTAAATTATCCTCAATCATTTCCAAAAACCTAACAAATTTCGCTTTATATATATTTACAGCACCGAATGGTATGAATTTCTTGTGAATGAATTTCATAGTAATTTGCGATTCAAAAAGCATCCCATGAATTATTAGTTTCTATTCGTGCCAGCTATTAATGAAGTGACGTTATTTAAAATAAACTAAAAATTAATTTTCTCATATGCATTAGTGAAAGGTAAATAATATTACCTAAACAAATTTCCATAAATTAATAACTAAATTACTCAGCAAATAAGACGTCATTTTGTTTTTCAATCTTTCTCAGTTAAAAAAAAGATGACAGAAAATCGATGGAATATTTTGCAGCATTAGAAAAGTTTGAATATGAATGGATTATTTGGGATATGTATAAAGTAACATTTCGAGAGAGTAATTTCCCTCGGGATATCTCTGCAAATAACAATAATCCATTCTTCTCTTTGCGTTTCATCTCTTTTCTATTTTTTGTCAAATTCGAACTCTTTTGAAATATATTCAACAAAATTTTTGCAACGATAAATTTTTATGCTCAAAAATTAAAATAAGACTAATAATTAAACTGTAATTAATTTGATCCAATTCGAATTCATTTAATTAGGATTGATCTAGAACTTAATTCTATTAACTTGTTAATTTAATTCCAATTTTATTGGCCTATCTCATCTAAAGCTCTTTCATTAGTTTATCACATCTCCAACTAACATGAAACATTCATTCAATCTTTCCCGATTCCAAATAAATAAATTACATTAGCGCAAATAACTTTATCAATAAGTTATAAGCAAAGGAATTGATGCCTAAATTTGCGGATACATTGAAAGCTAATGGAGCATTTAAAGAGAAAAAAAAAACGGAAAAAAGGATTATGAATGAAACGGCTAAACCGGCCAGAATTTCCATTAAATAAAAACTGACATAAATGAGTTCATAATACAGCAATGTTTTTGTTTTCGAATTGATCGAATTCGATTCAATTCAATGATTCATCACTTTTACACAATTGTTCGATTTATTTTTTTCTCTTTTGACGATTGATACTGACTGTAGGAATGCTTTATCAGATTGTGATAAATTTTAAAATTGATATCAATATTGATTGAATTGGTGAATGGCTAAGAAAATAGATCGATGAGTTAATTTCGAGAATTAATTTCAGTATTATTATTTGCAATATTTTGAAGTATCGAGTAGCAATGTATAACAAAGTCTTATGAATCCAGATATCCCGGATAACTCAATACTTCAGCTTTTGAGAATAAAAATAGCGGGTTATCTGAGAGATAAAATAAATAGAGAGGGTTTGCGTATTTTAGTTCCAATGACACCCTATCTCTTCCTCTCTCATTCCATTTTTTATTTCGTCGTTCTACTTAAAACTTTATTATAAATAAGACTGTCAGCATTCTTTATTGTAATATTTGGTAAGATAGTACTTTATAGTTTTCTGCAAACCATCCTTAAATGATGTAGTGCTTCTCCAATTTAATTCTCGAGAAATTTTCGTAGAATCGATACAATAACGTTGATCATGATATGGTCGATCTATTACAGGCTCAAATTGCGGTGCATTTGTTTTCCTGGAAATCTATTTCAATTTAAACTTTTCATATTTTTGCATTTCATATTTTATATTTCCACACTAATAGAATTAGTAAAATTATGAAAGAATACTAAATAATTCATATTTATGACTTATTCTTCCTAACAATTTCCTAACATTGTTATTAAAACGTACAAAGAATATATATATCAATTTAATAGTGCAAAATTAAACCGTTTCAATAATTTGTTGACAGTTTGATGAATCAGAATAGTTACATCATAATTAGTAATTTCAAATTCCGTTCCAATGTTATAAATTTCACCAATTCTGCCTATTTCACATACACGTCTGATTGCATCGATACAATCATCCACATAGATCCAATTCCTATAAATTCTCATTTTATTCCTATCTGATGAAATAATTATAAATAATGAGATTTAGCGAATATATATGATTCCTTAAAATTCTAAATTCTTCTTAAAATTCATTCAGTAATTATAGAAAATAAATGAATGGATAAATTGAAATCTTCATGAAAGTCTCTAATTAAACGGATAATAAAAACAATTGAAAGGATTAATACTTAAATTATTTACTAAGGCGATTTTTTAATTAAACGATTTAGTTTATGGGGTCTAAGAGGTTTATAAAAAAAATTAAAATTTCAACTTTCAACCTTGTATGCATTCCATTACCCATTAATGGATATGATTTCCCTTCCACTGCCAATGAAATAAATTTTGGAATTAATTTTGTTCGAGTTTGATTTGGTCCATAAATATTATTCATTCGAACTAATACAAATGGTATTTTGTAAGAATGCTTAAAATACCTTTTCTTATTATATGAATGATTCATTTCTTTTTTGAAATAGCTAATAAAATTTTTCTTAAACAAATTAATCGTTAGGTAAAATATGAAAGGTAACGATTAAATTTATAAAATTTAATAAACAAGAAAAAACTTTGTTATCAATATATCAATTATCAATTAACTATTACTGATATATTTTGATAATTTTACTACGATGTTAAAAGAGCATACATTTCAAACATTTATAAATGAAATGAAATTTTACCCAATAAGAATTTAGAATCATTTCACAACAAGCTTTACTAGCTGCATATGGATTTGTTGGATTAAGCAATGAATATTCCATTTTTAATAAACTTCCCTCTTCTGATTCACCGTATACTTCATCTGAACGAAGAAATTTCCACATGAATTTAATAAATTAATTCAATTTTTGTCAACATCTCTTTATTAGCTTAAATATTAGCAGATTACTATATTATATATATTTATAATTTGAATCCCTTTTATCTAAACTACCTATCTATTAAAAGGTAATCGTTTTAATAAAATAAGTTAATTAACAAATTTGATATAAATTTAGCATAAATATAAAGAGTGGTAAGAGAACGATAACTGATTTACTGATAAGATTATATCAAATGACTGAAAGTTAAAAGTTGAAAGAATGCTGGAATTGTATTGGAAAAAGATAAGGTAAAAATGAAATAAGAAATAAAATTGGAAAATGTAATAGATAAAGTGTTATGCTTTTATATTTTTTTTTAAATTTTAACTATTAAATATTAAAAGCTTTAACTATCAGTGTACTCGATCAACTGATATGCATATCACATATCAATTGGTGAATCTATCTATATCATCCACAACAGACAGTATCAATGTATAATTAACATAAATAAACATTAACAGGTGGGAGAAAAATTTTTTTCATGGATAATTTGAAATGCTACTTATTTTTTAAAACTTAAAAACAAACCAGTACTGATATGTACAAATCGTTTTATGCCATTATATTGAAATGCAATTGCTTCCAGTAATATTGTCGTTGACATTATATTCTCTTCGATTGTATCAATTCGATCGACGTATGATTTATCGACATCCGTCAATGCAGCAAAATGTATGATTGTATCAATCTGAAAGATACACAAGTTGATTGTCTGTAAATTTTAAATAAAGATATATCAATAATTGTTATTATCATAAACATAATGATACTGAATAATAGAATAGTAGTTTATTGCAAAAATTATTTAATTTATACATTTTTAAGTGATGAAAAAGTAATGTCGAATAGACTGGTCATTTTATACGTTAAATAATGAAAAAGTATTGGACGAACAGACTGGTCATTTTATATGTTCAAGTATATTATTTATAAATAGATCAAAAACATGATATTATTATAATAGGATTCTATTGAATACAATGACCTGATAGTCTCGGAGTAAGCAGAGCAGCAAATCAATATCACGAATAGTTCCCTTAAAAAATTTGTAGCGATTTGATTGTCGAATTTTTGCAGCAACATTTGTTTCCCGAATTTCATGTGTTAATTTATCGATGTTAACAAATCTAAAATAACTATTTACGTGATACATCGCTAAGGTTATCATAGAAATATAGATCCAATGATATCTCTGTTCAATACTTAAATATTTAACGATTCAAAGTTATTATTCTGCATTAGGTTCATGTTTTTGATTTATTTGTAAATCGTAAATGAAGCAATGGTATCGCTTCTTTCTCAATTTTAGATTTAATTTAAAAACGAATCAAAGAATATAAGTTGCCTGTTCTTCAGGAATTCTACTTTCTACCTTGTTGTGTGCCATTTTTGAAACATAGAATTGATGAAATTGGAGCCAATAAATCCACAACCACCTGTTATTAACGCTGAACTTGGTTGATACGACATTTATCTGCATCACTTCTTACTTTTTTTTTGTTTTATTTTGTCTCATTTCATTTACATTCTCAGATTTTAATTTCAGATTTTAATTCTCAGATTCTCAGATTTAATACATTCATTTCATTTACATTCTCAGATTTCAGATTCTCAGATTACAAAATGACTACTGTGCAGAAAAATATTGAAAACACATAAAAATTGTTCAAGAAATTCAATTAGATTAATTAATTGAGTTTAGAAGGATTAGAGATTGCATCCTCGTGAATTCAGTAAACTGTGGAGATAATGCGGAAAAGCATCAAACCGATTAACTTTCATATAATCAAGCAATACATGATATGATAGGGATGAAAATATCTCAGAGTTCATAAAAATTGAGATATAACTGATTCTGATAAATCTTAGTAAAGTATGGGTTAAAATAAAAAAGGAAATAAAATAAGCAAACAGGTAAATAAAGTTTAGAAACAGTCGAATTAACAATATCGATTGCTAAACACATAAACAAAGTATAATGTTTAAACAAATGAAATCTGATTAAAAGAGAGAAATCATTCTCATTGATCTCCCGCTGACCTATTTTCGAGCTATCATTGAGATTATTCTTATTTGCAAGTTCTCTTCGGGGATTACTGTAAATTGGTAAAATCGGCTTTCCTTGTAACAATTCAGATTTAAACATATTAAGATAAGATTCTGTTAAATCAAGAAATCATTTACATATTGCATATTCCAATCATGGAGTAAGATATTTGTTTAATTCAAATGGAACAAATTTGACGAAAGCATCAAAACAAATCGCTATTGATAAGAAACAGTGCGACAATTTGATTCTCAAAAAAAATTGCCACCAGAATCCTCCCATTGTTTTTAGAATCCGCTCCTTCATATGTTCTATTATTCATAGTAGTCTTACCCTGTCAATTATTTTACTTTTAAAGCTGCTATTGTCAATGTGGAAGTGTAAATCATGTACTTACTATTTCCAAAACAGGGAGTACGATATAATAAAGGTTTCTTTTTTTGCATTCAACACTCTTCAGATAAATTATAAATTTTAGGATAATATCATTCTTTACGTGGTTCGTATTATGGGTTGATATTATTTAAAATACTTTCGAAGCAACTTGTTCCGACAACATATGACAAATATACAATTATAATTTATCAATCAGCAGCTGAAAAACTGCGGATGACATATATAATTCGCAGTTTTTCAGCAGCTGATTGATATAATAATACAACAAATTGTCAATAAATTGTAAATAAAATGTTACTGTGGCAAATATGAGAATATTTTCAATCAAGTTGAAACTTATGTAAAATTTATAATCATCTAAAGTATTTTTTGGTGTAATAAATGGGTAGAAATGTTCAGATAATGCAGTTATCATTTTCTTAGTGTGAAATCATTGTCAGGAAATAAATTTAAAATATGCGGAAATTTCCGGCTACTGTATAATATACTGACAAGGTAATCATGCAGTTGGAATTAACAAACTTTCTTAAAGAGATTCTTATGCTTATGGATAATAACATTACAAATAAAACTTTAGATTGAGTAAAGTAACACTTTTCAATATTTCAATTTCATTCCTTCTAATAAATAAATTTGAGTGGAAGAGATATGTTTCCACCTCTTTTTTAATCTTCTCTGTTAAATTTCTACCAAAATGAAACAAAAAGAAAAAACTGATAGAATAATTCGATCATTCATTTATTGAAATGACAATTAAATTATGAAATACTTCACATCAATTCCTCATTCTTATGCTATTACGTTTTCATCTCATGCAATTAATTACATAGATGCCTTTCACATAGCAAACACACCAGTTAGGAGTCACGATTGCAAAAGAATTTTTATCAGTAGCTTTTTCATCATCCATTTACTTAATGTATATTTCTTTCTTGCAACAAAACAAAATCCTATTCAAATTTACCAGAAAATACTATCAGAATTTAAATCGTTTTTGATTCAATACAATATGAAAGAGTGACAAAACAGTGTGATAACATTTGTTTTCTTTTATTTACACAATTCGTTATTTTTGTTTGTCCACTTTTTATTCATCTCAGGTGGCTACAATTTCAGTTTCAGCTTCTTTCCAATTTTTCCAAAATAATTTTTATGAAACATGCGTAAGCTTTCAGCTAATCAGTTCTTTCCATTCCTAAGAATAGTATAAAACATTTGCTTCTTCTTTTCAAGATCATTTTTATTAAACGAAAGCCTTTGGCATGTTTGCAGTTGTTTTAAGTAATTACACTTATACAATACGAGCTTCATAAAACAAGTTTTATAAATATTTAGCAATAGTTTTGCAAACTTCCTCCTTCTCATTACTGAATTTTCCAATTTCATGAAAGGATTTTTTACTATTGTATTTTCTGGCATGTGTTCTTTGGTTGAGGAAGATGCTAAAAAGATTGTTGCTTTAAGCACTCCACATTTAAATAATCGCAGAAAGTAAAAGCGATCAGCAAATCGATTAGCTACTATTAAAGGGGACACTTTCAAATGAAATATTCTGATATCATAATCTTTTGATGTAGAGATAATTCTCACAGATTCTGTTGTAATCGAATTGAAAGCAATCACATTCTCTAAAACTATATAAATGTTCTGTCCCTAATTCATTTAATAACTCTCACTGATATAAATAAGTGCTAACACTACACTAACACCCACACTATTCAGATTTAACATTGAAAAGTTTGACCGCGGACTAATTCCTTATAACTATTAACTGATCCTACCTTAGGTCATACCCGACCTGACTACCACAAAATCCGTTATACCACATAAGACCCTCATCCCAAATGCAACACACCCAAGTACCGCACTCGGCACCCGTCTAACTGTCCTATACATGGCCTTCAATCTTTTCCGGCCGCGTTCCACTATGTACGTCTAGCTGTTGCAGCGCTATAATTAGGCAAGGAGAAATCACTTGATATTTGCGCCTGCATTGGCGGGAGGATTGTGTGATTGTCTGTGTCGTAATTCGTAGTCGTGAGCGTGAAACCTGATATTATTGATTATGATTGGGCGTCCAGTATAGGGTATATTCATTATCTGCTTGACGTGTTTAGAGAATGGTAATGGTGAACAGCAAAGAATAACAGAAGTTAGCTATTCAAGATAAATCGCAGTAGATTTTGGCGAAAAGAGTGAAAGGCATGAAAGGCTGAATATACGATAGATGTTATGTTTGATAGATTATCATTTTACCTTCAAAGTTCTTTTCTTCCTGAGAAAAGGAGAAAATTTTTGAGTAACATCTTTGTGAACATGGCAAATAACATACTAGTAGTATAATATACCATTGATTTATTGGCATTTATCTGCACACAGTGGTCATTTTCTTTTCCGTTTGGGAAAAAGTAAGAGGTATGAGTTATGCAGTTATGTACGGCGTGCTTTTTGTTGCCAACAACACTGGTGTTCTGAGTATGGTAGGCTTAGCTCTCCTCGATTCTTTTTATATTTAAATTATATGTATTCATTCCCACTATCGAACATTTCACTCTTAGCACGCCTTCCAGGACATATTGAATGGTTCTTCATCATTCGGTAGTATATGACGTCAACATTTCGTCACGTTTTTGTTCGAAAATTTGTCATTTTTTATATGCTCGAGCATCCCCTGTTTCTTTTAGAAAATCAAATGAATTATAAGAATGAAATTATGCATTTGTTGATTATTTTAAAGAAGCCATTTAATGAATTGATTGTTATTCGGTCAGTGACGTACTCGTGTTAGTGCATCGAAATTGAAGGGAAATGATGATGACGTCTGTTGTTGTCGCAATCGTTGCATATGACATATATTTCTTTTCACTTCGCTTTTTTCACCTGTCAATACTGATTATTTTAGGTAGCTAAGAAAGATATGGACTCACCTCCTAAGAATGCTATAGCAACTCCATCTGCATCCGCTGGTGATGCAGCACAACGATCTCAGTTGAAGGAACTAGATCAGTGGATCGAACAGCTCTATAACTGTGAACAGCTTTCAGAAAATCAAGTGAAAATTTTGTGTGACAAGGTGACTTTTCTTTGAGTTTTTCGGACATGTCAAGTGGAATAGGAGGTTTGCCGCCAGAATATACACTTTGTTCTTGAATAAGATTATCCATCCTGTTTTTAGTTTCTAACTGATTGTAATATTATCTGAACATCAAAGTAGATTAATAATGTCCCATCACTATTAGTGATTACATAAAATATTGGATTGCGGACAGAATTTGAATACTTTAGGATACATTTCAATAAGATGATTTCCAGCACCGTATATAATAAGTTCTCAATTCTCCGAGTAACAGGCTTCCTCTCTTCTCTATTTTTCTATACGTAAAATATCCAATTGAACTGCTTTAACGGTGTTCCAAATGCTAAAACAGTATATTTCATGTTGGTGGTGAATTTCGGTTTGAACGGATACTGCTAAACATTTAATAACCTCATAATTTTGAGTCATATGTAGTTTACAAGAACTTCGTTTATTTGTTGTGGGATGGCATAAATTGAGTTCAACTATATTTAACATCAACGCATTAAATGTTTCATATCTTTCCTAGGATTCCAATTGAACTCTTCACTGGTAATAGTCAAATACTTTTGATTCATTAGAAACCCTAAAAACTGGACTATTCAGTGACTTAATTGGTAAATTAGTTGAACCGAGATGGCTGGGTTGGGGATGTTTTGGCGACAGTCATTATGAAGCCTATTCCGATCCGAATGCATTACCGTCCTTGATGAGGTCGCGCCACAATTAAAGAGCAGTGACTAAAACTGTTGTCTTTATTGGTAAACTCATTATAAATGTTTTAGTATATTGCGGTAATATTTGAACATTTAACAAAGTATGGGCAGTTTAGGCGAAAGAAATATTGCAAACAGAGTCAAATGTCCAGGAGGTAAAGTGTCCGGTAACTGTTTGTGGGGATGTTCATGGACAATTCCATGATTTGTTGGAACTTTTCAAAATGGGTGGCAAAGCTCCAGATACTAATTACCTTTTCATGGGAGACTATGTCGACAGAGGGTATCATTCGGTCGAAACAGTTACACTGCTAGTTTGTCTAAAGGTATATTTTCTTTTTATTAATGGATAGTTACAGTTCCATTGAATTCTGTTAATGTTGCTAATTATCTTTTTATGGGAGACTGCGTCAGCAGAAAATATTTTTCTATCGAAACAATCACACTGCTATTTCGTCTGAAGATATGTTTTTTTAATTAAGTAATGGTTATAATTTCATTAAATTCCATGTGATTTGAATTGAATTTCACTGTATCGCTATATAATTATAGGTGCGTTATAAAGAACGTGTTACCATTCTGCGAGGCAATCATGAGTCACGGCAGATTACTCAGGTACTTCAGTTGAGAAATTTCCTCATATAGTAATCGTCTCATCTGGTTCCTATAAATCTTATCCTTAGCTGTGTTTAAAAAAGTTGTCTCTATGGATCTTATCAATATGGGCATGTTGAATTCCATCAATCCAAAAAAAACTGCTTCTAGGTTTATGGTTTTTACGACGAATGCTTACGCAAGTACGGCAATTCTAATGTTTGGAAGTATTTTACGGATCTATTTGATTATCTTCCCTTGACAGCATTGGTTGATGGGCAGATATTTTGCTTACATGGTGGTCTTTCGCCATCTATCGATAGTCTTGATCATATTCGTTCTCTGGATAGGCTTCAGGAAGTACCACACGAAGGTGATTATTTTTTCTCAAAATCTATTCAATTTCTGATCATACCAATTTTTGGATGGCCTAAACATTTGTTTCTGGATCCTCCGTGATCGAGGTTTTCTTTCAGTCTTATATATTATCAAAGAAATTTTTATGTGCAATTTTTTACAGGGCCAATGTGCGATTTGCTATGGTCAGATCCTGATGATCGCGGAGGCTGGGGTATTTCACCACGCGGGGCTGGTTATACATTTGGGCAAGATATATCAGAAACTTTCAATCATGGTAATGGTCTCACGCTAATTTCCAGAGCTCATCAGCTTGTCATGGAGGTATTCTGCAATTATTTGATTAGATGTATATTTTTTTCAGTTAATTCTTTTAAAGCTTAATGAAATATGTTATTGGTTGTGATGCTATGTTTTATGCTGCTTAATTGTGGCATTTACTAACTTATTCAGTTCCTGGTTTCATTACTTTTATTTAACGCTCAATGTATGTCACTCACTTGACCTCACCATCCATTAAAGTTTTTTGGAATCAATAATTCATGTATTATAAATTCGCAGGGTTATAACTGGAGTCACGACCGTAACGTTGTAACAGTATTTTCGGCACCGAATTACTGTTATCGTTGTGCAAATCAAGCTGCCATGGTTGAATTGGATGATGAACTACGATACTCATTCTTGCAATTTGACCCGGCTCCGAGAAAAACAGAAACGAATGTCGTCCGACAAACACCTGACTACTTCCTTTAACTAATTGGAGAATTTTTCCGGTATGAGCTTTCGGCTGTGTCTGTTCTCAAGAGAAACATTTTACAAAGCAGAGATTTTTAAACGGCATGTTTCTGTTTAATTGTAGTAGGAAAATCTTGCGATTTCTTCCGTTTCTTCCCATTCTTTTATTGAATTTGAAAAAACTGAAAGTGGAACTGTTGAATGAAGACTGTCTACCCTTCAAACCAAATGTGAATGCAATTAGCGGACAGTCTGAATTTGCGGTAGTAAATTTTTGGTAGGATGTTACTGTAGTGAAATCGCTTGTTGCGGATTTTCTCATACAACTTAATTTGTCTTTCTTATTTCAAACAGTAATCCGTGTACTTGTGGGTATATTTTTTGTTCGATGAAATAAATCAAAATGTGCTGCAATTCTTTCTTCAAATAAACTTTGACTTTATGAATCGTTCCTACCACAGAATAGGAATATCCCCAAGAAGTAGATAGTTGAAAAGTGGCTTTTGTTTTAATTGATTTTCGCAATAATTAAGACTGAGAACCTCACTGCGTCGCTAGCTGAAATAGGAATGCCAGAAGTCTATTGCTGCTGATAAATGCCATGTTTTTTTCTGCATCTCATTTTGAAGACCAAAGAAAAAACGCAAAATCAGCTGATTCAAGAAGATAGCTGGCCACTATTCTGCAAAAAAGTTACGGAAATCAATTAGATACCAATAAGTAGCTAAAGAATCGATATTTATTATCAGTATATAAAAAAAAATCATATATACGGTTGTAAATCCCAACAAGATTCTTACAAAAACGAGATGAAGTCCAGCATAACAAGATAGGCTGACGATATGGAAGAGGTTAAAGTATGAAAAATGAAAAGATTTGCAAAATATATAACAGAAAAGCAGCGTTCTATATGAGGAATCCACGCATTTTGTGTTTGAAATGCTTTAGGAGTATGAAATTGGAATACTGAGAAACCGAAGTAATTGAAATTTTTAAATACTACGTATAATTTCATGGAACTGTTTGATCCACAACTGCGGATCTAAGGCAGCGTTTGGTAGAGAGCAATATCATTATAGCGGCATCGATGTAAGAGTGCCAGAGATCAAATAATTCAGGGTAAGTAGTACTATCGCTGCTAACAGTTAACCATATTTACACATACGATTCGATTCGCCGGCAAAATGAAGGCGCTCAAAAGGCGTATGAAAACGAAATAAGACAAAATAAACACACCAAAGGTTGTAAGCAAAAGATCAGCGCCATAAAACCACAGCATTAAGTGACCTTGCGAGGAAACGGGGAAGCACGTTTTAAGTAGCTCGAAGACAAGAAATAATAGCAGTGGGAATCACAGGTAAGGAAATGCAGTTGGTAAAAAAACTACTTGACATGAATCAAGAGATTTTAAAAATGAACAAATTGTAGTTGGGACATGGTTACTTCTATAGTGTGCTCAACAATATCAAGATGTTTTGCAAAACTTGTAAATCATCAAAAATTTGCATTTTTGAGGCAACAGCATCGAGAATACACCCTCATAATTATTCTAAAAATTTAAGCAAATTTGAAATGTTTGTCATGGACAAAACAGAAAAGCATAAATTAAAGAGAAAAGCATAAATAGTAAGGCATACCAAAAAAGGAGGCCTACGGGCGATTGACAAAACCGGACACCGAATCGGAACCTAATTTAAACTTCAAATTGGAAAACTGCGCTATCTTTTCAAATCATGATTATGAATGCACTTTTGCGTGTCGTATAAATGCAAAAAACGAAAACTACAGAACCGTACAATTCTTGTTTTTACCAGTTGGTTTGGGTGCTATGACTGCTCGAACTGCTTCTTCAAATACCTGGAATATTTAAGTTCTAGTAAATCACTAGTCTTTAAAAACTTTATTTTCAATATTTCAAACGAAATAACTTTAATAATTTTCATCTCGAAATGATAGCATATGAACTGAATTCTACCTTGGAAGCGTAAAGCGTGTTCAAAAGCGTTGTCGAAGTAATAGAGAAAAAAAATAATAACTCACAGCTTTCAGACCTTGCTGCGTCAAGGCACTACACTCAAGATATTTGACAGCTCTAATTCGCTTTGCAACTTTCTGTCCCTGGCTTTTGGTGACTGGCTGTTTGCCATCAGCATTCAGCTGTCTTAAAGTTTCCGGATCGTCCCGTAAATCCAACTTCGTTCCTGGAAACTAGATACGGAAATGCAAAAAAAAATGCAAAACCTAACTATAACATTTTGACATTCCTTTTGAGTTTCTGTTTCAATTAAAAATTTAATTAATGCAACCTATCAACAAAATAGGTGCATCCGGACAGTTATGTCGTATTTCTGGTATCCATTTAGTCAAAACATTATCGAAAGAAACCGGAGCAACTATGCTGAAGCATAACACAAAGACATCCGTTTGCGGATAGCTCAACGGTCGGAGGCGGTCGTAATCTTCCTGAAAAGACCACTATTATTCTCAGAGTTTGTTTATAAAAGTATTTTAAAGAGTAATATAAAAAAAATAAGTGAATTTATTTACTTGTCCAGCGGTATCCCATAAACCTAAATTAACAGGATGTCCATCAACTGTCATTTGTGCCGAAAAGTTATCGAACCTGAAAAAGTTTGTTTACTTTAAAAGTGAAGTAATAATAATTGCAATAATTTTTTGGTCTTTACCTGCATGCTCATAATCACAATACCTTACTGCTCTGAACTTTTTGCATTTTACTCATGGCTTTTCTATTCACACAATAATCATTGTTAGGGTTAGTAAAAATAAATGAGTTTACCAGCATATCTTGATCTACTAAAATGTAAAATAAGTTTATAAAATCGTTTACTAATCAGATGTCATAAGAAGCTCCAACTGCTTCGAAGTAATCCTTTCAAAAAAATTATGAAACAAGATTACTCTCAGCAAAACCCATAAGGCATGTACGAAATGAGAAATGCCATGAAATCTCTTAAGATGTAGAACGGGCAGAACAAGATGAATTTATATATAATGAGAAAGCTAACACAGTAGGAACATATTCTACTGGAAATGAATCGGTTGTATACGATATCAACATGCATGTTTTACCAACGGTACCATCACCAACTACAACACATTTGATTTGGCGTGAGGGTGCAGACATCAACGAAATACAATTGCTGCCGGATTGTTGCCGTTTCCGGATAAAACATGCAATCCAGAATCCAAACGGATACCTCCTAAAAAATACTGGGTATACGAAGTGTTAATGAGAAATCTACAATATTTTAAAAATGCTGACAGCTTTCATACTGCCACCATTTGTTGCACTCATCTTTTCCCAGCTGCAAAGGCTTACTCGCCCGAAGTCCCAAACCATAAAGACTTTACTAAACCCAACGGTACGAAGAAACCACACATGTCGTTCTAAAATTCAGTAAATGCTTCAATCTCGCTATGAAAAAGTAAGTCTTATCATTTAGAATTATTAATTGGTGTGAAGGTTATCTCCTAATATTATGGTAGTATGGCGGTATTGTGGTGAAAAAACCTTAGGCACTTATGACTGGTTATGAATGGTGTCCAGCTTTTTTTATGTCATATTATTTCAGATTTTCGCCATGAAATCTTTTATATTTAATAGAAGTGATGTTTTTGTCATCTCGAGATTATTGTCAGCTGAATTTGTGATTGATATTTTTGAACATTTACGGACAAGCAGTTCTATTTGAAACGATTATAAGAAAATGAGCTTTTAATTGGCTGATTGATTTTTATTTAAGATTTTTGACACTCAAAGAATGCTTGTTGTATTAATTTTTAACGAAGGTATGCAAGAAAGACGGAAATTTTTGTGTCAGAAGTTGAAAGAATATGAATGATCTCTTATGAGATCAAATATCATATGTTTGCAATCAGTCAAACAATTATTGAAGTTGAATTCATTTCATATATGGTAAAATTTCTTGTTGGCCAGGGAAAAGTGAGATGGAAATTGAAAATTAAGAAAATCAACCGAAATTTTTGGTTTTCTTTGTTTTAAAAAGAAGAGAGATATTTTGGAGTGGAAGAAAAGATGGAATGAATTGTTTAGTTTGCAAGAAAGATCAAAGAAAATAATTAAAAAAGAAATATATTGATTGATTATTGAAATGTGTTAACTTAACTTCTAAGAAAAATTACAAACTTTAGGTGTAAGAGCAAATGGCAAGAAAAGATTCATTAAATGTTGAAAGCGATAGGAACAAACAATTACAATACTATCTTTACTTCACAAATATTTTGTCTCACTTCAATTACAATTAATTACAACAATTGCAATGGTAGTTTTAAGGAATAAAATTTTTGCATAAATGCGATCTTATCATAATCGATCGATAATGCTTTATATTTAATATTTAAGTTTAGCATTTGTTTAAAATTGTTTTTTATTGGTACAACTGCTAATGAGAGGAATGTGGAGAGTATAAATAATAAAGAAAATCACTGAAAAATTATAATTATTATTGGAAAGGCTAAGATTAACAGGCGGTTTTAAAGTGCGCTTTAATTCACTTATCTTACAATGTTTGCGCTTTGATGACAATTTGAGATAAGATGAATTTGATAAGTAATTATCTGCACAGATTAGATAGTTTAATTAAATTTGTTAAGCATTTAATTTGAAAGAACTAATGAATTTTCATCGTTAATCACAAAGAAGTCTATGATGATGACAGGAAACTTTTTAAAGATATGTCAGAAGAGCATTGTAATGCGACAACATTTCTGTTGAAAAAATGCATTTATGTTAGTTGTATTAATTTAATTTAAAATCTATGATATTTTTATTTAATATTTAAAAATATTTTTTTTACTTAAAAATAAATGAAAATTAGAGGAAGTAAAATGAAACTTAAGTTTTACAAATCAATGACGTTGAGATATTTCAACTGGAATTACGATTAAAGTTGTAAGCAATGAAAAAATGATGATTACATAAAAATTAAAAATGATATATGTTAAAATCATATGAAAACAAAAAAGTATGAATTTAAGAAGTAATAGGAATTATCAATTAAAAATTGAATATATGTTATTGTTTTAAAAATATCTTAGATAATGCACAAATCTTAGAAATGTTAGTAATTTTAACAGCGCAAATTAAGTTCTGCAGCACTTATTTCTACTAGATGACTTTTAAATGTGATGAAAAAAAAGAGAAAATGATTGAAATAGTACTGGAAATAATTAAATATTTATAATTAAGTGAATGTCAACTTAATCAGAAAGGTAAGACAGAAAGTTTAATAATAATGAAGCATTGTTTTTTGATATGTTATCAATTACAATCCGTGAATTGAGAAGGAAATTTACGAATTTAAATTAGCGAATTGGAAGAATTCTTTAAACTTCCTTAAAAATTAATAGATTTATTTAATTTTTATTGTAAGATGCCACCGCAAAGAAGTTTGATAGCCGAATTGTTGAGAAAACAAACAAAGGCCGAGCAAACGGAATGTGAATCATCTTTAGGCCTACAAGTACAAGAAAGCTCATACTACAATCTTGACCTACAAGTTGGGGTAAGTCTTAAGCTTCCAGCTCATAAATGGAAGATCCAACTCTTAACTTACGATTTCTAAGGTAGAAATGGCGACAATCGAAGTGATTTCATTGCTGCTTATAGGATGATGTTAAATTGACGCAACCCATCACCACCAGTTTTTCAAATACCGGTGATCAATCCGCAGAAAACACTCAAAGGTAATGTTTGAGAGATTTAAGAATTAATTACAGTTCAGTGGCTAATTTTAGCTCAAACAAGTCCGGTCACGGCAAAATACTAGTGCGTTATATTTGAAGAATATTTCTGGATCATTTTGAACGAAAAGTTTTTTTAAATTAGTGCGGATCAAAAATCAATCGTAAATGCGAGGAAAAGGCTTGTTTAACTTGATATTTCGATCCTTTGTACTTCGAAATTTCCAGGACCACAACTTTTGATTCGGACACGTTGACAAACCATCGGTGCAATTCATACGAAAGGTTCAAACTCCAAAAATTTTCACAAAATAATTTAAAAAGTTGGATTACTTTCTTTCCTCAACGAATACCTTTTCCTTATTTTAAACAATGTTCACTGGGCAATGTTCACTGTTTCCCCATGGACATCTTTATGGTTATTCTGAATTCGCTGATTTTAAATAAATCAACTTAAACCGAAATTTTGGCGAAGATGTTTGTTAGTGAAAGAATTAAACAGAACGACTTGACCATCTGTATGCTAACTTCTTTCAAAAAATGAGTTGTACTGAACGGCAGTTCCCATCATCAATTAAGGAATGGAATAACTTGATCAAAGCTCAACTTAAGTATTAAATTTATTCTCAAAAATGCGGAGAAATGTATGAAGAGGTATCGAGAGAATTTATTGGTAGAAGCAGAGAATGGGTTTTCAATAATTACCACTGCTTTTGAATTGTTCAACAGGTGTAACATTTTTTAATTTAGGAATACCTACCAGCACCCATTAAATAACACGAAAATGATATTTCACGACTTCCTAAAACTAAGTGATTCCGGTTCTGCTGAGCTACCTACCGGCCGTTCTCGCGACTCTCTGAATTCACACGATGCGCTTGAAATTTTCGCATGGAATCAAAGTACCTTTTTCCAGTGAAAGAGTTTTAAGGAACTCAAGATGTCCAATGGCTGGCTGGTAGTAACAAACCTCTTTTTCATTCAGCATTCAATATATATATATATATATATATATATAATGTATCACTAAATATTGATTTCAGAAAAGAAATGGGAGAATCCCGGAGGATCAAGCACGTTTGGGACTACAAGCGAATATTGTTACTGCTCGAACATTAATCAACCTTACTAGTTTGAATATTTTCAAAAATGCACTCTATGATCTTTGAATGCAAAATTTGCCATAAAATTTGCAAAACATCCAAGAGCTGGATACCACAGTACTGTGGATGTAGAGAGAAAAGGATCTAAGCGTTAATTTTCCGAAGTAGAAAAACACGACAATTTTTAACATTCGGAATCAAAAGGATCGCAAATAGAACCATGCTTTGAATTCAGAACAAGTGTATTAAAGGAAAATTATCCGCCATGAAAAATTGTCCGGTTATTCCAAAGTCCGAATTTTTAAAAGAATTTACAGGACTTTTTACTTACACTGTTGATATACAGATACAATGGAAATTATGTCTACAAAAAAGAAAAGCTCATTCATTATAGAAAATCGGCTGGACAAGGCCTCTGAGTGAAATTCAATTCATATACATATATTATATATGTATATATATATATATATATGGACAATTAATTTAGCATGCGTATAAGCATAATCTAAGCAACCACATTAAATTTCCATAAGGCTTACAAAAAAATTTTTCACTAGACGAAGCAATAAACATAATAAATAAATTTTCAAACAACTATTTCGAAACGATTTTTTACCGAACTTCACAAAGCACTAAGTCATAAGTTAATGGTGATATATTGGGCTTGTCTCTGTCATAGCCATGGATTCCAAACAGTTTGATCAAAAAAGATATTCATGCTACAGCAAGCTATGTCATCCAGTTTCCTATCTCAAGCTTATCCCATTAAAGTGTAAAACTGAAATGGAATATATTCGATACCTAAATTAAAAATAAGTCCTAACTGGTAAAAAATAGATTTAAATTCTAAAGGCCGCACATAACTTGACAAAACCATTCGTCAAAAACTGAATTGAGATAAGCAATACTTTTAAACATAATAACATTACTGCAATAAAAATTCACGGTATAAATAATTTCACAACTTGAAACCTGTAAATATAGTGTGTAAAATAACAACAAATTCGATGGTAAATGCTCTCACTGAATACACTGTGATGCAGTGACATAATTAATGACGTTTTGATCTTCCTGATGAATTAGACCATTCGCATATTGTTCCGGCATCAAATGACTGCCACGATTACGATTGCCATCTTGATTCTCTCCACAGTAACTAACAATAGTGGGAACTTCTTCGCAAACAGCATCTGAAAAAACCAATAGAAAAGATAAAACTAGTAATCATGAATTTTATTGAGATTTTAGTAAATTTAAACTTTGACCAAATAATAAATTATAAAAAAATTATTTTGCCGGCATAATCCCGATACAAAAGTTCGGGGAGAAATATTGTGGACAGAAAGACTACTTATTTTCAGAATAATCACTGCCTAGTTATACAGTTTGATAGATTTTGGACTGTTCTGAATCGAAAAATAATTGAAAGAAATATAGTACAGAACTGGAGCAAATGATAAAAAACTAACGTTGCTGAAGTTGTGTTACTTGCACATTAGATGGATTATCATAATCGGGTAGGACACAACGTGATTCGTGAAGCAACACTTCGTCGCATTCCAAACGAACTAGAATTGCAGAAGCAATGGTGACTTCTCGAATAGGTTGTCATTAAATCCAAAACTTTTCTGAATAATCTCTTACAAATCAATATGCTAATCACATTAATCACAATTTCCGAATAGTCATGTATGCCAATAAAGCTCTTTATGTAATTTGTTACGTTATCTGTTGGTAAAGCAATCAAATAAGAAATTTATACCTTGCGATGCAGTCTCATCAGAATTTACTGCAACCACTGACTTATCCACGCCTGTTCCACGTTCCTGCTCCATCGCCCCATCGTTACCTGAGAGATCAAAAACTGACTAAAAGAGAAAAAAGATTAAAATTATAGAATCAAATTTTTACTCCTATGATTTTTCAAGAATTTGATGTAATCGCAAAAATATTAGACTTGATGAAATTATTCCACATACAGCGAAATTTTTTAAAACGAACTTTTGTCACATTATCACTATCAGTGACAAAAGGAAGCAGCGAGTGCAGTGCTAAAAGGGAAACAATAATAAAACTGTAATTAGCGATATGAAAGAGACTTGAGGGCGATATATATAATTAGAGCATTAGTGAGTTAAACACTCGAGAATATATTAACAAGATTGAAAGCGGAATGTCATGGAATGCAAGACAATTTTATTATTCTAAGTTTATTATTGACAGGAAAATGGGCACGCTAATAGTTCTATTACTTTGTGAATGTAAATAAATTATGCCGCTTCTGATTTACAAACAAAAATAAAACCTTGTGTTATGGAATTGACAGCTGCAATGGTATCTAGATCAGACTCCTGCAATTCTAGGTTAGCACTATTAATGTGCTGTAAGTCCACATTGGCTGAAACTGACGTGTTATCATCAAGTGATGTTGAAGGAACAGCGTGTGTACGTTGCGTTGCTGATCCAACTGCAGATGATGATAGAACAGTACGGTGGGTTACTCGAAGTGATGGATGAACAGCTAACTGGTGCTGTTGCTGCACAGAATACGAATTTGTTCCTGTTAAATTTATGAACGGTGTGACGGAAGTCGAAATTCCCTGGCGCTGATTTGTGACCGAAAAGCGCGATGAATTAGTTAAAACGACCGGTCGAGGAGGCGGTCTGAAAATCTCTATTAAAAATGGTTTTTAAAAAAACTAACAAAATTTAACTAGTTTTTTTGGTATGATCAAATTAGAGCATTTGCGAATTAAACACTAAAATATAATAACCTTCGAACAGTACGATATTGTTGTGGCTGACCAGATGCAGCAGCTTGAGCAACTAAACGTTGAATTTCGCTCGAAGTTATTGTTTGTGGCTGTAAATGACATGCAGATGATGTATTTGGTCCAGATGATATGGTATAAGACGAACGTGGCGAACTCGATGATACTGAACGCATGAGTCCAACAACAGTATTTGGATTGCCGTAATAAGGTCGAGTTGGATTACTGTAGGCTGATACTATTGGTGATGCATAAAATCGCTGTCCACTGGAGGATCTACAGAATAAAGCATAAATGCGAAAATATAATACAATGTTCCAACAAAGGTAACTCTTTACACTATTATGATTGCTAAAAATTTCAAGAAAGCGACAGAAAGCAATGCTCAGCTTAGTTGTTCACTTGCGACTATACGAAAAAAGATATATGCTCTCTGCAAAAAGTTACGCAGCAACATTCTTATTTCTATAAATGATTTCGCTTTGATTTCCGTTTGCGTTTGATGCCCAATTATTATTATTTGTTCTGTTTAATGTTAGCGATTTTCGCCGCTTAGGGATATTCTGATTCGAAAATGAGACTAATATGATTGTTACAGAACCTTTTGGTCGCGAAAGAAAATGTAGCACTTTTACTAATATTTCTTGCGGTAGCGTTGATTCTCAGCATAAATTTTCAGTTACAAAAATTAAAGTTATTCACTTATGATGATATTGTCCGCTATTCTGTATTATGCACACACTAACACATAATAAATAATTCTTCAAACCTTATATACGCTCGTTGTACCGGCTGATGTATCCTAAACACATTCTGGGCATTGGGTAGTTGTCGAGGGAAAGTAGAACTTCCATCCAAGACTGCAGACTCATTCCCTCCGGATGACAGTGTTCGAGTACGTTTTATAACCACGCCTAAATAAAATGTAGTGTTTTATTTCATAATATTGATATATTAGTAATTTGATAAAATTTTTTATTTTTTCTTATCTTAACTGCACTCAAATTATATAATTCTACTCAGTCTAAATTATGTAATTTTATACAGGAATATTGCAGCATATGAAAATAAGGTAATTTGTAGATCTTGAGAAATCTAAACTGTGGAATATTTAAGTCTGATTATTCTATCTCAGCTGCTAAGCTGTCTATAAAGATACCTGCTAACTTAACTAAAATATCTAATAACCTAACTAACCCTAATACTCTTTCCTTCTAATTCGTCAACTTATATTACAGAGATCAATCCCACGTTTGATACTTATATCATTTTTTTTTTTGTAAAAAGCACTACTACTTATACCAAACAAACATTCCAGTATATGGTCAAACCTGAGGTAAAAAGATGAGGGACTTGATGCAATCTCCCGGGATTGATTGTGGTGGAACTCGCGGGTGTGGTACGAAGTGCTGGAAGTACTGACGTGTGGGGAGGATGAGCACCAATAAATGCCGGATTGCCTGACACTGACGACGTAGATGTGAAATTTGAGATGCCTGATGGTGATACTTGCCTCGGTGGCCTGATATGAATAAAATACAAAAGAAGTGAATGAAAATAATTCGCCATTTCCAGAATGTTGCGTATTAGTTTAGAAGACGAATCAATTTTTTAATTCAAATCCTAAATTAACTTTTAGTTTACTTTCAGTCCAATGACGATCGACCGTTAATGATACGAATAATAAGAACACCATGGTTTGAATATGTCATCAACACTAGCCTAAACTGCAGTGGAATGAATTCAAAATATAGTCGGCAAAGGTTGGTAATTTAAGCTCAATGCAATTTAATTTTCATGGAATCTTCATGGTTCAAAAATAAATCCAGCAAAAAACATACCGTCGATCAGGATTTCCACGAATGGGTTTACTTTTCTGTCCCGGAGCTGGCGACTGGAACCTGAATGGTAGTACTCGAGCACATGTAGCAGACAAATCGCGCTAAAAGAAAAAAATACTTTCAAGCCGTATTGTAGAAAATAAAAAATTGAAAAGATGTAAAAACTATGGAATTTCAAAGAGAACATAGAAAAAAAAGAAATACAAATAAAAAAATGAAATTCAACTTCATTCATATATAGCTATATTCTGAGATATGTTAACTCTTGGTTTTATTGGCTTCCTAACTTTTCTAAGTCAACGGAATTTTCTGACATCGGCTATCTGAAAGACAAATTGTTCGCAACTGGTCAACTTCCTTATACCTATCTGTTCTCAATTTCTAATAACATTATTAGGGAAAGAAAAAGACCTTCCTTAACACCACGAAAAAAGGATAATCAGCGAATTCTATTTTTTCATTGTAATTAAGCATTGAAAAATGAATATCACCTGTCTTACCCTCCGTTTTTTTGGTCTTAGGTATTCTCCTGCGAGTTGCGAATCGAAATCTTCGTCACCTGCAGCTAACATCATCTAATTTTGAAACAAGTCTCCACGTCAAAGAACAAATTCATGATTTAAGAATTAAGATAAATTCAACGTTCTTTTTTGTTATAGTTTCGATTTCCCTTCTTCAAGCAGATAGAGAATTGTTATTAGAATAAACAAGAATGGAAATCGAAGCACAGAAAGAAGCCATAACCTAAAATAAAATACCAAAACATATCACGCCAAAAAATTTTAATCTAAAACAACCTTGAGCACCACTCTTTGATATAAGAACAGCTTGATCAGCAGAAGTAATAACTGGAGTCGAACTAGAACTCGAAGATGGACATGATGTTGTCAATTCAAAAGAACTTGGGTGTGCTGTACTTGTTGATGGTGCTACGTCATAGTAAAGTGTTGATTTTTGGTTTGAACTACCAATATGTAGTTCCTCTGCACTGTGTACTGCTCTTGTGAATTGTTGAGTTCCATCGAATGGCTAGAAAATTACTACATGTATGATTTAATTTACCGCTAAATCAAAATAATATTTTTTCTAAATCAAAAATATTAGCAAATTTTCGAAAAAAAATCAAGGATTACCCTATCTTATGCTAAAATACTCATAAGTATTAGAAATTGAATAACCTAAAAAGCAAAAAATAATCCGTATTTCTTTTGAGTGGTATAAATGAAGATAGTATCAATTACACTATACAGTATGAAGAAATATGTCTACTTAAAACCAAAATCTCTTAGGTCCTAAATAACTTCTATGAAATGAGAATTTATTAACCAATGTTTCCTTTTTGATGAGACTAGAAGTTATACGAGAAGTTCGTGTACTATTTTCATCTTCGCCAGAATGCAGTATATCAACACGTCCTTCATGGCTCTCCGTTTCACGCAGTAATAACCGTAATCTTTCCGGGACTGTAACAAACAAACAAAATATACATGATAAATGAAGTCAATGTTCAAGTGAATGACTCTACAGCGTAGATAAAATATAATCAAGCATGATCCAGTAAATAAAATGCATATAAAACGATGAATTTGTATTACAATAACTCACCGTAAGGAGCTTTAGGCAATGCAATCATCTCGTGTAGTGCTGTATCTGCATCTTGTAGCCTTTCATTATGTGCCTTTGCGAGCCTCAGCAATTCATTTGCAACATTTTGGTTTACTTTATTGCCATCACCAATATCCTCTTGAATGGGAATCTCAAAATAATAACTAAGTAAATAAATACGATGATTTTGCCCACCGAATAATATCAATCACAAGTGCTACAAAATTATTATTTGATAAATATTTTACATTCAGATCCGACAAATTAGCATAAAAAAAAGTTGAAGAGAAGTCAAAGTATCTCGAGAGAAAATTATGCATCGCATATTTGTCAGTTTTGAAACTCACGTCGTCATAGTGCGGTACTGGATCCAAGCCTTCGATTCCCCACTGTGCATATGTATCATACGATGGACTCAAACTAAAGGGAAGAAGCTTAACTTTCGCAACATAATTACGAAACAACAGAATATTTTACCTTTCTTTATAAATCCGATCTAATATTAATACCACTCTAACTAAATATCCTCCATTCACAATAAAATGAAAAATCACAAATACAAAACTACGCATTCACTTATTCTGCATATAGCGGATAAATTGAGATGATCAAAAAACATACGTTTGGGCTATTTTCGTCAATATTTCATCATTAGCTGCTTGTCGTATTTCAGAGTGATAAGATTCATTAGATATACTATAAAATGATTTCTTTAATCAAACGTTCATGGAAGGAAAAATTGCGTATAGCACCCTAGCTCTATATATAGATCCCATCACAGACCAACGGTGTCGTGAAATTATCATTCATCAAATTGGGCAGTAATTAAACCAGATAAAGTATGAAAACGTACAACAACGCTGTTTTGAGATGCTCCAACAATATCCTTTTGTAATCATTCAGCATTCCTTGAGCACGGAAAGCGGAAACAACCATCGAGAAGGCATCCTTTTCTGAAATCTAATACATCAATAAATTTGTACTGTACTCATAACCAGTTAATGAAAGCATGTATACTGATACAGTCATAAGAAATATAGCAAAACTCACCGAGTACACGCAGCATATAGCTGCAGTCTTCCTCATCATAAGTCTGTCTCACCGTAATCCTCTCTTTAGTAAATTCTTCTACAGCAACAGTTTGCTTCTTTTCCTGTTCATTAGTTGCTGTATTAATTCTTGAAGACACTGGCAATTCTTGCTGATCCATTACTACAGCATTTCTTAATCCCAAGCGATTCTAAAGCGAATAAGAAATCTTATTTTAACGGATGAATAGTACATTAGAGTAAGCGAACGTTTTTAAAAACAACCAGTTTGTTTAGGACCAATAATTTTATCGAAAAATACAAACAGAATGAAGAAACTGAAGGAAAACAAATGGAATAAGTTTGATAATTCGGAAAGAATGTATTGACATCTTGAAGAAACTTGAAGAAGTTAACTTTCATTTTTGCTCCTGACTTAGAAAAAAACTGTAGATAATGCGAAGAACAGTTCTAATGAGGGTAATAGTTCGGTATAGAAGAGTCACCTCATTGGATCTACTTCGTACTCAACACTGTTTATTCCTTACTGATCTGTACCCTCTCTTAAAGATCCTGAAATACATGAAGGGATAAAGCAGTAAGGTAAAGTTAGCAAAATAAGAAATGAATTACACCTTTCAAAGAGTGGAATCAATCTTCAAATTTCACTTTCATATCGGACAACTACTAACTTTCAAATGGAGATAGGGATGGAACATATAATAAAAGCGTAAAGAACAGGATAAAGTAAGTAATTCACAGTTGAAACAGATGGTGGAGGGAAGGGTGCGCGTCTGCACATCTGCTCTCCTCCTCTGGAATAAGATGGAGGAGGTACGTTACTCACCCTTTATTATCGTCCAAAAGCTGACCCGTAGGCTCATCATGCATTTTGAATTTATAAACCTTATTAATTTGAGTTGCAAACAAAAAAGGACCAGAAGATTCAATGTTCGAAAAATTCAGTATTTCACGAAATGATTTCTTCGCTTCGGTCTCCCCATTTCTGTTAACCTGTTAACCAGTTTCGTAATTAATGAGTCGTACCTTTGACATATCGATTGAGAGACGGATGGCCCACTAAAAGAAATCAACTCAATCCGACAATTTTAATCAAATTAGTGTAACTGAACAAATTCAAGAACTAGCGCAACCATCAGAAAATATTAAATCAGATAGATGTATGATAAGTCACCTTTGCAATTCTTTACCATTACATCGAAACTTATAACTAAGATTCCGAAAACCATGTTATGGTAATAAATCCATCGGAAAGGATATCTCTGGAATCTATAGGCATGTTCAGGATCGATAGATAAATACCTATAGATATTTCCTCAATTTAGCCATCCTCTTTCAACTTTAACCACTGAATTCCCCCATATTGAATATGGCGCGTTATCAGGAATTTTAAACTGGTTGCATTACGAATTGCTTCATCTCAACGAGACGCGTTGCGTCATGGGGTGCGTTGCATTCGCAGGTACACTTGGGTTTGGGATTTTGCTGTTGTGAGGTGGTTGAATGCGCTCAATTGATGTGGTGGGTCTTAGCCGAAGAGTGGCTTAATTGATTTGAATAGTTAACCGCCTTGATGTGACCTGACCAATTTTCCAAGTATATATGCAATAAATATTAAATCTTTGCCAAACTTTTACTCACTGACTGACCCTACATTTAAGACCTAATAATTCTGAAGTACTCTTCAGTCTTCATTCTCACCCACCACTGTAAATGAAAAGATTTTTTCGAACTAGAGGTTAATTATATATCTGTTGACTTAAACTTTCATTTGGTATTACTTCTTAGTTTCCATTATTTTTCCGCATCATTCGCGCTATGCAACACTGTTTGCAGATTATCTCATTCATTTTTATATCACCCGCCCCTGTTTTAGATTGCTGTGATTTTTTCACCAACCGGTATAGCAGCACTTCATTATGAGGTATGTTGCACCATTGTATTTGGCTAAAGGTTCCCTTAATTGGTGCGGAGTTTTAAATGGGCACCACTAATATAGCATTGCTTAGAAGGATGGGATCAATAAATCATAACAGCATTGAATTACAAAACAAGCTTTAACTTGTTGTAAGAATTACAAGGATTGAAGGTCGAGCGTAGGATTTTTCAGATCAATTTCAATTTCTTAGCTTGACCTAGATTTGTAAGATAAGCAAAGTGGTTTACCATTTGCAGTGGACTGCGACTTCAGAAGAGGTTGGCCTCAGATGTATTGAAATGTGGTAAGAAAAAGGTATGGTTGGATCCAAATGAAATCAATGAGATTTCCAATGCCAATTCGCGGCAGAATATTCGACGACTTGTCAAAGACGGTTTAATAATCCGTAAACCAATCGCAGTGCATTCACGATATCGCGCTCGTAAAAACTTGGAAGCTCGCAGAAAGGTCTATTGTTTTTTCAAAATTTTAATATTCCAATCAAAGCTGTTGATCTAAGCTTTAGTCTTTTTAATAGCTCCGACCTTTTTCAATCACTATTAGGAAGCAAAAAAAGGGGGAGCAGCGAAAACTTTGTTTCACTTTATTTTACCGTAACTGAACGATTTTAGGGTCGTCACATGGGACATGGAAAGAGGCGTGGCACACAGAATGCACGTATGCCGGAAAAGATTTTGTGGATCCGTAGAATGCGCGTTCTTCGTCATCTTTTGAAGCGTTACCGTGAAGCGAAAAAGATCGACAAACATCTGTCAGTTATCAAATCTTTGAGATAATTATATTAGATTTTGTATGCACACTACAAATTGACATTTTTCCCGCTTACTTAGCTGCTACATTACTCATATGCTTTTGCAGATATCACGATCTTTATCTTCGAGCCAAAGGTAATGCATTCAAAAATAAGCGCAATTTAATGGAATACATTTTCAAGAAGAAAACTGAAAATACACGCTCCAAACAATTGGCGTAAGTTTTTCGAATCAGTTTTTTGCCTTGCACCATTTTTCTGCTCTACTTAAAAAAACCTAGATCTGTTGTTAGAGTTGAGAAATTCAAGTCATCTCTTGGAATTTAACAATAGATGCTTCGATAGTTAAAATTGAAGAGCTCCAGAGAACATTTGTTAAAAAAATTGGTGTTTTATCATAAAATTTGATGATTGCAGAGAGCAAGCAGAAGCGCGTCGTGCAAAGAACAAGGAATCCAGAAAACGACGTGAGCAACGTTTAGTAATGAAGAGAGCAGAAGCTTTACGCAAAACCTCAGAGAATGAAATAATCGCTAGCAAGGAAACAAAAGAGTCGAAAGCAGCCGAGAAGTGAAGCTGTAAATTTTGTATTTTTTGGATACTTCAACTTGTAGACATATTGTTTCCTTGTTGTTTCTTTGGGATAAATTTTGTTTTCTTGCCTTGCAAATGACTTCGTTAGCTTATAAGTTGCCGTAAGACGAAGTGTACTACGCAGGACATGAATTATGTGTCATACAAGCATTAGAACCTTCGCTGAAGTTGAGCGTGATACTTTGCGTCTCATAAATTACAGACTCGTCAAAGCACTGAATTTTAGAATATTATAGATGGATGACACAGTTTCAGAAGTCAGTTTTTCTGGACGATTCCCCGATAGACCGTAAAGATGAAGTGAAATTTTGTTATGTCAATATTGAGTATTAAAAAAAATTTAGTGAGATGTATGTGCAGCAGTTAAGTAGAGCAGTTCATTAGAACACAATTTCATTCAAAAATACCGATCAGAGTGCAATATTGGATGAATTTTAGGCTATTGTTCCCTTTTTGATTTCCTCGACGGTGTCTATAATTTTTTCTGTCGACTGCCTTGGCATAGGAAGTGGACGAATTGATGCAGGCGACGCAGCACGTGGTACTGTTGGAATGTTTGATGGTCCTGGTTTATCAGGGATTTTTTCCTTATATTTGGTGACTGGGTCCGATAGTCTTTCTTCGTGATGAGCTTCAACCTAGAAAAGTTGGAGTTGGTTGTACCAATTTTCGGCCTTAATGTAATTAAGTATTTACTGTCCTGTTATTAAAAACAGAGGGACAGTAAATACTTAGTATTAATTGTAGGATTAGTTTCTATAACCGGACGAGATTAACCTCTTTATTAAATGTCTTTTTGAAGTCAGGCAGGGGATATTCTGAAATCCTGTATAACGATGATGGTATCACATCGTATCCGTATTTCTTCATATCTTTAAGTATAATATCCATGGTTACAGTGATGACTCCCTGGCTCCTCACTTTTGTAACTGCAAATGCAGCATCATTTAGAATGAACAGCAAGTTAGAAAACACAAAATTAACTTTTAAAAAAATGTGAGACTAAGAATGTTCAATGGACACAGGAATTAATTATTTCTTTTAAAGTTTCATGAATTATTTACCCTGTCGGCCATCTGCTGTTGCAATGATCCTCGAGTCTACAAATTCGGCTCTTTTCCCAGTAAACCATCCGATAAAGCGTTGTAGTAATGTGGAAGCCTCTGGTACAAATAATGCAATCTTTCTAACCGTTCTAAAATTTATATATTCAAATACAGGGATTTGAAATTTTCCGATTAAATAGCTAGAATCGAGTAGTACAGTAAGGTTTTTTCCATATTTATGTACCAAAATTTTTGTAAAAGATACAATAAGTTTTTATTGCACCTTTTACTCTTGTCTACCTTTACTGTCAGATTTTTCACAGTTAGTAACGGATAACTGGCAACGAAGGTTATTAATCAGAGAGATTCAAAACGATAACCAACATTGAAGGAAAGGCATAAAGCACGCGAGCAATATCATAATATTTCATTGATGAACTATTCTGAAGCATCAGATAAATTGGCACAGAGCACTGAACTTCAAATTTTAATAGAAAATAAATTACCTTCCCGGAACAGTTGGGATATGTGTAGCTCCGTATCCACAAACGACATCATTACCGAAGAAATCTGATCCATAACAACTTAGTACAATTTGTGGCCCTGTAAAAATTATTTAATTTCGTTTGTAATGTGTAATGTTGCAAAAAGCAGCTTATTCTATGCATTTTATAACTTGCAAACATTGAAACAATTTATATCTCATGTAGAATAAATTATTATTATACGTCCTGCCAATGGGAAAAGGCATGACAGAATTTTTATTGTCTGATCTTACTTGAACGCTTCAGTTATTTTGACAGGATAGAAAAAGAAATTGTAATCAGCATTCTGCTTAATTTTAAATCATTTTTTAAGTTCGTTATTTCTAGAAATTTCGTGCTATCGAAATTATGTTTGAAATCCATGATTATCTAAACAACTACTTCTATCATAGTGACCCTTCAGATACTATATTCTAATTCAGTGATAAATAATGGTTACGAAATTTTAAAATAAATTACGCAAAAACTTACAACCAAATGGATTCGTTGAGGTAAAAGTAGCTTCAATAGGCATACCAACAGTTATATGAGTATTTCCGGAACGTTCACGTTGACATCGTGCACTAAGTCCTTCGTGAACACCACCAACTTGCTTCCAGTCAATACCATATACATATGAGTATTTGCAGTAAAAATTATCGAACGAGAGGAACTACAACATACATGAGTAACTCTAAAGTTAACAAATTAATTTCAAATTTTAATAAATAAAATTAAAAACTTTACATTGATTACCACTGTAATTATTGACGTGATTTAGGTACAACCTTAGCTAACCTGAAGAACTTAGCAAAAATATGAACTTTTGATTGTTCAAATATTTATCATCCTTCTAAGTAAACTTCATTATCCTTCAGAATCTTTTGGCCCATCTTTTAGTGATGAATAAATCAGAATCACAGGGATTCTGTGGAAGTATTTGCAAATATTAAATCTAGAAATCTAGAAAAATAACTAAACGATGTAGTGAAAATGTTATATTTTACGATAAATAAAATATTTGAAGAATAAACCTCGGCGCTATCGATTTGTCCATTAAGTAAAACAATAAAATTTGACAGTTTTGATTGTTCGGTACTCATTCATCTGTTTGCATTTAGAAATTACTTACTTGTACAACTTAAAAATGCTTGAAATTATGATGTATGAAATAATCAAAAATATATTATGCAAAAATCAATTTCATAAAAAGTAGTGATATTCGTTAGGAAATGAAAAATTTGCTTAAGATGATCATTTTAAAATATTTCATTTTAATTTAATTGAAGCTTTAACTTTCAGAGAATTCTTAAGTTTGATTGAAAAAGTTTCATGGAAATTTAGCTAACAAACAAAATGAACAGCTAAAATGATCATCGAATTTAAACATAAACGAATAGAAGCTTTTGGAAAATGTATAATGAAAAGTTTGGAATTGCTTCCTCAAACCTATGATCTCATTCAAATCAAACTTGTTTGATGACGATAATTAGCAAGAGATTTCTAATATCATTCAGTTAGAGGAAACAATTGAAATGTCTCCTAATTTTAAGATCGAATATCTGAAATTTTAAATTTCTTGATTAGAAATAACATTTGCACTATAGCAACGATGAAATGAATGTAATGATGAAGTAGAAAGGCATCACCATGGTGATATGGGACACGCACGTAGCAAACTATTAAATCAACTATTTTAGTGACCACTGAAATGGATAAGCAGTAATGACCAAATTAACTATAATAATTTAATTAAATTCAATATGAGAATAAAAGAGGATTTAAATGATTGTTTGTAGAATACATCCACAATGCGAAAAAACTTGCTAAGCAATTTTAGTATTTGGCAAGTAAAACTTCCTGTCCACTTTGTTTTGCATAAGTAAACAAAAATGAGCTGGTGCTAATTAAATAGACTAAAAATGAGTTTTAATTGTTATTTTTACTACATCTATTTGTTAATTCACTTAAAAACAAAACACTCTTACAAATAAAAGTTTCAAAAAGAAATTAATTAGAGGTCATTATGCTAAATGATTTCTATCATTTTCTTATCTATTCAATAATCTCATTTAAATTTTTCAATAATCTCATTTAAATTTTCAACTCATTCTAATGAACTGAAATCTTATCAGATAGGACTGTATTCAGTAAATTAAATCATTAACGTCAGAAGTTAATTTAGCAAATTTTACAGCTTTAAGAATTTTGCTAACTTTCAAAGTGTATGTAAATTAGTTTAGCTATGTAGAAAACTTTCAAGCATATTTTCTACGCCAAAATTATGATTTGATAAAAAAGAAAATTTTGGTAGGTTAGTCTAAAATTTAAATTTATTTTGGTCTAGAAAAAAAGATTGCAGACTTTTATTGTTATTTAAAATATCACCTTGAATTGAAGGAACCAGATAATTTCCAATTTCCTATGTTTCAATTTTATAAATCGCCTTGAATTACTACCAGCTCGAAACTTCTTTATCCGAAATAAGATTCAATTGATATCTTCTCGATCCACTCTCCATTTTTTTTTCTTTTTTACACATTGTTAATCTTTATTTCATTACTCTCCGAATTTAATTCAATACTTACATTCATATCATTAGTGTTTAAATATCATTGCTTTACATACAAAGTAGCAGATCAGTTTTAAAATTATATTTATGCTAAGAAGTAAGCAGCATGCATCTGGAATAGTTGTGCGATCGGATTACTCGATTCTTTTCCTTTTTCTTTATTACTACCTGTATCTTCAACTTCAGCATCATCGTTTTCAGATTCCAATTCTGCAATTTCATCTTAACATTACTTTCATTTCTTATTATCGCTTTGATAATGAGAATCTTTTAATCTACATGAAACACAAACACTTCATAAGGAACATGGCAAAATAATTTTTGGATTTTTTTTTTTAAATGCAGGAATCACAAATAGTTAAAATATCCGATGAACAAAAACCAATTAACTTTCATTTTTAAGCGCTATGAAAAATTGGAATAATTTTGTTAACAATTGCTGACAGTATCATAACCATCAACTTTAAAAATCTATCTCACAGAAATTATTTCAACAAAGTTGTGAGGAAAAAACAATTAGTGAAGCAGTGAAATGTAATTCATTTCAATTTAATCATAAAAGAAATAATGTCTATTAGAAATTTAACTTCTATAAGTCTTTTTTGTTTTCTTCTTTCGAAAACATTTCATCATTTAATTTAGTAGTTGTTAAATTAAAATTTATCTACCATCAGCAGAATCGCAGTTGGATTTTAATTCATCATTGGATTTAATGTCCATCTCTGAACTAGCTGTGTCATTTGCTTCTGATACTTCCTGTTTCCGTTGAATTTTCTTCATCTGGGAAAATCAATTTCAGAAAATGTTTCCAAATCTTGAAAAGTAAACTATGCTTGATAACTTATGAATCTGATTCATAGTTCTGTTTTTAAGATTAATAAAATACGTAAAACGTTTCTCGCAATCTGTTCAAGATGCAATTTTGTTTTGAAAATTTCTATTATGATTCATTAAAAGTATAGATTGGAATGCCTACCTTGGCACGTTGATTCTGAAACCAAACTTGAACAACTCGCACACTTAAATTTGTTTCCTTTGCTAATTGCTCACGCATCTGTAATCAATATTTTTGAAGAATCATCTTAGCAATATGTGATTCCCATTCGTTTTTAACAGAATCTTTGCAAATGTCTAAAATAAATTACCAAATATAAAACAACAATTTAAATTTGAATTTAATCTTAAGTTGAAGGGATGAAATTGGAAACTTTTTCAATGAACCTTTCGACATGGTTTTGATGTTTTCTCGAAGGCTAATTTGAAAGCTTTTCGCTGTTGCGTATTTAGAATAGTTCGTGGCCTTTTTTGAGTCTTGCAATTCGAATCATTCTGATCGAAATATGCTAAATTTATCTTAATAATTGCTAAAACAGTAATATTTCATCTTTATCATAGGCAATAACAATCTAGCAGTCCGAATAAGGTAAAGAATTAAATCTGAATTTTTATAAAATTTAAATAAATTCGAATTAAGAAAAAATTACTTTTCAGTTCGGGAAAGAAGAAATAAATATGAACAAATTGAATTGGATTTAATCAATGCTATCATTAAAATTTGTTCATGTTCGGGAAATTCAATAAAATATTTGTGAGGCAGTAAATGCCTGAATACAGGCTTTTTTCGATAAACAGGCCTGAACATTTTATTCAGAAAATTCTAGAATTTAAATTCTAGACAATTTTTATGGATATTTGTGATTATTTATCTCGAAATGACTGCTATGTATTCTTCATCTGTTGATACAGTAAGTCATTTTATATCAAATAGAAAACTTACAGTGAAATTGACAGATTGGTGCTTGACATAACAAAGGTTCACAATCTGGTCTGCAAATGATTTGTCTATCTACCAGCATGTAATGGTCACCTTTTTTGAACAAATGTCCACAATAAAAACATTTAAAACAATTACGATGATAAATACTTGCAAATACTCGATAGACATAATCTGTAGACTGAACTGGTAGACCGCAACGCATACATTTCACACCGAAAAGTCTGGAAATTCTAATATTTTCTCATTTTTTAAATTTCAACCAAAAAATTTAATGAAAACATTGCGCATTGTGCTACGATATCGAACACTCTTTTTTTTCTCATTAAAATCTTTTACAAATTCTTTTGTTTTTTGCGTTTCAATTTCTCCTATAATAACGAAAAATGATATGATAACAATGCTAATCAGAACAATGGAAGTGTTAATGAGAAAGCACTTATTAATTAATTAAAATGAAAACAACAGAATTGTAAGATTATAATTTTTTTTGTCGACGATCCCTTTGTTTACAGTTAAAAAAATCCTTTGTTAAAGTTTGCTGAAAAATAAAATAGTTTGATAATTGAAAAGAATTGAAAATTACTAAGCAATAAATGTCAAATTTATTTTTCATTCAATGCCCTTCAAAGTTGGTCGTTAGTATCTAAAAATTAAGAGAATATCAGTATTAATTCATAATCGCAAATGTGAAAGTGTTATATTGATAGTATGTTAGTATGTTACTTATGATCAAAGATGGATCAAAGATGGCAATAGCAATTTTGATGACAAATTTTATTGAATGTGTAAAATTAATATGCTAAGAATCAAAGAAGTATCAAAGCTTCCTCCATATAACTATCGCAGGTGACACTTTTGTTACCTATTAACCGTATTATTTAATCCATAACGGAAGTCAAAATGATGCGCTCATACTATTAAAAGACATGAAATGATGTCATTAACGTGCAGATCAACTGCATCGAAAAAGAAGAGAAAGAAAGAAAATGCAAATTTTCAAATAATAGTATTGAATGAGATATAAGTGATATGCGGAATAAAAGACAATCTTTCAGGCTATATTTGGCAGATGACCGGAACCGCAAAAGTGGCTAGTTGACCCGGTTGTAATGGCTTTATAAGCGGCTTACATCATTAATTCATGTCTATAAGTGTAAAGCATTTCAGCTGCTCTGTATGCCAACTATTTCGATACTGTTATGTAACAAATTAAAAAAAACCTTAGCTTTTATTCATATTTATACTTCGATTTGATTATTACCGAGATATATCCAGTAAACAAGAAATACAGTATTTATTTGTTTGACCTTTACATCATTAGTTAGCAATAAGGGAGGACATGTTGACAGCACTATGCCTCTAAAAATGACAGTGATCGATGATTAGCAATGCTAAATTTGATGCCTTATTACTTCTATGTATGATAGCTAGAAATAGTTTTAGGTGTTGTGATGTAATTAAGCCAAATAAATCAAATAATTTCATTAAAATATAGTTTTAAAATGAGAAGGACTTTTATTTCAGAAAGCTCGAATTTTCAAAAGTATTTTGTTTGAAATGCGTAAAATATGATTCTGAAACCGTTCATTCTAAAATGAATGATTTTAATTCTTTTACGCCAAGAGGACACTTATTAATTAAGTAAATTAGTAATACTCATTTCAACATTCATCGATAGCTTAACATTTATGTATATATATAAGTAATTCGTTAAAAACCCTTGAATTTTTACGCATTATATTTAAATCTCAATGGCGTAACTAGCGTGTAACGTGATTCATGTGAATATATCATTCATTACAGTATCCACCATAATTTTTCATAGTATGCTATGAACATTTTTAAGTGATATTAAAAGAAATATTGGATGCCATCTGATAGTAATAACGGAATATGCAATATCACATGAAACAGGACATTTGAAGTGCAATGAAATGGCTGCCGTTTCCTTTCAAATCATCTTTTTCTGGACAATAAAACAGAACGAAATTAGTATAAAATATGAGAAAAAGCATAAAATGGATATGGATGATTAGTTTTAAACAAATAGAGCTCATCACGACAAGATCGCCTCAAGCAAATAGTAAGCGCTAAAGATGACACATATACAAACACACACACACACACACACACACACACGCACACACACATACACACACACACAAATGAAAGGATTGAAGCAGAATGTAACGGATCAGACTTGGAGAGGGAAGATAATATCCGGTTAGCTAATAGCAAATACCGTAAACTAATACCAATTGTGAATACTTCATGATTGTCTGCTCATATCTTTTATCACTCATTTTTTCTTCCATTGATACAAAAAAAAACAAATTTCATCATGAATTTTTATTATTAAAATTGCTTGTAAGAATTTGAAGAGAAACAAAAGAAATTAACTACCTGTTAATTTCAACATCTTACCGTACTAATTTCCAATATAAAAGAATTGAATTTATCGATTTAAACAATATCTTTTGAATGTTGCGAGTGTTTTTAATTTTCAAGAATTTATTATTCACGAGTAATTAGCAAATTAAGAGATAATGAAATGATGAAATCTTTCGATACAATAAAAGTGATATATTTTTGTAAATTGATTTAACTTTCTGAAACCTAAAATATTACATTTGTTTCAAATGTATGAATTCACGTCAAAAGTATTACGTGAGAGCTTCTAGCATTAAAAATGGAGCAAAGGGATTTATAGCTAAATATGCTATTTGTCTGTCAACAAATTCAATAAATGTCTCCCTACTGTAGCTATTAGCTTATTTTTAATCTAAAATTAATTAAAGTAATTTATCATTTTCCATTTTTAAAAACTTTTAATGCCTCTCTCGTCAACTCTGAAAATGTTCAGAATGCAGGAAAGGTCAACGGAGCAGTATTACTGCAAGTGTTCAAAATCGAATACGGTAAGGATGCGGTTTAATGAACGTGAACGGAATTGGTCACAGGCATGTTAACAGTATAGATTTCGAAGCTTTACTTAAAAATTACGTTTTACGTTTTAGTGTTAAAATTACGTTTTAGTGTTAAATTGACTCATATCTAAAATTTGATAAAAAAAATATTTTGCCGTACATAACAAATAATCTACGTAAACCAAAAATTACAATTTTAAATTTCTATCTCTCTAACATATTTATTTAAAAATTAACAATTTGTGCTTGACAAAAAATAGAATTTATAGATTGTTGCAAAACATAGGTTCAAAAAATATAACTAAATGATTTTGATGCTCATGGAACTCATTCTTTTCAAAATTTCGAAATATTTTAATATTGGAAATTAAAGATAACACAGCAAAAAGTTATAACTCTCTTTCTCTCTCTTCTAAAAAATGATCAGTCTTTCGAATCGAAAGATCTGTTATTAATATTAAAATCATTAGACAAATGAAATTAGTGAAGTTGTTATGAATTTTTGTTATAACCTAATTTTCTTCAAATTAAGATAAATCTTTTACGATAAAGTTGCGAAAAGCAATCCGCTTGATTCCCTTGTGATTTATGAAACCCTCAAGCTTTCTTAGGTAAATACAATTGTAACGGAGAAGCCTCTTTGCCACATTATATTTGTCAAAGTGACAATTTTGCAGCTGCAACAATACGTCGTTTACCGCAAACGAGCAGCTGCAGTGACGATCTAAGCAAGCTATCATCGTCAAAAAAATTGTAGCAATATTGATAGGATTCTCTCTTCAACATATATCCCGTTCCTCTGATCACTCCAATGTTCTTCTCCCATGACTTCTTTTTCCCCGATATTTTCTTACCCCATGTTGTATTTCTATTATTCTCTTTTCTCAAATCATTCAAAGCCAATGAATGACAATTCTAATGTCAAAAATATTCCTCAGAAATTACTTGACAAATAATTATGCTAATTCATCTTTAATTTTTACACAAAGCTTAATGTAAGAAAGATTTGAAAAGTTTCTGCTTTACACAAAAGTTTAGGAAATAAGCTTTAGTGTGAAAATTAGAGAATTCTCCTGGAATTATAAAATAAATTGTAAGTGGTGATTTACTTAAGGGTTGTTCATCATGCAACACCACATTGCTCGTAATGCTTTCATTTCTCTTTCTTCTTTCATCATAGATTGTAGTAGTACTTTAAAACAATCGATCAGCACTGTTTAATTTACTCTTCAAACGATAACACAAAATTTTCTCCTTATGAGCTTGTTAAGCAGATAATGATAAAATCAACAGTGATAAAATTTTCATAGTACATTTATTGTTTGAAAAATTGTAAGGAAGGAATTTTTTTGGTCACATTACAGAATGTGCTTTGGATATCTCATTCTGCGATGATATATTGTTTGATTTTAGAATGGATATTCAAGACATCAGTCTTTTTCATTTTGAAACAAATAATTCTCAAAAAAGAAGTATTAGTTAAATTAAAAAAGTATAAGTATGGAAAATTGAAATATAATAAATTACTGAGTTATTTGTGAAAATACAAAAGTATTATTCAGTATTGTCAAAATATTTGTCTTTAGTTTCGAATAACAGTTCATATATATGATTAAATTATTTATTCTGTTGAATGATTCATAGTATAAATTTTCAATTATTCCTCTTGAAAAACATTAAAAATTTAACTAAGCAAAAAAAGCTTCTTATTTAATTAGAATTAGCTCTTAAGATATTATATATTATTGTATTATATCTTGAAAAATTAATTATGATAAAGCAAAAATAGATTACAAAAATATTTCAATTAATTTTGATCAATTTAAATCAAATTCATTCCACTTACACTATGTAATCCTCTTTACAGTAGAATTGCCCGCTACGTAAATAACATGTTGACCCGCTAAGCGGAATTCGACAGGTACAACAGATCAAACAACTTTCATGCCAGCAATTGTTATCAACCTGAAGGTTACTGATGAGAAATCAGGAAAATATATTAATGAATAAAGTTGCTTGAAGATATGAATTTAAATAAAATAAATGGTGGAAGTTAATTTCTACTAACCTTTACCAAATACTTCTCCTTAATCTCAAATCCACAACCATTACAAAGCACTCCACCAGTATGTGTAGGCGGTATCGTCATATCATCGCAATCAGCTGCAAATAAGCGCTGATATCATTTATCAAGCTTCAGTTTTATTTGAATGACTTACAAAAAATGACAATATCATTTCGGCAAGATCATAAGCCTATCGAATAAGGTCATTGATTCTATTGCGCTACTTTTTGGTTAACTCTTAGAAATAATATAGATAAGTTTTTTACCTCCACCCGGTGAATTGAATGCTTGTGCTTTAAGTGAAGCTGTTGATGACTCCTCGTCTAAATCTACTATCTCGCTGCAAAACAAAAACAGTTATAATGATCAAGGTTCAAGGTTCAAGGTTCATATGAAACTATTGATGAGTCTTCGCCTACCGTACAAATAATGGAGTTAAATTATTGTCAAGTTTGGTCTAACATTAAATTGTGGTCTGTACAAAGTTCAGGACCAGAAAAATTTACTGCCTACCAAATATTAATAATCTATCATTTAAATTGATTGCATCTGATTCTGTGTTAAGTTTCTTATCGAAATCATGATAATGATACCTGAATTACATGTGAAGATAACTTTAGTGTCAACTTAATTTTATCCAAACAAAATTAAAAATAAAATTCGAACACTTCTTTGACTGGTTACCATTCTAAAATTAAACTGCAGAAAATAACCTTTGCGTATTTAAAAAATGGTCGAGATTTTCTGCTGCTATAGACATTACTGATGATGATAATGATAATGATAATGATAATGATAGTGATAATGATGATGTTGATGATGATGAGTTAGATAATGTCAATGCGCAACCATCGAGTACCATTCCAAGAAAAGGATTAAACCTACTTTTATTTTCTTGCCAATTTATTCTTAGTAAGCTCTCTTACCGTATCCAAAGATGTTAACAATATGTCCCGCCCCATCCAGTCTTCATTTTTATTGGTTCTCCTACTGTTCAGGCCTCATATAAACTATTTACTTGAAAGTTAGCCTTTAGGCCGAAGAAATAAAAGGACAAAAGTAAGAAAGGAATGTTTTATCAAAAACTATTCATTACATTGGCTTCAAGTCTAGTCATTCCTTCTTGGAAAATTTATTGCCGCGACTGTCAGTGCATAATAAATGCTGCAAGTATAGAATCTTTGAAATGGACCACCTATTGAACTTTTTTTCAAGTTTTTAACTAGTGCATTATTTTAAATGTTATAAATTACGACTAGGATGATGGCAAGTAAGTTCTGAGGGTATCTATAGAGTTATTCCACCGAAATGAAAAGAAGAATAAAATTTTTCTTTTGTACCTTGCCTTCATTTATTTTTCTTTTATCTGCCCTAAAAAGACGATTATTGAATCATTTCAGTATAAGTGATTTTAAATGTAGAAGACGTGGTAGGTTAACAAGACCCACGTGTCTCGGTTTCATCATAAGGACAACTGACAAGACATACACGCCTTGTCACCTGAAGTTCTACTTTTTAGTACGATAAATATGTTTATGTAAAGTACTATAGTTCTCGAGATATCACAGTTCACCTCAGCCCAACACAGACCACGTTAACGGGGAAGGACATCAAAATATATTTAGTTCGTGAGATATGCATTTGCCTTGTGGTTTGATTCTCGTGGCATAACGCATGGTCTGAATTGATGGACCAATGAGCAGAAACCCGGGTCATGCTGGAGATTGGGATTGATGGAGGCGATATCGTTTGTTCGCCTCTTTTGTTTTATAGGAGTGTTGTTCGACTGGATATCTGGGATCTCTAAGTTGCCGGGTATTGGGGAAAACTCATCTTGTTATTTTTATTTTATGCAGTCAGTATCGATGGAATTTTTGAAATAGCGGCCTTAAAAGTGCAAAATATTTGTATCTACCGAATTTGGCATTTCGACGATAATTTAGATTAGTTTATGAACGCTCCGGCGCCTTTCGAATCGTTCCTGGTATTTGATGGTGAGAAGAAGATAGCTATAGAAAAAGACACTAAAGTGCCTAACGCCGCTATTTTCACAGTAAACAAGGAAGATCACACGATCGGGAATCTCCTCAAACAGTTTGTTTTTGGTCGAGTAACATAATTTCCTACAACAAAAAATCAGTTGTAGAATTGCGATCTAAATTTATGAAATAAATCAGATCGAAACTGAACCTGACATTCTGCTTTTAAAATTTGACATTGATGAAAGCAGTAGCGTTTGAGCAGCTGATTCCTTTGATTAACTTTGTAATTATTTGCTGTCGAATAATTGAAGATTAATTTTATAGCATAACACTTATGATTTTTCTAGACTAATCTTAGGACTGAAATTGTTTTGGTTAATAAAATGCAAATGACTAGTTTAAGTGCGTTTAGTAGCAAGAAAAGAACATAATAAGGTGGCTGTGATATTATGAATACCGCAGCCACTCTACTAGAAATAGTTTGCTTTGCTAACTTTTTCGAGATCAATTGCAGAAATTTTCCATAAGATTTATTTCGGTACATTTTGTAGTCAGTTGTTGAAAGATCCTCAAGTATTATTCGCTGGTTATAAGTGTCCGCATCCATTGGAGCACAAGTTTATCCTCAGAGTACAAACAACATCTGATACCACTCCTGCAGACGCTCTTACCAGTGCCATCACTGATCTTATGGCTGAGTTCTCCTTGTTTGAAGAACGATTCAGAGTGAGTGGATTTTGCTCCATTCGTTACTGAAATTTCAGCCCCAATATTCGTAAATGATCCAGGATCCGCAAATGAAATAGGTTTTGAATAATCTAGGTGATTACCGTAAAGCGTATTTCAAGAATCTTTGCAGGAGACTGTAGTTGAGATATTTTCCAAGCTAATAAAATTGACGTGAATAACTCTAATAATGCTAGGACTAAATTGAAGCAGTTTGTGATTTTTATCATATTTGTAATCTATCGATCGTCTAAACAATTTGTTAATTTACTTACTGTCTGCTTTTTTCAGGAAGCCATCAAAGAGCGTCGAGAAGCAAACGAATAATTAGCGTTACAGTTATTCGCTTCAATTTTTTCATTGATTCTAAATCTAAATTCTTATTTATTAGAAGATGCTTGCGAATTATCTGACATCACCTCAGCCTCAATCCTCTTCTTCACCATCATTATTCTGCCCAACTATATTTCGTGTACGTCGAAAACGAACTGCTGATCCACATGAGGCTTTGGTCATTTCATTGAAGCGCGCAAAACAAATGCCAGCGATGGCAGAACCGATCATTTGTTTTCGAGCTTCAGCAACTGACTTAGAGGTATATAGTTGGACCCATGCTTTATAATGATTTAAATGAAATGGTAAAACTGCTGACATGGTAACCCTTTTTAAAACGCCTCCATATTTGGACAGCAAAAGACGTGCTTTGAAGAACCGAAGTGATTCTGTAATTTTATTAATTAATTTTGTTGCGGATAGGTAGCTTGTTTGATGCTTCTTTTTAATATTGTTAGTACTCACATTTTCATGAACAGTTATAGTGAGTCGAACCCGAGAATCTGGAGTATGTGAGTTAGGAAGTATAAATCTATAATCTACAATTTTTATGAGAGATATCTAATATCATCTCTTATTCTATTTCTAGCGCGTGATATAGCCCTTCGATGTTCACTTTTTTATTCAATGTTCTGTTAGTTTCATAAGTATAGAGATCAAAATTCAATTGTTTATAAATTTTAGTCTATTGATTGGGAGATGTTAATGTTTAAAGTAATTTATTCTAGCTGGGATTCAATAGTGCTATTAATTCACAACATTTCAACATCATCGATTTGGATCCACATCAGGACACTGTGAATACAAAAAGAACACCACCAGCCAACACTGTCGAAGTAACAGAGAATAGTGATAGTAAGAGCGATGTTTCATTTAGCAATCCTTTGGAATTTATGAAAGATTTTGTGGAAGAACCATCGTCCAACATCAAGATAATTGGTAAAGCAGGCATCATCAAATCCAGTCAAATAACATTAAATGGAGAGCCTCTGGTTACGTTAAGTAGTCAAGATGATGAAGTTAGTTCCATTCAGTTTAACGAAAAGATTCAAGAATCCTTGTTATTAAATCTCACCTTTTGGAAGGGCGATTATTAGTATTCTTGAATTCAGAGCAAAGTACACGACATGAACAAGAATCAGTATAAATCGTTGGTTTTTTCATCAATATAACCTTTATATTATTTTTTGTTGGCCCCTTATTGTTCTTTTGTTCCTATTTTTGTGCACTGATATTAATACGTAGAGAATGTAAATTGTTGCATTAATTCGGACAACGCTGTATTTAGGACTTCATTTTCGATTATTATTGGAGTTCCAACGCAAATGGGTGTACGGCTTATCAAATTCGAGATGTAACATTTTGAAATTCTCATTTTTTATTTTTTCTGAGTGCTTACCACATTTAATACTGAATTACATTTGAACTGAAATATGATCACAAAAATTTTAGAAATTCAGAATTTTTAGGTTCGCTTAGCAAATGCTGATGATTTATTGTGTGATGGTGAAGATACAGAAAGTAGTGCAGAAGAAGATGATGAGGATTCGAATGACGAGAACAATTGGCGTAATGATTACCCTGATGAATCCGAGGTAAGCTTCAGGAGTAAATTTTACATAACAAAAAAAAGATTCGGTAGGGATGGTTTTGTTTAATGTTTTTGTCATTTATCTACAGATATGTGGTAGTTGTATTTTAAAGCAATTTACCTTTGTAAAAGTTGTGCAGTATTGTATTGTATATTCAACTGTTTTCTAGGGTTTAAATTATTTTAACAATGTGGTATCTTAATATTAAATGTTCATTTCAGCATACTTCTGGTTGTGGTTCGGACGAAGACACAGCATCAGATGGATTTGATGATTATGAAGACCTGGAAAAACATATTGGTGAAATGGGTTTCTGTGATGAAGAGGATAGTGATGATGCAAATGACTGATGAATCAGTATTGCATTGTCTTTTTTATTAAATACATGTCATTTAATATGGTGTGATGTGATTCGAAAGAAAAATAGATGCTTTTTTAAACTTACAGTTCGAATTACATAAAAACTATTTTATCTCTTATTCAATTTTTAAGATAAATTTTTTCTTTATATTGTTTTCATTAAGTTTATTGGAGAGGTAGGAACAAAATACAAAATGTTTTCAGAGCTTAGAGGAATTCTCAACACAAGAGCTATTTACGGTTTTATTTTTTCTCATTTGTTTTATTTTTTCTCATGTAAGAAACTAAATACAATGAAATCTTCTGGAACATAATGATTCGCAGGAAAACAACAAGATCAATAATCAGCAACTTCAGTCCGCTTTGCTTTGATATATGATGTTTCTTTAGTTCCAGAATTTCTTCAGTTTCTTTTATGAAAATTATGTCAGGCTTTTTCTCGAGTGATCAAAAGATATGCCTGATAGTGTGCTTTCGTATTTCAATTCCAAAATTTAGAATAGGAAATTAAGTTCATAAAGTAAAAAGCTCCAACAAGAAAACTATAATTTAAAAACTTCAGCAAAAAATTTCAAGCAATCCATGGCATGAATCAAGAAAAGTAACTTAGATTCAATGATATGTGATTATCTTTCAAGGGTTCGAAAATATGATAAACATCAACAATCAATAAATACAAATTACCCTGGGCCCAGGATACGTTATTTGGAGAACATCTAAATGTCAATTTTTTACAGCACTTCACGATAGTGTCACCTAAGCGTCAAAAAAAAAAGATCCAACCGTCTCTTCTTTCAATAACATAATCTAATTTGTGAAGGAATAGTAAACACCAAAGAATGTTGTGTATAAAAAAACACTGTCAGTCATATATTTACTAAGTCAACAGCACTGAACGAAAGTATGATCGACGAAGTTAAGGCAAATTAGAGACGCCACCTGAAGTACCCGCAAGTTGAGTATCGGTTGCTTGCGTCATTCGAATTCGAGGTGACGGCGCACCAATACGTGATCGCACAGCAGTTTGTGCCAAAACTTTTTCCACTTCCTCACCTTCCTGCAACGTATAAAATATCTATTATTCATTATCAAAATACACATAAATTTAAGCATTTGGAAAATGTACACCAGCAGCGTGCTTCTTGATTTCCATTATCATCTCATCAATTTCATCCAATTTCAACACAATTTCAGTTGGTTGTCTTCGAAGCATCTAAAAAATGAAATACGCCTTCACAGATAACGATTGTTTATCAAAATAGTACGGAAAAATACAGGAGAAAATACTCGATAAGAAAAAAGCTCATAGACTTGACTTTTTTTTTGAGTTTAAAAGATATTTTTATTAAAAATAATGACTAGCGAAATCTCGTACGTAGCAGTTCGAAAAGAAAACCGACTTGAAATTCAAGGGATGTTAGAAGATGATGGAATTTAAAGAAGAATGCATGGACGGGTTTCGGTTCCAGTAGCCAGCGTGAGTAATGTATTTCGCTCGGTGGGTTATGGTGTGTGATGTTGGAGAGAGCATTATTCGATGAAGGGGCAAAAAATCCAGGAGAATTTTAAAGTTTGGAGAAGAGAGATGGATTCTTTTCTTCTTCATTTGTCTACTGATTTAGTTTTATTTACTGCTCTCATTTAATCTAGCATTATTTCCTATGCACATAAAAAATCGGAATGATAAATTAGTGATTATTTGCAGAATGACTGAATTGTTCCGGTCAGCTTTCAGTTATTTATCGCAAACGACACCGGTAAATGTTATTGGTAAATTAGACCATTCCCTTGTGGGTACAAATGTTGAGATTAATGGACTGAGGCTCAAAATTCGCTCTCTAATCGCTGAAGGTTTGTTACTTGACGTTGAATTTCGAACTTTGATTGCAGCAGAAATCGGCTTATGTATTCGCTCAGTGACTAATTCATTTATAGTCACCTCATTGGGATTTGAGAAGTAACATTTAAGGTTCGAGAAAGTACGAACAGGCTGAAAAGACAGTGGAATTCGTAGGGTAAGGAAAATGAAGTATCAAACCAAGATAACCATGAGAGGATTAACTGATGATAGATAATTTGCATTTTTTTGTGCAAACTGAATTTAACCTTATTATGCTATGATACTAACCTTGTCAGGAAATGTTCTATGTCAGTGACTGGTTGATGTTAGTTATCATGATAGATTTCTTTTCGATCACTTATGCATTATTTATACTTATTTATCTTCCTTATTTATCTTAGGTGGTTATGCATTAGTATTTTCGGCCCAAGATACGCACGGTAATTGGTTTGCTCTGAAACGACTATTAGCAGCAGATGATGAAGCTGCTGAAGCTGTGTTGAAAGAAATTCGTTTTTTACGAGAGGTAAAATTTTTCCAATTCCATCATATAAATTGGATTGTGATATACTGCTTCTATACTGTTAGTTTTGCTCTTGAAGCTCAATTTTATTTTAAAATTAAAAGCAAAACAGTGAGTTGGAGTATCGTTTGATGGAAATTTATTTCAGAATGTTAAGTCTTATTTCTTATCCGATTGCTTCGTTGGCTTATAAAAATTGTTTTCACATAAACGAGAAATGACATCGTTAGCTTAAGTTACAGATATGAGCATTATATGCTTTCTTTAGAAATTTAATGGAAATTTTGCATGCAGTTGATACATGTTATTTATTCACAGTCTCTAATTTCGATACGTCACTTAAATGTTAACTTCAGCTATCTGGTCATAAATCCATTCTACATTTTGTGCAGGCGGCTCAGCTGAATCCACAGGAGAGTGGACATGGTCGAGCCGAATTTCTTCTCTTGACTGAACTTTGTCCAGGCAAATCTTTGTTACATTTCTGACTAGTTTTTTTATTTCCTAAATTACAAAGCTTAATGTTTCAAGATGCAAATAGTCTACATCTTTGCTCCATAATTCTTAAGCTATAATTAGAAATATTTAAATGAATGAATAGGTAAATTGTTACTTGGTTTTCACGCTGTGAAAAAGATCAAAAAAAGAAAAATTTGGTTTCTAAGTGATTCAAATTTTGCCGAATCAATTATGTTAAACTTAATTGCCAAATTCAAATGAACTATTCTTAACTGTTTCAGGAAGCGTGGTCGAACTCATTCTAAAAGGTCCACTATCGGTCGGACAGGTGACTAAAATTTTTTATGCGGCTTGCAATGCCATTAAACAAATGCATTCAAAGAAGCCACCCATAACTCATAGAGATATGAAGGTATTTTTGCAAACGTTTTAGTATAGTGTGTTTCAAAAGTCGTTTTACATTTCGGTTTTTCCATTTTTTGGTAAAATGATTTCTCAATAAATAAATAATAGGGAAACAACGATGGATTGTGCTTTATTATTTTCTCAGTTTTATTGTTAAGATGGGGATGGTTGGTTGCTTTTATTTGCAAAAAAACGAATATTTTTTGTTTATACCAACAAAACATTTGAAGTGAGAATAATCGATTTTCTTCAAAAAGTAAAGTAATCGAAGTTGCGTATGTTGGTTCAGGATGTTATATGCTATAAGAAATATTAACTGTGCAGTTCAGATTGAAAACTTGCTTTTTGATGCATATGGATATGTGAAACTATGCGACTTTGGAAGCGCAACAACTGAAATCGTAACACCGAATGAAACATGGTCAGCTTTGCAGCGAGCACAGCTCGAAGAGGAGGTTGTTTTTCAAGTTTTTAGCATTTCAGAAATTTAATTAAATTGCTTGTATAATTTTATTTTATGTAATCTCTTCAGTACTTTTCGCTATTCATATTGCCGCTAGTCCTAAAAAGTTTCTTAATTCGAAAATTACTGAATTTTTCGAAGTTCTAAACATTTAGTTAGCGCGACACACGACGCCGATGTATAGAGCACCAGAATTACTGGATATGTATTCAAATTTTCCGGTGGGTCCAGCCCAAGATGTTTGGGTAAGTGAATTTGTGTATTTTATATTTTGGTAGGAAAAAAGATGATATTTGTTTCTGGCCCCAAAATTTAATCTCGTTTTAGATCTTTTGTTCTAAATAATTGTACTTTAAGGCTCTTGGATGTGTACTGTATTACCTTTGCTACAGAAAACATCCATTTGAGGACAGTGCAAAACTTCGTATCATTAATGCGAAATATTCTCTCCCCGGTGCAGAAACTGAATATACTCTGTTGAACCCACTCATTCGTTGGTTTTACTTTTCATTAACTTCAAAATCTTTGCTCTTCTAGGTATAGAAAATATTTTTCATAAACTTCGAAATTTTCAATATATTTATTTGCAAAGCACTTCGAATTATATTTAGCACAGTTGTAATTTAAGATTACATCAAATATATGTTTGATTTTGAGATATTTCACCGAGTTCGGCTATTGCTTGAAAAAGCAAATTTAAACTTTCGATTCTTGATTCAAGAAACCTACTGAATTGAAGGTGGTTCATTGTAGGCTTTTGTATTTAAACTTTCAAGTACCATAGCTTTTTTTGCCTTGTTCAGTACTTCTGGATGAACTCACATGCTGTTTTAGAACTGATTAAGAGGTTCTCTTATACTATCTCACGTATTTATCGTCTTGTTTTTTTATTCTTTTACATTTTTTAGAAACAACTTTGCGTGTTGATCCAAGAGAGCGCCCAAGTGCGGAGGATCTGTGTGAACGAGTTGAAGCGCTTGCTGCCGCATCAACTATAGATCTTTCGAAACCTATAGAAAACCTAGAACTACCGCAATTATCAGCATTCTTCTCTTCAGGTATTCACTTTTTGTCTCACCGAGTAAGTTAATTTCTTATTCAAAAACTAACCGGTAAACGTTATTTTAGTATATGAATTTATTTAATTTTGTCTAACTTTCTAAGTTCTTTGCCTCTTCATTTTCTCTTCACATTCCATTGAATCTATTTCTTAGAATTTTTAAAGATTTTTGCAGAATCCCATAACACAAACATTTTTAATATCTATATATTTGCAAGTCATAACTCATAGAAATTTATTAGTAAGACAAGTGATAAGTCAAATTACTATTTTTAAAATCCCACTTGTTTCCCAGGTCAATTACAAGCTGAATTATCTGGAAATGAACGTGGGAAGTCATCAAAATCAAATATATCAAGGCGGTCACCTTCAATGCCGCGAAAAAATGATTATGTATGTTGGCATGCAGAAAAAAATCAAGATTTTAAATTGGCATTACTTCTCTATTACCATTAACATAGTTTGCTTATTAAACTCAATAGTTCAATAGTTTAACACTCAATAGTTTGCTTATTTCTGTATTATCCGTAACTAATTTTTGGTTGCCAAGTGACTCTTAGTCTTATCATCTGCGAAGATTAATGCTGATGAACCATTAGGAGCAGACAGCGCAGCAAGCTTCCGCTGTTTTTGGTGCTATTAAAGGGCAGAGCATGTCTTGGTTCAAAAATATCAAGGACAAAACGGCCGCCGTTGCGCAAACAGTACAAGTATGCTTGTCCGTCTTTCATGATTGTTTGGGAAATTTAACTAAAGGGTACCAAATTTCATTTAGTTTGTTTTAGAGCAGATATGGAGCTTCCTTTGAGCTTTTATTGTTTTTGGAAAGTGAAATCAAAGCGCTTTCACGAATTTTGACATTATTATTTCTGTACTTTGAAATTTTCAGTCAACTTATGGTAATCGAGGTCCAGATGTGACATTTGTTACATCGCGTCTTGTAATTGCGCCACTTGCTGATTGTATTCCTGAGGCATTAGTTGCACAAGCTGAAGAAACAATGCGGACTCATATTTTGGATCAGGCTCGAGGACAGTTTGTAATTCATAACTTATCAAATCGGTGGGTTTTCTTCGTCGCTACAAGATAATGTGCTGTAATGGTTTTTATATTGCAGCATGATCGCATACTAGCAGTTTACAGTTTTTGTAGTTTTCGCTCATGATTTAGGCTTATAAGTATTTGTTTAATGATGTTTATGAAACATGTTTATTGGTTATCATTTTGACGTTTCTAAATCTACAACTTAGGATTTCCATGATACTTCAGTTATATATAGCCTTTTTGATTCTATGCGAATACAGGCTGTATTTTTTTCTTAGATAAATGGTTGGTCTATTCTCAAATAATATTTTGCGACTTGAAATTTAGTCATTTGCGGTGCGATTACGACCATCTGATAGAAACTCCTTTGCCAGCTGTTGGAAGTGGTTTAACACCCACAGTCAATTTTTTGTTGAATCTCTGCAGGAATATGGTTTTATTCTTGAAGCAAAAAGAAACAAATTTTATTCTGATTACTGGTCCCGAAGGTAAATATTTTTGATAAATCTTGCATTCGGCAAGTTTCGCAACCTGTAAAACATTACTTTTCAATATTTCTCTATAGTGAAGAGTATATAAATAAAACACATTTGTGTCACCTTTTACTTATCCTGGTCAAAAATATTTTAGTTCAATGTTTACTGGTAGCAGCAGCTCTGTTATTATATGCTCGACTTGTTCCGAAACCATTGGCCGCGCTAGAATTAATCTGTACTAAAAGGCAACCACCAAGTCTTCCACCATCTTATCATCGTCAGCTTGATGTAATAAAAACAGTTGTTTCTATGGACTCATCAGATTTATACACAGTAAGTTTTTCTGAATATTTTTAAAACTTTATACCAAAATGGCTGTTTGAAAGACTGGGTAGTTCTGTTATTCATGTACGGGTATTTGAACAATGTTTTTCAACATCTCTTATTGTATATTTGTTTTAAAAAATTCTATCTTACGCATCAGCACATGAAAAAGGAAATAAAATCAAATAGATCGGTTTTGTAATAAAGCGTTATGTAATCATTTCTTTTCATTTTTTTCCATGAAAAAATTATTTATAGATGGTTCACAATAGGCGAGTGGTGCTTCAATCATTATTCATATCACCGGTGCCACTGTTTAATCGAATTCGAAGCGGCTGTCGACCATTTGCTGATATTTACGCTGGTGGTACTAAAGTATGGTCTACCTGCAAAAGCTATGAACAGTTGAAGTAATGTCTAGCGAAATTTATAATACCTTCTATTGATACTTTCTGCATCAAACTTCAATTCTTTCCTCTCTTCAATTTTCTTCCACATTTTCAGTTTTTCTTGACATGAACATCTAATTATGTTGGAGAAAAGAAAATCTGTGAGGATTTTGAACCGTGAGCGTTTTGCATGAATCTCATTATCAAGGCCATATTTATATGTAGACTAGCGATGATTTGAGTATATAATTCACTATCTACAATTCATTAATAGTAGAATGAAATTCGCTGACATTCTGAGTTCTTTTTGAAGTACGGTAATTGGCGATGTCACTAAATTGTACCACTACCAAGAAACGTCAACAGAGTATGTTAGAATGATCTTGACGATGTTGCACTTCCCGTTCATTCTCTGTTTTGAAAATTTTCTAAGAACACAAACTGACTACTGTTTGCTTTCTACGTTCAATTCTTTTACTGCATTTTTTATCTTATATGTGTGTTAAAAATCTATTTTTTTTATTTTTACGTCTCGAACTATTTTCTCGACTTCTTAATGGATCAGTTCTGTCATTCTTTTAAATACATAATGTAGTCCTGGAAATTGTCGATGAGTGAGATAGATAAATCAAAAAGTGAAAGAGCTTCTACTCCTTTTTCCATTCACTTTTCGGATTCTGAACTGAATTTTCTAGGTCTTTCGATGCTCCGGAATCGTTTTTAATCGATCTTTCATTAGGAGATATTCCAGTTGGTGACGATGTGCAAGTAAGTTCCTGTAGTAATTTTGTGATTGAGATAATTTTTAATTGCTTCACTTCGGTTTGCATATAAGTGAGATATGTAAATTTAATTTTCACGAAAGCAGATTTTTAAGAAAGAAAAAATTTTCGCAAAGTAGATTTTTAAATTCATGCATTGATTTGCGGAATAAAGCATTTTTGGCTATGCTCAAAAATATTTGTTAACAGCCACAAAAATGAGCTTCCGAACTCAAGGTTCACTTCAGCTTTTTGCGTTTAATATTAAATTTCTAGATAGTTGTTTATCATGCACGATTGATGAAAATGCAAAATCGTATGCAGCAGCATTTGATGTTTTCATTGAATTTTCATGCTAATTTTATTGATCCAAATACTCGTATGTTAGAATTCAATCTTGGTGATCTTGATCGTCCGTCCGATGATTCGAGATTTGGAGTGTCGTTGAGGTAAGTAAAGTATTTCGGAATTTTCTTTTCAAGCAATTTACTAATGTATTTGTCGTTGACAAAGTCTCTCAATGTACTGACCTATTTAACACATGGTCTGAAGCTTTGCAGAACAGTGTTAGTCTTAAAGCTACTTTTGATTTTAGCGTAACATCGTTAAATCCCAACATCATTACTTTTAAATATCAATAACTGTTTCATGCAGTACATTGAATATTAAGAAGCAGATCCCCTTTTTTCCTAAATTCATTTTTTCGCTACGACTTACGTGAGTAAAGTAATGAATAAAACCTGTGTGGAAATACACTGCACTCATTCTGATTGTTTATGGAATGATAAAAAAAGAAACTGATTTATGCAACTTGAGAAGCTAATAGATTGAAATTTCATGGAATACTGCAAGGTAAGGATTATCACGTTGTAGAGCATTAGATTTACAGCTCATGTTAAGAATGCCGCCTGTTTAGTAAATAGAGGAGAGAAACTGTTCATAAAGTGAGCGCAAAAAAGTGTAAAGTGAAAAAACTAAGCTTTTTCTGAAAGTTGATAATCAGTACTGCTTTTCTCTTACTGCCTCAGGTATAATCACTTAAATATAATATTTTGAACTACTATGAGTAATGTAGTAATGGACAGTTATTTGGTAGCCAATAAATTGACCGTCTCGTCTAACGATGATAAAAACCGAAGAAGAGAGATAAACTCATCCATTTAATTTGCGATGCTGTCATTTATGGATTTATTTTTTTCATAGTTTTTCATATTTTTTTCTCATAGCCGGACAAGTTATATACCAATACAAATTAGGATTCCGATTTAATTACTTTTTTTTTTTTGGTAAAATATAACTCTCTCCGAAAGTATCGATCTGTTGACGTGTTTAAAATGAAAAACCAAGGGAAAGTAAAGGAGATATGAATAATTTTTCCAAGAAGTGATAGGTCACAAAACCACTATTTTGTCCTCATGACCAGAACTATTTCGACCAGGAAAATTTTGTGAATAAAGCTGAATTTTTGTTGCTAAGTAAGCCAACTGTTTTACATTGTTTTTATGAAGCGAAACTTTGCTAAAGTTAAAGAGAGGTACTTGGAAATGTGAAGTGGCAGGTTTAAGCAACAATTTTGTGTGTTTTGCTCCTAAACTTGTTTGTTTTAAGGGTTGGCTTGCAGTTGAAAATTGATGAACACGATAGAGGATTTAGTTCGCAAAAGCCACCTGCAATTCTTGGTTATGAACCAAAAGCCATTTCAAAATTGTTACTGGTGTCCGAACCTAGCGAATTTGGTGTGTTTGTATCTGTTTTAAATTTGAGGTGTTCAAGCTGCTTGTTTATTTGTCTATTAGTTATGAACCTAATTTTACAGTTTTCAGTATTCTGTAGACAAATTATGAGGGTTTTATTTTCTTTTGTCCTCTACTTTTCATATTAGATGCAATTGTTCGACATCTTGGTCTTCACCACAAGTCGTCAAATCAGCAAAAGCCCCCAAAAAGACCACTTCCTCCGCAGAAATGCGTCATGGAACAACATAAAGCGAGAGATGAAGAAGGAGAGAAATTGACTAGCCGAATCACTCCGTCAAATCCCCAGAATTCTTTCTTCTCCACGTTAGAGTGGCTCGATGACACTAACAATCTACAAGATGTATCTCAGAATATCACGGAGCCTTTTCAAAATAACGCTGAAAGCCGTATCAGACAATCATCAGAACAAGCTACTCATTTAAATCCGTCGGTATATGCTTACTTTTATAGTTTGCAAAAATTTTATTTTTTTTACATCGTAGCATATTCCTTAAAACCGAATCTTGCAGTATTGTATCCAGTCTTGCTGACACAAACCTTTTATTGTCAGGAGTTGGGGCAACTCCTGACATAGGTTGTTTCAATGTTTTTCAGATATCAGCAACATCAGGATTACTAATAAATTTTAAATTACCAAATTTTCTAAACAAAGTTTGAGCACTTTAACTGTTAAAAGAATGCTTTACATGTATTTAAACCAAATAAGTTATAGAATCGGAAAAAGAAACGTAGTTGTTTCTCTATTACGTTAATCCGTCCGTCCACTATTTTTTCGGAGTTTTCTTTAGATTGGCACTTCCATAATGAGAATTTCTTGTCAGTTGGAATATATATTGGCATATATATGTTTGAACTTATATGTGTCATATATGATTTTAGTAGAATTAAACTATTCATTATTTAATAGTTAAAATTCAGTGATTTTTCTTCATTTCAGGGAATTGTTGCTCTCAATATTTCTAGCTCCAGTTCCTAAAAACTGCTTGAATACTTTTGATTTGGCAAGAAAATTTTGTTTTTTTCAGTTACTAGAGCGAACAGAAGATGCTGATCTGCATGGACGTTTATGCCATATGCATATTAATAATGCTGCTGAAGAGGAAATTGATGATGGCCGATATAAATTTGGTTATGAAGAACAACCTAAATTTGTTGAGAAAAATGCATCGAAGATTTTAACCACTGAAAAAGATGTCGATCTACTTGGATTAGGAGCAGGTATTTGTCTTCTGGAATTTCCGATCTCTGATCATTAAGTCAATGTTGTATATATTAAATCCTGTAATTTTTGGCGGTTTTAGATTTCCATATTAAGTTTTCGTCTAGTGTACAATCAGTAAATGGTGAGAGTGATGGCACGGCGCGAGATGTATCTTCATGTATACCAAACGCTTCCTCGTCCAATCTTAATGTTTACTTTGGAGGTTTGCACTTTTCATAGTTTTTTAAACTTCGCTTTTCTTCACTTTGTGTCGAATTTTCTTGTTGCGATTATTTATGCATCCAAAATTTATATAGTTCCTCAAAATTTTCCTTTATTTTCTATCTTTTAAAATATTTCAATTGTGTTATTTATTTTGCCTCAGTTTTTTATTAAAATTTCTTACGTTTCAAGGAGAGAAGCTGACTCATTTTAGATAATGATTTTTGTGAAGATGGAATGCAGCGTAATGTTTGTGCACCGGTTTTTTCCAATGTGAATCTCATGCCTTCCACATCAGAAATGAAAATTGATCCACTTTCTGAATTTTTAGCATGCTCAAAGGATAATACAACTGCACTAGTGAAAAGTATGTCACTAAATGAATTATAAATCCTTTTTGTTTAAATGTTTTGAGAATATGAGCTAAACAGTAGTCCAAATAAGTTTGTATGAAATCGATTTCTTTTCTATTACTTGTCTCAAGCGTTTATTCAAATTCCATGATAAAATCTCGCAAGTTTTAAATCTCTTTAGGTAGCTCAATAGAAACAAGCAAAGCCGCATCGAATAATCAGCATCAATCAAGTTACAGTCGAACACATTTTGATACGCTCAGTTCTATTAGGGGTAACATCCATAGCTTAATTTATCTTTCATATTTCTGTTTAATTACTTTTATTTCTAGTAAATCATATTTTTTATGTTCTTTTCATATGTATATTTAGTTTCAAGGCTGTTCTTAATTAAAAATTTGAAGCACGACAAGTTCTAAAACAAAGAATTTGGACAAATTCAGAAAAATGCTGAAGCTAAATTCATTAGATGGTTTCATTAAAATTAAGTAGGGAAAAAATGCTTCGTCAGTTTTAATACTTAACAAACTGGTAATACTTTTCAGGTAGTAAACCAAAAAATTTTGAAAACGCATTTGATGATCTTCTCACTTCCCAAGGCTTTCAAATGTCTGGAAAAACTATAAAATCTTTAGGTGAAATGAAGCGGCAAGAAGAAATTAAGGAATTAGATCCTGTTACAGTTAAGGTAAGCTTTCAATGAAAAAAATCAATCAACTTATTCTCTCACAGTTAAATACTTTTGCACGTTCTGGATTTTATTTTTCATTTTAGGTGAGAGAATGGACAAACGGCAAGGAAAGAAACATCAGAGCCTTGCTAGGATCCATGAATAATATCTTGTGGTCAGACGCTGAAAATTGGATTCAGCCAAGTATTGGAGATTTGCTAACCGCGCAACAAGTAAAGTGATTTACAAAAAAGGGGATTTATATGGGATGTAAAGAAAAATAATACGTTCTGAGTAAAGCTTGTTAAATAATAGCGATAAATTTTCAACCAAATACTTTTGAATTTCGATCTTCGGATTTGATCACAATTTCGATCAAAACAAGTGTAAAAAGAGTTCTTTTATAGTTCTGCCAAACTTCGTTTTTATACTGATGATTGTTATTTGGTCAGCGAATTTTTCTAAGTTTTAAGAAATTACCAGTATGAATTAAGTAATTGTAAATGTTTAGTAAGAATCTTCAGTTCCAGCTTCTTTTTTTTATTTTTGTTTTGCAGATAAAAAAATATTACCATAAGGCTTGCTTGGTAATACATCCGGATAAGCAGGTTGGCACTGAGAATGAAACGTTAGCTCGCGCTATATTTACAGAATTGAATGATGCATGGACAGCTTACGAAAATGCCGGCTCACCATCCATTTAATTTCATATTTAGGCATCGCTATATGACTTTTAATATCCTTACTTGCTTAGTTGATATAGCATCTCTTTTGGGCCAGTTTTTATAATTCTTTAAGTTTCATCATAGGTTTGGTTTTCGACATGCAAAACTTTACCACAAATTTGGATATTCCAACAAAAGTTCATTTTGTATTGTAATAAGGTTCATAAGAGAATATGGTCATGAAAGAGAGCTGCTTTATGGAAGGACTATTCCTAACAAAATCGCCGAGAACACGCCATTTTTATGTGAGAACTCTGGTTTTCTCTGTTCTCGTGAATTCTTTTCTACCACCAAGCTCCTAAAATATTTGTTTTACATGAATTCATGCAGACTATCATGTTAACAATATCTTGTTAGATTTCCGAAATTTTTGAAAAATATATTTCTTATTTGAATATATGTATAAGATGTCCAGATCAGATGAATGCTATTACATTTAATATCCGATTAACATTATATTTCTTATAACAATAACTTTTTATTACAATATATGTAAATATCATATCGTTTAATTTTTGCATGCTTTGAGCTTTTGTCTTCCACTTTTTATAATAAGCAGTTGTACGTCTCATTCAAAATTTTAAGTGTTTTTTTTTTAATGGAAACATGAAAATATGTTCGGTAGTTGTGATGTTCAATTGGTCATTTTCCTATTGTGAATAAATAGCATTCATAGGCATTCTCCTTTATTCTATGGAGCCATCCGATATAGTAGAATAAAGCGTACTTTACCAAACCGTACTCATATTTATTGACTAGAAGAGTGTGAATTGGTTGTGGAATTCTGCTAGGATTAAAGTCCCGAACTATAAAATTCACAAGGGGTTGAATGGCCAGTTCTTTTCCGGTGTAAATTTATTGTGCTCTAATTTCCTCATTGTCAGTGTTTATTTGATTCGCAGATTTGTTAGGTTTGATTTCTAAGTCTTTTTATTTTCTACTTATTATTTTCATAATTTGCGCATGTTTTCATTTTTTTCATTTTAGAAATTTACACTTGTAATTACTCTGCTGTTTGAATTTTTGTGATATTATTAGTAAGAATCTTTTAAAATACAGACAAAACTCTTTTAGTTTTTAACCGGAACAAACAAACAAGCTCTTTATTCGGCGTTGAATGAAAATTTGGAAAATTAATTTTCGATCGTACAGAATTCTAACAGAAATCAAAAATATGAAATTTCTCAGATGAGCAGAAAGGTTTTTCAATGAAGAGATAAGCACACAAAATTGTCGGGCTTACTGCGTCAACACGAAGAATTCCATGGTCCCATTTAAAACAAAATTGCATTTAAACATATTTTGAAGACGGCAATATCCAAATATTTATTGCATAAGTCAGAAAGAGAAAATCATATGTAAAAAGATGAGACATTTATGAAGTGTGATAAATTATGCTAATGAAGAGAAAAATTTATTACCTTTCATATATACCGGGAGGGTGTGCACGAAAGGTCACAGGTTTACAGATGAGAGGATCAGCAGCATTTATGTAATTTCATACAAGGTGGGTGATGCATGTGAGTGCATCTTGACACAAAACCGGGATTTTTCACACTTCCAAATAATTTTGATCCAATTGATCCTTTTCTTTTTCAGTGAAACCACTTAGCGTAGTCACATAACTTATAGCGAAATGACTTGTAACGCGTGGTTTGTTATGGTTTTCATGCTCATTAGAACACGGAAGTGGAATGATTTGTGAAATTGTTCTGTGTCTTCGGGTTTAGTGTGGTATTGCGTATATCGGACGGGGGCGTGAAGTGGCGTGTTACCGCGATGTCAGCAAGTCGATACATCCGTAAACGTCCAGTGGCTCAGTCGATTTCTGAGGATGAAGCACTAGAGGATCCTGACCGGAATATTAATGATCCGCCTGGACACTGCACCTCATCATCATTGTTGTCTGAATCATCCACGCTTTCTACCTCAGGCTACGAGCAGTTATCGTCTGTCTCATTAAAAAGTCTTTATGATTGGTGCGTTTATTGTACTTCCTTACTCTTTCATCAGTTTAACCAAAAGAAGGAAAGGAAGATCTCGCAAAAGGCAGATTTATCTTCGTTGAATTTTCCATTATTATGAATTGCTTTTTTGTTGAAATGGAAATCTTAAAATTTCCTTGCATTACAGGTTTCATCCCGTACAGTTGGGAATACTTCTTGTTAATGTTAAATTCATTTAGTTGCTAATATTCTCTACATCTTCATTTCATAAGTTAAACAAACCAGGGATTATAATTGTTTAAGGTATTATATATTATTGTTTCAGTCCGATTTGCTTCCAACTTTTTCGCGAGCCGTACTCAACATTATGCGGTCATTCATTCTGGTATATTTCACCGTTTTTCGTGCAGCACTGTTTCTTAGATCCAACAATGGATAATTATCTATGCTGAAATACAGGGAGGGAAAGCTTCCAACAGCAGATATTCTAATTCTATAGTGGTTGCATTTTGCTTAAGAGACAATAATCGCTGTTATTTTATTGATGTTATTTTTCTGTGGCAAAATTTTAACAAAATCATTTTGTTTGTAAGTAGGATCGGTGACATTTCTTGAAAATTTAAATAACGTGATTATATTGCAGCCGAGAATGTATTAGTGCACATTTGGAGCGTTCTTTGCGATGCCCTGTATGTAATCGAAGTTTGGATCCAAGATCAGGTCCTATCGTCTTTCCTAATTTTACGGCCGCTAGCATTGTGGATGTAATCCGACGTAATATGAAGGCAGCGCGCAGTCTTGCAGCAGCCAGTGTCGGTTTTATTTTTTTCTTATTTCGTCACTTCAATTGATATATTTGATTCATTACTTTCATACACTTCTGCTTCATCGTACTTCACATTTTTTTTGCATTTTGCAGGGTAGAAATGAGGGGTTGGCATTAACAAGCGAAAAACTGATTGACTTGGCTTTGAATGCAGATGCTCCTTTTTTGGATCATTTTATGGACCTTCTCAAAAAACGACGTGAACAGATCAGTGATAATGTCACTCGGAGAAAAAACATGCTGCTGAACGAGTTCATTGATGAAATGATTACACAACGAGAAGAGAAGCTCAAACAGCTTCAGAATGAGCTATCCATTTTACGGAACGATAAAGCTTCCATCCAGGTGATAATATCTTTTTAGTATCTATGTTAGGACAACAAAGTTTGCAACCATTTTTCAAACTACTTTTTCGCAGTTCTTTAAGTTAATCCACTTTCAAGAGCCTTATGATAGCACTTGTCTGATGTGCCAATGCACGCCTAAAGATATGCTGCTCAAAAGTTTAATTGCCATAGTAATTGGCTTTAATCTCATTTTGAGAAACTAAAAAAAATTTACTCGCCTGAACTCGTTTTGGCAAAGATTGTTCGGTTTATCTCTTTAGAGCAGAGGGTGATGTAGTCAGACTTTTATACTCAATATGTATATATATATATTTGGATTCTCTTTTAATATCTGATTATTCATTTTTACCAGATTAGAAAGGGAAACAGTTTAAAATGATTTTATAACACATTTTTCTCTAAATATTTCTGGTACTAATTGTTTCACATTTGAGCAAGGCTGTATTTATGGAACATCAGGAAAGCTTCTGGAATTCTAATCCATTGAATTGGATTTTCAGTTTTAAGTTCAAAGAACTCTTTTACCTACTTTCTTTCCGTTATCACTCTGCTACTTCCATCCAAACCTTAAGAAGCAACATTTTTAAATATCTAGGATGAGGTCCCTAGTTGTGAATGAATGGTTTTAGGTGTAATTAAAGAACTGTTATATTAAATAAACTTTCAATTCCTGCAGTTGTTCTGATCACTTAACAAGTAATTCTTTATGTATTCCATTGACTATTATCATTTATTATGCAGGCACTGATGAAAGATGAACTGAGCGGCAATATTGGCACACATTCACAACGAATGGTACCAGATGCCAGTGGTTCACAAGTAATACAGTCTGCATCAGCTTTGAAAAAAGTGAGATTTGATGATGATGATCATGCTGATGAAATAGGGAAATATCGTAGTCGTCTTCAGCAACATATGGCCGGTTTAGAGCAAGCTTATTTCAATAGACGTTTAAATAGTACAGGTTAGCTTTACCCTCTTTTTTATGCAAATTTCATTCTTTTTGGAGAAATAGAGAAAGGCTGGTTCAAAGAATTTGGAAAAAGTGAAGAACAACTTGAAAAGTTTTCGATAACTCATTGCACGACCTAACCCTAATTCTTTAATCCACTTCCCTCAACAAAATCGTTATACATATTGTTTGATAAATAGCAGTTCAGGTTATCTTAATGTGGTGCTCATTTGTTGATAGATATTTTAAATGGATCCACAATACATCCATCTCAAAGCGAAGCAAAAGTGATGAGAGTGCTCACTAATAAAGCAAACTTCGACGCCGTTATAAACAAATTCATAAAACCATTAATGACAGTGATCGTATTATAGCAAAGCTTACCTTTTAAAATGCTTTGGAATCTGGAAATTAGGAATGGGAAAATTTTGTCCTTTTATGCTTTCCAAAACGAACATATCCATATGCATCGTTTAGCCAACCATTGTTTCTTTTCTCGGTCATTCCGATACAAGTAAATTTGCCGTAATACAATACACTTTCCATATACAACGTACTCATCTTTATAATTTTATTCTCTAGAGTTTTTTTATTTACTCCTATTCGTAGATCTAGTGTGATTTTTATTGTCATTCTTCATTCATTTATTTAGCTTCTTCCAAAAAGCAAGTTTCATATATTTATATATTCGCATTTTCCTTTTCTTACAGAGTCTAGGAGTGTTATGGATGACTCATTGGGTCCTTGTTGTGATACTCTTGATGATTTTTCACAAGTACTACATGGTATGTCGCAATATGGTAGTTTTCGACGTTTGGCATCTTTAAATTACAATGTGGCAGATGCAACAGCTGCATTATCTATTGTTTCAAGGTGATGAACTTTTCATTTTTGAGCATTTGCTTCGGTATTCTGTTTTAAATTGGTAACAATCTGGCTTTACTTAGTTTTACCTAGTTCAACAGAAGTCTGTAATTCAGTAACTTTTCAACTTGTAAGGAAATAGAGCTACTGAAGGAGTGAAGTACCCTTATTAATTCAAATAAATTACAGAAACAAGAGAGATAAGACGACGCGATTGTTTCCTAAAAAATTCATGAAAATTTTATTTACTTTTTGTATATTCAAAGAGTTTTGAGCGCAATATATTATTAATGCAATGTAAAAACCATGTTTATGAATGGATATTTCATCAACATGGTTTCACGTTGCAGTAATAATGATGAAGGTGCTTTTATATATATCATGGGAAGAAAATTTGCTTCAGCATTGAGTTCGACAAAGATGGTGAATTTTTCATCTTGGCAGGAGTTGCTAAACGTATAAAAGTGTATGAGTTCCAATCAGTTATCGAAAATACGGATACTTTGCATTATCCTGTTACTCAGCTTCAATGTACGTCCAAAATCAGGTCACTAAATTTTTCCAGTTTCTCTATATTTTTACTCTACATATTCAATTTCTCTGCATCAAAGATTTTTTATATTAATGTGTTTGGAGAAATTTGATGAATTGTAATCTTACAGTAATGTATCATGGAATCCATATTGTAAAAGCACTCTTGCAAGCAGTGATTACGATGGAACAGTACAACTTTGGGACACCTCACTTGCAAAATCAATTAGACGTTATCAAGTCTGTCTTTCGGTGTTATATTCCATATCTTTTGATGTGATTGACAAAATTTAAACTGTTGGAAGTTATAGAAAATGAATCCATTCTGGTTAGAACTCTGATCGGAATGGATAGAATCGTATTTATTTCATAAGGAATAAGTTTTAATCTGATGCTGCATGAAGTTAACCTAAAATATTACTTTTTATGAACACGAGAAACGATGTTGGACTGTAGTCTTCAACAGCGTTGATCCCCACTTGATGGCTTCTGGATCCGATGACGCTAGAGTGAGTTTGTTAGTCATTATCTTTTTATGAACTGAATTTTTTTTTATTTTTTATCTAATATAATATGAAGTGTTTTTCAATAAGTAAAAGCGAAAGACTTATTAGTCGTTGTCTTGCTTATCTCGTAATTTCAATATTCTTTCAAATCAATCGGATTTTATTAATATGTAATAGGTGAAACTTTGGTCAATCGGAGTGGATCGTTCAGTAGCAACAATCGACGCTAAAGTCAACGTATGTTGTGTTTGTTTCAGTCCAACGCAACGAAACTATCTTGTTTTTGGCTCTGCTGGTAATGGGTGCTTTTTGAAGTTACTGATTCGACTTTTAAGCCACTAAACAATGGGATCGTGAACAATATTCATAAAGTTTGAACAATTTTATTTGTTCAGTATTGGTTTTGTCACAATAATAACCATTTGTTTCTTTTGCTATAAGCTTTGCATATAAAATTCAACAACATTGAAGACATAACAAAAGTTCAATATATCATAGATCACTGCATTCACTTGTACGATATCCGAAGACCGCTAGAACCAGTTAATGTTTTTCGCGGTCATCGAAAGGCAGTATCTTACGTTAAGTATTGTACCGAAAATGAAGTTGTCTCAGCGTTAGTTTTTGATTTTTTTTGATCATATTAGTCAATCTCTGTGTTCGAAGAAAAACTGTATCTATGAAGATACTATCATTTTATGCATTTCATTTATTCTTGCATTTCAGTTTGGAAATCTATTGCGTGAAAGAAAATTTTGAATTCCAAGTTTTTGTGTCTCAAAATAATGTAAAATACAGGTCTACTGATAGTAATCTCCGATTGTGGGATGCAAGTAGCGGAAAATGTATACGTACAATGAAAGGTCATCAAAATGAAAGAAATTTTGTGGGTTTGGCAACCGATGGTAAACACATTGTATGTGGTAAGTTATTTTAATTAGAATTAGATTGGAAGTGATAATTTTTTAGATGAGAATCATGAATTTGATGAGACTTTGCGAATTGCAATTAATTCCACTGAAATTATGAAAAAACCATTATAGGATCGGAAAATAATCATCTATATCTGTATCATAAGGGTTTATGCGATCCGTTAATGTGCTATGATTTTGGTCGCGCGGATACCACTCGTTCTGCTCTTCTATCAACTGATTCTTCTTCTGATTTTGTATCTGCTGTCAGCTGGAAAAAGGTATATATTACATTATTAATATTTGAACGGAAGCTCCTGAAGATGAAATTCGGATTTCGATAGAGAAAACAATAAATTATTGAAAATTATTTTAGAATTCAAATGTTGTTGTGGCAGCGAATAGTCAAGGAACGACGCATGTATTTGAACTTATTTAATATATCGGGGTCTATTTTTCTCTTTAAAATCGGTGAAGTAGCAGACTTTTCGTTTATTTTTTAATGTCTTTTCTTTAATGTCATTTTTGTCTTTCAAGTGATATTAGGTGATATTTGCATATTTCTTATGGTTTAGCAGCGGTAGTTTCAAATCTTTGACATGTAATGAAAAATTAGTTCGTCATCTCTAAAAATAATTGAATCGCTTCATATTTCTTATTGTATGCTCGTATATTATGAGAAAAAAGTTATTATGATATTAGCTATTAAATCTATATTTGAATGTAATATGCATTACATGCTTCTGAATTCTGCAATACTTATTTTAGTTTTAACGGATTTATATTTTCCACCTATCCAATGAACCATTTTTTATCAGTTACGAAGGAAATAATCACGAATAACAAACATTGTATATTAATGCAGGTTTAATGCCTAATGTTATAATAACTTTTTCCCTCATAATTCAGTTTGGGTTAGATCTGCAATGAATTCTAATAGCTACAGTATAATTCTTCAAATTCTTCAATATGCTTTTTGCAAATTGTAAGTGAAGACTTTACAAAATTGTTGTGCACAATGTTCTACTCGGTATTACACACAGATTTGCATAGGTTTTTGTTTTTGTAATCGTTTCATGCATATCTTATGTTGATGATGGTATACGCCATATTGTTATCATCGCGAATTATGTACTTATGATTATTATTAAAGTAGTTGGTAATTGGTGCCGGTGATTATAGAGTGCAAGGAAAATTGGTCCTTGTTATATGTTAAACTACGCAATTTTTGTACATTTTTTACCCTTTTTAACTTGCCATTTATGCTTATAATGTAATAATTTGTATTTCTATAAGAGTTGAATGACGTAAGTGTATGCTGTGCATGGCATTTGTTAGGATTCAAAACATGCTTCTATTCCAGTAAAATAAAAAAATGGCTATACACATGATTATAAAATTATGAAATATGAGTCAATCGCACTATATACATTTATTTGTGCGTCGTATTTTACGAATTTCCCTTGAAATGTATACGATTTGCAAACTACTTTTCAGACTTCGAAAGTACAAAAGTGGCGGGTTTATCAGAAGGTCCCTTCAAATAAATTAAATTTAAACAAATATTTTTATGACGAAAGAAGTCTGTCAGTCCTCATCAATTCACTATGATTTAAATTAAAAAAAACCTGCTTAACAGTATTCTCCAATATAATCGCCACTATCTTGCATCTTTCCTTTGCTCTTTAGGAGAATGCGAGTTTTTATGAAATCTTTTGACAATTGGTGGTGGAAAGGTCGTAAGTGACAATCGGCGGACGTAGAGAAGCATCTTTCAAGGTCCAACATTTCATGAAGTTCGATACTGGTGAAAATACATTGCTCTTATCAACTAATTCAAAGTACAAATCATTGATATAGTATCTATATTACCATCAAACATATACAAACATTTAAGTTTTTGAGGTGTGTTTTTTTCTGAATAAGGTGAGGTGTTGCAGTGAAACGCATGAATAACGGCAATAGTAATGAATTTTGAGTTTTACTTCATATGAAGTAAAACTCAAAATGCGGCAAGTGATGGAGACGGACGTTGTCGCTATAGTTAGGTAAACAAACACGAATATGTTATTGTTGTTGATTACGATGATGATGATAATGATAATGACAATGGTGTTGATAAAAGCAATGCCGATAGTGATGCTTATGATGCGATAGTATTGACAACGGCAACAATGGAAAGATTTTGGAAAGACGGTAACGTTGAGCGAATAGCTAACGTAAATTTTATCAAAAAAACAGTATTGGATCAGCGGTGGAATTTTTTTCCTTTTCTGTCATTGATCCTTCGTCAAAATATTGTGCATACTGTAAGTTAAAAAATAAATTATGAAATTCACTGACAAATGTTATTAAATGATAAATAATCATTAATATAAGCTAGATTTATTTTATGTCTGGAAGGTATTAATTACTTTTTCAAAAATCAATGAAATTTTGAGTTAAATTAATTCGAAAAATCAACATACAGCATCTTCAATCCATCGAAATATGTGGACATTATATGGAACATAGGGTTGTCTGATGAGATGTTCTTGAACTTCGAGGAATCGCTTCAAATCTTCTAACGTTATACGTTCTTTATTTGGCCTGCAGTTGATACCGTAATTAAAATTCCATAATTAACATTTCTTTTGCTCTAAGAATTCAGAATTTTTGATTAATAATGATGATAAGATAGCACGAGAAAACAGATTATCTTATCCGACCGACTTTTTAGATTCTAATTTATATCTGAAAATTTAGTGATCAAAAAATTGTGCAGAAGTTTGCATGATCTTCAATATCTTATTTTTTTTGTACCATTTCTTCGTCTCGTAGTTCTTTTATATGTGTATGCCCGAAGAATATTTCAGTGATTGTTTAGTTAAAAGTAATTTGCGAACAAAGTGGCATCAAACTCAATCTAAGATATATATATTATCGTTTATTATGCAAAAAGGAAATATTGTAATCGTCAAATTGATTCAGAATTTGTTACAACTTTTTAATTATCATTAAATGGTTAAGTGTCATTTGTTAGCTTTTTTTCTTATTCATCATCTCCTAATTACCTCCGAAATCAAATCGAATTCTATCATTCCGATCAATAATGCCTTCTACAGTAACTAAATGATAAATTGTTGAATAGATAAGTTATTAAATCATTTATCAAATTAATAATTTAATAATGATTTCGTTAAATAAGATGGGATATTAATTAATTTCAATCATTATCATATATAATGAAATGCTGATAAAAGAGATATTGTATAATTTTCGCACCTTGTCTTTTTAAGAGCTGCAATAATCCTCATAGCTTCACGGATATCATCGCTAACATTTGCGAAACCGCGGCGTGCACCACGAATTTTACGACCGAAATAATGCAGTTTGGTGAATGTTCGTTTGAGTGTTGAACTGCATAAATCTAATGATGCTGTTATCACTGCCAAACCAATTATCACATAAGCAATCACTAACTGTAAGAAATAATCATGATTAGGTTGAATTACAATAAATATGTAATTAATTGAATAAATGACACGAAGGAAAATATTGTTTCTTAAGGAAAGAAAGAGATTCTATTCCGTTGAAATTTTTATTTTATAAATTTGAGATAAAATAATATTTTAAAAAGCATTTCAGTGCAGCATTTACCTTAGATTGTTCAGGTTTTTCCAGCACAGATAACTCAATAAATTAATCAATTATTTATTTTCAAATATTTCATTCTTAGAACGATGAAAGTAGACTTCAACTATATCTCATAAATCGTAATGAAAAATGGTAACTGACAGTTAAATATAACTGATTCCTGATATGGATATTTCCGAGACCAATTGTTGTAATAGTATTGAATGAGAAAAACACACCGTGCATAAATGACCTGTAAAAATAGCTTAGTTTGAATTAAAGAATTTTAATTTGTGGTTAAAATTTTTCTAGTAAAATAATTAATGAAGTTAATTAGACTTCATTTTTTCTGCAAAAAATATGTATTCTTGTGCTTATTTATTTTTTTTCATTTTCTTTATTCACTTTTAAAATGGATATTTATTTATTATTCTAAAGCTTTTCATGCATTTCACTTTTTTATGTGATGGCAATATCTGACCACTGCTATTTTGATATGATAATAGCATTTATTTATTATTATATTTATTCATCCTACCTTGTATTAGTGAAATATTCATACTCACCATATGGGTCCCTTTTCAAAAGTATTGAAAAGCATACTCCCAATTGCACAATATCCAATGATCAATCCGAAGTAAGAAGCAATCGGAAGTTGTACTCGTCCTTCTTCATCATCGTCATCATCCAACATACTCTGTGACTGATTCGTCCGTCTTTTTCTGCTGTTCACAATAAATTTTAGTAATACAACAAATAATTATTGCAAAATGCATCTTTAAATACTTTTAAATGAATAACCTGCAACAAATATTATTGATTGAGAAGATGATTTAATAATTTATAGTATAAAACTAGAAAGTGATAAAATGATTCTAACCTTGAACTAATAGAATCATCATCATCTTTAACACAATCACGAATGGCATCTATCATGGAACCAATCCATTCAATCAGTTCTAATAATTTACTGTATGATCGTATTACAATTCCTGATAGAAATTTACCAATATCAGCGGCAGTGATAAACATCAGAGGTATACCAACGAGGCCAAAAAATACCGTAAACAATCGTCCTGGATTAGTACTTGGTGTTACATGATCATATCCTAAAAAATGAAAAATTAAATATCTTTTGTAATTCTAAAATAGTTTTATAAATATAATTTTGGACTTGGGTTCAGTAGAAACAAAAAAATATTACAATTCTAACGAACCAGTAGATGTGATAACGGTTAAAGCGTATAATGCGGAAGCAGCAAATGACCATCGTGTAACAAGTTCTTCTTCAGAATCAGTCCATAATTGAGCATTCAACGTGAAACGATCGTCATATTCGTGTGTATTTGATAAGATTGATAACAATGAACGTATCCGTCGTTCGACCTACACTTCAGAATATCGATTAGCAACATAGTTGCTTATTTTTATGTAGCGCTTTTTTTGTCCCAATTATTTTTGCATTATTTAAATCACAAACAAAAAACTAATTTATGTTCATATTGCAAACATATAATTCAATCCATTTCTTTATTTTATCATTATTTCTCTTTCTTTAGCTTCCTGTACCCAAAAATGATTCTTAGAAGAAAACGTTACATCTTTTTTCATTTCAATCAGTTTAAAATTTCTTTCAGCTCTGTATTGGCCAGTAACTCTGATCGGAAAACTTTTAAAGAAGTTCTGCGTTTCGTTCAGAACGGAAACATCTCTTCAGATGGTAAATTTTACGTACAAATAAATTAATGTTCCAAGTTTAAGCATATAATTGTTCAAAGGATCTCAAAACATTTTATAATGAATAAAATGCACGGTCATTCGTATGGTCTACTTATGAATCATATACCGATAATCGTGTAGTATTGTCGGTAAGCTCTGGCGTACACATGCTGAAAGTTTCGTTGATAATCATACTGTACAATTTCAATACTTTTTGCAATTTCGATCGGCGATTCTGTAAATTATTATTATTGTTGAATCTTCTTATTGCAGTAATGAATTAAAAAATTCTATTAAAAGAAGGACGCTTTCTGCATTCTGTATCTCTTAGAAGTGCAAGATGTGTTAATATATAAATATGATATGATATCTAGAACAATAATCAAAAAGATTGAAACTCAGACAGATCGTTCAATGATTTCATAATACCTGTAATTCGTTGTCAGCTTCTAACCAAATGAAGATCAAAGCACCGATTGCGATATATGTTAGCAATAACATGATGAGACCAACATGAGGTATGAGGATTTTTAGCACCTGAAATTTATTTAAATTTAGCAACGATTAAAATAAGTGTACTATCATCTTAGAATCATAATATTTCAAAAAGTGGTAATTGACCATAGAAACATGTGGTACTCTAAGATCATAGAATAATAAATTTATGCTAAAGTTAATTAACGTTTTGTTATAATTCTGAATTCTATTGAAAAATATATTCAACAGATGTAAATAATTCTGGAGAAAATGAAAACAAAAGACCTTGGTAATTCGTTTTGGAACCGAAGCTGGTGGAGATTCTTCTTCACAGCATTCTGAATTACTTTCACCTTTCCTCAAAGGATACTCATCCCATTTCACCCTGCCAATCGTCTCTAAAAATTTGCAGTAATTTTTAATAGTTTTCAAAGTTTGTTAGCTTTTAAAAAATTTTATTAAAAATTTCCAATAGTTAGTTAGCTATTAAAAAATTCTATTGGAAAGGAAAAGTCTCGTAAAGTTATATTGTATTTCTATCCCAAAATCATCAGATGGAAGCTGATTTCTAATTAAGATTATTGCATGATTAAAGCTTCGCAATCTTATAACCAAGTTTTAAATCAAATATTCCTTTACATAAAGTTTAAACTTTTGATGGACAATTTTAGTTTTGATATGATAATTTTTCCTGGAAACCTTTTTCTAAATTCAAGCTTTTTTTAAAGTTAATAGCGGTGAAAACTCAACCACTGACTGTTTAATTATTTTTAAGCGTAAAATTTTTTACAATTGCAGGATGTAGTGAAAATGGCTCAGTAAATTTTGTTCTCAAATACTAAATCCCTCGATTTCATTCATGCAAATACTATTATCTTAATCTTTATATTTATCGCTATTTTCTAATAACATTAAATAAATTTCACGTTAACCAAGAATCTGAATTCATTATGATCAGTTCATATAATATATTAAAAAATAAAATGAATTATGAAGAAACATAAGTTGCTCAGAAATAAATAAATAGAATACTGATCGGTGTGATAACTGTCTTTATTATCTGATATCACCATTTGCTAATCACATGCATTGCTTTTGACATTGAAGAGAAATCTTCCAGATTCTACCGCATTCTATTCAGCCTATTCTTATTCCTGTTTCTGATATTCATCATCTATACAACAGCAACAAAACGATCGATGAATATTAGTACTGATAATTTAATATTTGTAATTATTAACTATGGTTTTCATTCTATTGTTTTTGTTTACCTGATGGCTATCAGTAATATTAGGAAATCATAACAAATTAATTGTCTAATAAACAATCAACAACCAAATCAATCATTCATATTTGCTTCAACAAATAAGGCAAACATTTGATTCGTTGTTACTGTAGTTGTTTAATGACAATCATTTGCCATGCGATGTATCATAGTAGCATAAATCAAAATACTCAAAATTGAAAGAACTTTCGTAAACTTTTTATAAATATATTCCAACGTATTAATTTCATTTAAATTATGCAATCGCTTCGTTGCATCTTATCGTAATAACTTTTGAAATATATAATTACATTGGAAATATATAATTACATTGGAAATATATAATTACATTGGATATGTAAGAAGAGTAAATTAATTACTTATTGTAAAAATTTCGACAAAATTCATTTTATTGCTTCAAATCTATTTTGCCACTATTTATTCATTGCTTGGTATCAAATTTCAGTTGATGATACCCTTGACACTCATGCTTCTTTTCGTTGAGCTATTTTAAATTTCATTTGTCGTTGTATCATTTTATCAGATTTATTTTGCAATAGTACCTACGATTTAATATAAATAATTTCATATTAATCATACATCTGAATACCATTCAGGTGACTTCAGATGTCAATTTCGTCGGAACACTTCGCTAGTCTTTATTTGTGAAGTAAATTTGTACTTTAACTAACAAAATTAACCGTCTCATTTCTCTCAATTATTTGAACTTACAAACTATTACTTCTGCAACTGCCACAAGTTTTGTTACAATTTCTTAATGGAAGACTTATCAAAGTATTAACTTTCTTCTTCAATGCTTTCACTAATGTTAAAATTGGAGCATGTAAAATATAATTTAATACGATAAAGGATATAAGAGCTGAAGAAGTTGAAAAGTGTAAAAATAATTAATCAATTATTTTTACAAAAGAGTAAACTGAAACCTTCTCATCCATAATTCGCTTACTATCAGACAAACTTATCAGTTAAAGCGATTACAAGTTGCATATATTCTTCAATGGTACTCAATAAATATTCACTTCGTCTACATTAAAACTTATAAAATGTACACATTTCGTAATTAAATTATTAAAATAATTATAAGAAAAGATTGAAATATAATCTGATTAAAGTTTGATTTATCAAAAACAAAGAAGCATTTTATTATTTGTAGCTGTAGAAAAATTATAAAATTACTTGTTGATTCGCACATGCACTTATTTGCTCGTGCAAATGAAGGAAAATATTGCTAACACGCAATTTTATTTTGCATGCATGCATGCAAAATTTCAAGCAGCTACGCAGAAAGTTAAACAATTTGTTATAATCTTTCAGAAATAGTTGCTTTGGTGATATTTAGAATTTTCTATTTTACAACATATTCAAATAAACGTATGGGGGTGTTTTGAACCAAACATCTCAAATATCTTATCCCTTTAAAATATAATTAATTATATTGCACTGAATAACGATTGTTACAAAGGACAAAATGTTTTAAGCAACGATGCATCATTATATCCGATCACTGAACATAGCAACGAGCTATCGCTATGGTTTAATTTAAACTATTTTGTTGCTATGATACAATGAAACAATATTTTGAAAATTTTCAATTAAATAAATATCTTTAAAATTTTACAACAACTTTGCACTATGCTAATTATATGCAAATAACCAAATAAACGATTGTTTTAATTTTTTCAGCAAATTATCATTCCTTCAATATTCAATCAATCATATTATTTTTATTGAAAATATATTTGTGTTCTCCTGATTTTTGACACCCAAAAATGGCTTTAAATAAATTGAAATGAAATTTAAAGACATTTAAATGAGTATTATTATCTCCCTTTCTTCTGATAAAAATTTGAATAATTTGATAAATTTCATGAAATAAAACTAATTTATGACATTCACAATTAAGCCAATAAATAATACAATTCTTTTTTATCATTAATGCAACAAAGATAAAGGAATAATTAGGACTAATTTTACTAATTGTTTTATCAGACAAAAAAATTTGCATCAATGTTGTTGTTGTTGTTGTTGTTCATCTATTTTTAATTCTTAGCAATTTCCGAAGATATTAGTCGTAGTTTTTTGAGCATTAAAACTTTTCGTTAAAAATCAAACATAAAAATGACAAAAGTTAAAATTATTTTTATTCGAACAATTCAAATGGTTCCATCAAATTTATCGATAATTTTAATATTTTTCAATTTAAATTTTTATTTCAACTAAGAAACAAAAAACTATGACATATGCAAAAGAATAAGTTAAAATGAAACGATCTGATAATAAAATAACGAAATAAGAGAATGATAAAATGATATTTTAATAAATAGCAATGCTATGGAAAGATTAGAAAAAACGTTGAAATTTGAAAAGTTAAAAAATGAAACGAACTTAGCGACAAAGAAATTCCATCAATTTGAATCCGAAAATAGAATTGATGTTATAAGTTTCAAGCTATGTTAATCAACTTTTTACTACTTACTTCATTTTTTAATTTATTGCCAGACATATTTGAATGAAATATTAACGTTAAAATTTTGAAGACAAAACAATGGACCGGAAAAATATTGAAATCCTTTGAGAGTTGCATCGATGCATTTGAAGTAGATGTTGTTAAATTTGTTCAGTATTTTGTGGCAATGGCTCGTTTTTCAAATTGGTTAATAATGTGATAACGGTAGAACTTAGTGTTTTTGTACCGAATCATTTTTTCCGGTTTTATAAACGGAAATGAGAAATTCAGAAAAAACATACAAAAAAGGATCATTTACTGATTTATAAAAAAAAAGGAGAAATGGATCAAATGATATATCGATTACTGTTTTTTAAAATTTTAATTACTTTATCTTTGTAATAAACTAATTTTACGGTTAAATTTAAATTTTTAATTTCTCAAATAAAAAGTTAATTGAAACAAAAAAAGAAATTTTCAACAAATATACCACAAAATAAATTCTTTACTTACTTTCTTATTTAATACCATTAAACATTTATATCGTAAAAAATAAAGAGTTATTTCACTAATTATTATAATTTAATCATTTATTATTTCATTGAAAATTCTTAAAAAAAAATCTTTTGTTTTAATTAAAATTTTTTTTAATTTCAAAAAATTTCAAGCAAAATAATTTCATTAAAAATTTAAAGAAAATTTTCTTCGCTAAATTTGCTAACAAACGAAATTCAATGGTTTATTTCTCAAAAAGAATTAACAAAATTTGTATGTAAACTTTTCTTAACAAATCGATCGTTTCAATTTTAAAAGTAAAATCGTAACTTTTTGTTTTTTAACAAATCAATCAATTCGATGATTTCTTTGCTTCTTTCTTTCTCTCTTTTGAGAAATAATATAAACTAATTGTTTTTCATTTTGCTTTCTCACCAAAAAATAATTTTTATCAACAAAAGTTTAACATACTCTAACATTCTTACACTCTCTAATCTTTTAAACTTTTAGCTTTCAATTTTGATACTATGAAATATACATTTAGTAGCAGTAACAAAAGTAAAGCAGCTGCTCAATAATATTTATTATTCTGTTTATTCATATTTTTCTAACTATTATTCTGCCGGCAAAATCGGATATCCATTCCGGCAATGCACAATGTTTCATCCGATTAAAATATTTCATTACAATAAATATAATCAATCAAAGAAGAAAAATTATGCATAAATTTAATCAAAAAGATTGTAAAAGTATATATGTATAGTAGTGATATTGCTACTGATAAAATATGATAAAACATTTACTATTCCTTTTATAATTGAATTAAATTAGGCTGAGTATAGAATGATGAAATAATTGATATAATTAAACTTGTAATATGTGATTAATTAATTGCTGTAAGATGTAGGTTTGTTACAATTAAGCATTTTATCACGTGATAGCGATACGAGAGAGAAAATCACTCATGATGTTCAATTTATAATAGCGATGCAAAAATTTGAGCTGTTCATGTTTCATGTAATAAATTTTTAATTGTTAAGTTAACCTTTCTAAATTATTAATTCTATTTTAAAATTATTTAATTGTTTCAAAATAGGATCGCATTCCACGATAGAATCAATTTTACGCTTGGCTAAGCATATTTCTTTGAAGAATTAAATTTGACATATTGCTTTTAAAATATATTAAATTCAATTTACAATTAAAATTACTCCTATAATTCAGTAATCTTTAATGAAATCAGACTTTCGGAATGAAAGGACGAAGGAAAAATATTACACATATCACTTAATGCCACCCTTCATCAATCCTTCTCCTCTAATAATTCTCGATGATGAACACAGGTAGAACAATAGGAATTTCGTATTGAACTTAATTTAGTTACTCATTATTCCCTCCACAGAGATAAATATTTTACGGATGATGACAGTATGAACTGAATTTATCTCTTTACTGTACTTTCTTATTCACTGCAAAAAAGATCTCTTCCCACTATGTGTTTTCTTTTTTTGAAAAAGATAACAAAATTCTTATCGATCTTTAAATTTACAAATACAAAAACATAATAGCAATATGTTCTCTCTTCGGCTTCCTTCAAGTTCTTTTTTCTTTTTCTTTAGTGAATGATATGATAAGTTAAATAAATATATTGTAGGAAGATGATAGCAAGAAGATTCAATATAATGCAGACAATTAATTACCTACAGATTTAATCTTTAAATCACATAAATTTGATACTTAAGTTGTTTAGTGTAAATGTAGTATAAATTTGATAACATCAACTTCATTCATTTAGGTTGTAAACCTGAATGGCAGCCAATTTGAAGTTAATAGTCATGAAATTAATAGATTTTATTCAAAGTCGATCTGAGAAGAAATTTTGCATTTCCTAATTTAGAAATGAAATCTAAAGACTTTTCACTTCAGCTTACTATGCTGGCAAAATCACGATGATATGAAATGATGATAGAATTAGGTTTAAAAAAAACCTAGCGATGATAATGATAAAAGTGAAGATGATTACTAACCATTGGTACTGAGACTAGTCCTTCGTGAAATAGGTGGTGATACAATAGGTACCGGTGGAGGGAGAGCTGAGTTCAATCGGAAATTGAACGATGTTTGTGTGAAACGGCGCAAAGATAACGCTGCATTGGTTGTCCCCATCAGAGCTAGTCCACTGTGCTGCAGACTTACCCTGCCTCAGGCAGACTTCAAACCCTACCATCATCTTCATCATCATCGTCATCATCATCACCATCACCATCATCATCATCATCATTAATATTTCTACTAACAAACAACAACAACATCAACAACAACAATAAAAATAATAACGTCAATATCAATAATAATGATAATAGTCAGCAGGATATGTATATTAAAAATCAGTGTATATTAAATATTAAAATCAGTATATTAAAAAGTCTAACATTGAAAACTTATTTAATAATAAAGCTTCAATACTTCGATATCATTTAGGTAATGATCAATTAATTGGCAGAGAATATTGAAAGGGATGAATGAAATGATAAGAGAAACAAATTTCCATGTTAATACGGCATGTTGAATTTTATGCTCAACTTCCGTATCAATATTGTATGTTAAATTATGATACTGAATTTGCATAAGATAAAGCTGATATGAATTTACATGTGCATGAATTTAAAAATAAGCAGAGCGGAAGGATTTAACGAATATCGATTTGATAATAATCAATTTTTATACTATTTAATAATTACTTTACCACTTTTCCAATGAAAATAAATGTTTTTGTCGATGAATTTCTCTCAAAAGCTATCCCACAACGGTGGCATTTATTAGGTTAAAGTATATTCTGTATCCGAATTATTTCAAATAAGATAATTTAGGTCAAAGTTATTTATAAATCATTTAATTTGTTATTTTCTAGTTCTATTTCATTAAAAGAAATGAGCTTGTAAACATCAACTGACTGTTAAAGAAAGAGCACATTTCAGTCAATTTTTTCAATCAAAGTAATTTTTTTAAGAATTAAATTCTTTATTTAAGCGATCAATTAATTTTTTTAATTGTTTGTTCATTTAAAATTAATCATTGTTCTTCATTTATCTTCAATTCATATCAGAAGATAAATCACTTCTGAAGAGTCCAATTAACTTTTAAATGCTAAAACTTCTACAACTTTAAGGTCTTATTCCTCAATTAATTTATTAAGGCCCATATAAAGCATTCGCACTTTCATGTTTTCCTTGTGATATTCAAAATTCGAGCATTGAATCAATTTCAATGAGAAGCATTTGCAAACTTTTCACTTTTCAAATTTGTTTTGTTAAATTATAAGAAAGTTAAAGTTTAAAAACTATATCGGAAAAATGCAAAAAGGTATACATTTGAAAGAAAAATTTGAAGGTGGCAAAAATAATAATAATTAAGTTAATAATTAATAATAATTTTGATAATAATTAAGTTTAATAATAATAAACTTAATAATAATTAAGTTTTTTCAATACATTTTACCTTTTCTGCTAATTATTCTGTCATTAATAAAGTTACTCCAAAATTAGTTGCATAATCGTACAGAGAAGAGAAAATTTGTCGAGAAAATTTATCGGTATTTTCAATTCTTCGACTTTTCCATGCTTATAAAGGTTAAAGGGTAAATTAAAAACTTTTTAAGAAAATACCTCCAATTTAGCCTCTTATAAAAGTAAATTAGAAGAAAATACTTCCAATTTAACCTCTTATAAAGGTAAATTAGAGGAAAAGACATTAAAATTGTATGTGAAAAAAAAGCAAAATCTTTTCTTTTTCTTACCTGTTAAAAATGTTCGAAAGAAAAAATTTTGAGAATACAACAATTCGATTTCTATTTATTCATTACAGTGCATTTTATTTGTTTGGTGTAATATTTGCGTGTGATTAATCTATTGTTGGTTGAAAGTACTGAAGAAAGTACTGGGAGTACATTCCGGAATGTCTAGGAATTGCGGGAAAAACGTACATGAGAAGATAAATACGGAAGTAAAAGAAGAGGTCATTGTTAAGATAATTTCTAATAAATTTAAATGTCCTAAATAATCGGTAAGTTATGGAGAAATGAAATTTTAAAATGATTTGTACAGACATTAAATTTGCTAATTTTATTGTTGAAACAATGAAACTAATGAATGAAAAATATTTAGCTGAATTTCAGCATACTTATATTATTTAAATTTTAAGTTTATATTTCTTTTCAAAATTAACTAATTATTTCTATTTTTCGAACATAACCTTTTTATGATTAATTAAAATACAATGTTTTATTTATTTATTTAATTGCTTCTTTATTATTTTTAGTTTTTGCTTTCCCTTTGTTTTTCTTAATTACTTATTTATTTTCTCATTATATTTAGTTTTATTTTCTCTTAAACGAAATAAATTAAAATTATGGAATCATTAAAACAAAATTATTTTAAAATTAGAACAAAACATACAGCTGAATGCTCATATGAAAATAACGCATCAAATGTACCAAAAAATGACCTATCGAAGGTCATGCATTTGCTTCATACATTCGAAATTTGGACTGAATTAGATTTTAGCTTCAATAAGGTCCTAAAGTTAAACAAATAATTTTCTTCTTATGAATATTGATAGCTGGTGATAATGTAGGAGATTAAATTTTAAATTAATATTCAGCAAAATTTCACGCTAGCTAAATACAACATTGCCGTGCAAATAGATAAAATAAATGATTTGATCTGTCGCAAAAAATATCGAAGCCAAAATACTTACACGAATTTTTAGTGATTAATTAAGAAATTTAATTAGAATTCCATAATCTGTCAAAAATTAAATTTCAATTAGAAAAAAACATTTTTGGTGGTATAAACACTTTTTGATTGCAAAAAAAACCGTTGAAATTTGAAGAGAGAAAAGAGAAAAAAGACAAAAAATTGGAAAGAGAAGGAGAAAGAGAAAGAGAAATTTATTTGTTTAAAAATTCGAAACAATTTAATATTTCTTAATTTCTGTTAACTATTCGAAAATGTCATGTTTTACTTTTTTTTTGTTTTGAAATGAATTGCTCTTTCAACAAAGGCTGGTTTCAATTTTAAATTGAAATTTCAATTTAAATTTTTGACCTTTCCTTTGAGGAACCAATATTTTTACATTTCTTGCAAGAAAATATTTGAAATTTTTATGATAGGAAAAAATAAAGTAAGTTCCAATGGGAAATATTATAATTTCAAAGCATTTTTCTCGACATAAAAGAAATTGAAAATATTATTAAAATTTGATTGATATCAATTTCAATTGAATTTTATTTATGAAAAGAGAAGAAAAAAAATTTTCGCCCTATAATTTATAAAATACCGTATTTCTACCAGTCATTTGAGCCATTCTAAGCTGCAGCCAAAAATTTTTAACAATATTTTCAAAATGTAATTTATATAAGTTTTTTTTTTAAATTTTCATGATACAATTTCTTCATAACTTCAAAGAAAATTTAGCTGCTATTGTGCTCCTAAATTCCGAAATGAAAATTCCATTATCCTAAAAATAAATTCCAAAATTTTCCAAACGATGCATTAATTTTTTAAACGATTATATTTGCTTAAAATTTTAAAACAAAAGAATAAAAAATTCTAAAAACTTTTTCTGTAAAAAAAGTTAAACAAGTTTTAAAACAAATTAAAACAAAAGAATAAAAAGTTCTAAAAATTTTTTTTGTAGAAAATGCGTAAATGAACAAAACGTATGCTAAAAAATACGATGACAGACAGACAAAGAAATTGAAATACAAAAACATATTTGGAATAATTTTGATTTAAAATTTTGTTTGATTCATAAGTGTTAATTTGATTAGAATGATAATCATTGAAATAAAATGCTAAATTTAAAGTTAGAACAAAAAGAATCTTTACTATAATATTGCTTAATGAAGTCTGTTCAGTAATAATGCGTAATTTAAGTAAATCATTTTAAAATAATTATTCAACCAAAATAAGCTATTTTATTTTATTGATAATAATTTACGGTAGATGGTGTTATCTTGCTGATTATCCGTCCTGACAGAACTTTGACATATCGTCAATCTTAAGCGGCTCAATTGGTAGTGTAACTTCCTTACTATTCGAAACAAATTACAACTTCATATCTCGTTCTTTAAATTTAAATCTTGTTGATTGGAACAGAATGATTACATTAAATGATGTGACATGAATTCAAATGAAATTGCATAGCACAAATTAGATAGAACAGATGAAAAATTTAAACTATCCGTCTATGATATCGTAAATTTTAAGAATGAAATAAAGAAAAGGGGAAAGAGTTGTAAAAGTTTTGAAAGTTATTTCTAAATGAGATAAAGAAAATGTGAAATTGGTTGAAAATATATAGTAAAATTGGAATGGATGACAAAAATAGGCTGATCTTTTACGGAAGGAAGTTTTTTTTAAGGAAGTGATTGAATAATAGGACTAATTTTAACTTACTACAAATGAAGGCCTTATTCTTCTTCTATTTAGTCTTCCATGTAACTAATTTGTAGAATTTTATGAAAGGAACGATTTTCAACAAAAGATCGAAAACGAATAAAATTGTGAAATTGTTAGAAATAAGACTAACCACTTACGCTGAAATTACAGTAAAGTATTTAAACAATTGTTATAACAATATATTTTATTATCAATTGTCCTAAAATATAATTTCTATTTAATTAATACTAATTTAATTAATGATTTTCTTCCATTTTAACTTAATTTATTTAATTAAATAATTTACGAAAGTTGCAAAATTATTTCAATCAATCTTCACATTAGAACATTTGATGGCAATAATTTTTGTGAATATAATTTTAATTCATTTATAATTACTTATCTTTGCATTTCAAAATGATTTCGTTGTGAATGATTGTGACAAAATAATCGATAATCAAAATTATTTCAAAAAAATTTTAAATCATTTTAATTTAAGTTTTTGATTACAGATATTGTAAATTCATTCAGAATATTGCAACATTTCGTTGAAATTAATGCAATTATTTTTTTTGTAAATAAAATTAATTAGTTTTTAATTTTTTTGCTAATAATTTATTTAAACAAAAGAAAAATGAAAAATAAAATTTTAAAAGGAAATATATTGTTTAATTAAAAGATCCCTCAAAAAAGAAAAAGAAATAAAATCTTTCTATTATTTAAACAAAAATGGAAATGTGATACTACTGGAAAGAATTGTGTCACTTCACATTCTCTTCCAATGACATCTTCAATTATTCAAACGAACCATCTTTTTTTGAAGAGATCAAAGTTTCCATTTTGCAGAATTCACAGAAGTGCGTGTGTATTTT